AGAGCGTCGCTGCGACTCGAGTCCGCACCCACACTGAAACACACACACACACACACACACACACACACACACACAGTGTCACTCTGAGCTCTGGTTTATAGGATTAATGTTGCTGTTGATGTGGACTCACCTGGTCTCATGTCCCCTCTGGACATCGTATTTGTCAGTCTGGTATCTCTCTGACAGAACAGCCTGCAGGTCGGACTTCTCCAGCAGCCGGTTGTCTGAAACACACACACTTACTTAACATCTCTAAACTTTAGAACAGGTGCTTGAGAGCTGCCTGTGTTAGCATTAGCACTGCTGCTAGTAAAGTGTGACCTCCACATGTCCCAGTACTGTGACTGGTTTCCAATCAGCGATCAATACCAGTAACTCACACTGGAGGACGATCTCCTCGAAGGCCTGTCTCTGCACGCGGTCTCTGAGCTTCAGCTGCTCGGAGATGTGTCTCTTCCACGTACACTCCACCCGCCGCTCCGCCATCACCACCTGCAGACACACAAAACAAACGCACATCAGAGACAGGTTCTCTAATGGGGCGAAACTTTAATAATAATAATAATAATAATAATAATAATAATAATAAGTGCGACTAATAATTTTTCTACCACACTCCTGACAGTACACGCAGTGCATTGCGTTACGTCCTTTGTTGTCTCTCAGCCAGGGAACTTGTTTCAAGCCAGTCCTGTCTGAAGGAATATATTTTGGCCTTTTCAATTTGGGTCTCGGAGCCGGGCTCTATCCCAGACTCGGTTGTCTCCTCCTCTGGTTCCGAGTCTGATGCTGTCGCAGAAGGACCGGGGCTCGGCAATTTTTAAACACATGCAACTTAGCGCGGTGAACAGGACCACAGCCAATCAGAGGCAAAGACCCGCCCGAGCTCTGTCTCTTATTGGTTTAGAACCCGATATGATCCTACCATGAGTGTGTGAGTTCGCTCACAGGAGAACACAGAAAGATGATGCGCTTGCAAAATAAATTGTGTTAAAAAAAATTTTTGTTGTTGTTGTTGGGAGGTGCTTGGTTACGGTAAGCGTACTCAGGGCTTAAAGTTTAAAAAAATCCTGAGCCTGAACTTTTTTTTGATGGGGGGGGGTAGTGGATCCGACGCATACACTAGGTGATTTGGAAAATTTTGGCATTGTGCTTGGCAGGGTACAAGATGACCTACCTCCGTGATGTCGAAGAACTTTTTGGGCGCTAGTAGCATATATTAGCTTCTTCGCACACACACAGAAACAAGCACCGCTGTCTCCGCCCCTTTCTTCTATCCACGCCCAGCGCCATTTATTTTTAAGTCCTTTTTCAGTAAGGACGTCTTCTCCAGGCTTCATGAATTTCCCCTCCATCTTTGGATTTCAGTGAAACAAACGCCGGCCTGGATGCTGCGTTCAAGACCACTGGGATCTAACCGAGAGGTCATAGTGTACACGCTACAGGTTAAGGAGGAGGAGGAGAAAAGCGAAGTGTTGCATATTGTCACTATCCGCTGAACACTGAAAACCTATGCAGCAGCAATTTATGCTTATTTTGGAAGAAGATGTATATACGTGTAATTTCCGAGTTTGACGCTGTTCAATTCATTTTCCACAAATCACAACCCGTTTTTTCCTGAGTGGTCTGGAACGCAGCATCAACTGCTGCTGGCCTCCCGTGGTTACTGTTGCTATGTCACAACCAACTTGTACTTGGACCGATACTATTTACTTTATATATGCTTTATATATGAATCTTCAATAAATACTACAGTTAGTCATGGAGTTCCACAAGGTTCTGTACTTGGACCAATACTATTTACTTTATATATGCTCCCTTTAGGCAACATTATTAGGAATCACTCCATTAACTTTCACTGTTATGCAGATGATACGCAGTTATATCTATCAATCAAACCCAATGAAATTAATCAATTATCTAAATTACAAACATGTCTTAAGGACATAAAATCCTGGATGAGCTGCAATTTTCTGATGTTAAACTCAGAAAAAGAACCAGTGAAGTTATTGATTACTGTGTGCAGTTATTGATTAATTCATTACTGTGTGCAGTTATTGATTACTGTGTGCAGTTATTGATTACTGTGCGCAGTTATTGATTACTGTGCGCAGTTATTGATTAATTGATGACGTGTGCAGTTATTGATGACGTGTGCAGTTATTGATGACGTGTGCAGTTATTGATGAAGTGTGCAGTTATTGATGAAGTGTGCAGTTATTGATTAAGTGTGCAGTTATTGATTATGTGTGCAGTTATTGATTATTGTGTGCAGTTATTGATTACTGCGTGCAGTTTTTGATTAATTGATTACTGTGTGCAGTTTTTGATTAATTGATTACTGTGTGCAGTTATTGATTATTTACTGTGTGCAGTTATTGATTGATTACTGTGTGCAGTTATTGATTACCTGTGAAGCTATTGATTACGTGTGAAGTTACTGATTAATTGATTACTGTGTGCAGTTATTGATTGATTACTGTGTGCAGTTATTGATTGATTACTGTGTGCAGTTATTGATTGATTACTGTGTGCAGTTATTGATTGATTACTGTGTGCAGTTATTGATTGATTACTGTGTGCAGTTATTGATTACGTGTGAAGTTATTGATTACGTGTGAAGTTATTGATTAATTGATTACTGTGTGAAGTTATTGACTACGTGTGAAGTTATTGATTTATTGATTACTGTGTGAAGTTATTGATTACTGTGTGAAGTTATTGATTACTGTGTGAAGTTATTGATTAATTGATTACTGTGTGAAGTTATTGATTACTGTGTGAAGTTATTGATTACTGTGTGAAGTTATTGATTAATTGATTACTGTGTGCAGTTATTGATTACGTGTGAAGTTATTGATTACGTGTGAAGTTATTGATTAATTGATTACTGTGTGAAGTTATTGATTAATTGATTACTGTGTGAAGTTATTGATTAATTGATTACTGTGTGAAGTTATTGATTACTGTGTGAAGTAATTGATTAATTGATTACTGTGTGCAGTTATTGATTACTGTGTGATAATTTATCACACTGTGTTGGTAAAGAGTGACGTCACTCAGGTGAGCTCACCTGTACAGCTGGTGATGTTTATCGATCATATATTAGTAAATGTTAATCAACTGTTTGCTTCTGTCTGTTAGCATATGCTGCTAAAGCTAACACAAACAGGAAGACACCAGGCTAACATGCTAACATGCTAACAGACGCGGCCATCAATAATTAAACCGGTTAGAAGATCAACAACCTGCCGGTGTTAACGGACCGGTTCAGACTGCAGGTCCCGGTTCAGACTGCAGGTCCCGGTTCAGACTGCAGGTCCCGGCACACAAACACCCGTGACTCGACATGTTAGCATGCTAAGCTAGCGGCTAGCAGCGCACGTTCGCAGCGCGGTAAAACGGATACAACCGGAAACTTACAGCATCTACCTGCGACCCGGTCTGAAGCTCTGCTCCGGTACCGACTCTCCGGTATCCTCGGCTTGTTGTTTCAAAGCGTTCCGTGTTCAACGATCCGGTTTCTGGTCCCTAACCGACAGCAACTGCTGCTGCTTCGCTCCAACCGTCCGCCATCTTGGCTCCGACCACAGACTTCCGGAACGGTCGCACGAAGATGACGTAGGTTTAAATAGTCGCCACACTGACGCAGACAGACAGACAGACAGACAGACAGGCCGGAGGGTCGCCGGTTCAAGTCCCACAGACCCCAATATGGAGTGTGGACTGGTAGCTGGAGAGGTGCCAGTTTCATCTCCTGTGCACTGCCGAGGTGCCCTTGAGCAAGGTACCGAACCCCAAACCTGCTAACGTTGCAGCCCGTCACTCCATCTGTGTGTGTGTGTGTGTGTGTGTGTGTGTGTGTGTGTGTGTGTCTGTGTGTGTGTGTGTGTGTGTGTGTGTGTGTGTGTGTGTGTGTCTTCGTGTGTGTGTGTGTGTCTGTGTGTGTGTGTGTCTATCTGTGTGTGTGTGTGTCTGTGTGTGTGTGTGTCTATCTGTGTGTGTGTCTATCTGTGTGTGTGTGTGTCTGTGTGTGTGTGTGTCTATCTGTGTGTGTGTGTCTATCTGTGTGTGTGTGTCTGTGTGTGTGTGTGTCTATCTGTGTGTGTGTGTGTGTGTGTGTGTGTGTGTCTGTGTGTGTGTGTGTGTGTGTGTGTGTGTGTGTGTGTGTGTGTGTGTGTGTGTGTGTGTGTGTGTGTCTGTGTAAAAAGAGTGAAAAGAACAATTTACCCTAAGGGATCAATAAAGTATATCTTCTTCTTCTTCTAGATAGACCGATAGATAGACAGACAGACAGACAGACAGATAAATACACAGACAGATAGATAGATAAATAAATAGACAGACAGACAGATAAATAGATAGACAGACAGACAGACAGACAGACAGACAGACAGAAAGGAATACTTCATTATTATTATTATTAGTAGTAGTGTTTAGTATTGAAGGAATCTGTTAAATGATTGTTGGAAAGGATTAAAGATAATTCAGATGAAGGAAATGAAAGAACCAATAACTTCAGACTGTGTGATTCTGACTTCTGTTGGCTTTTGTTTGATGTTTTTTTATTTCAGTTTCTCTCAAAAGTTTTTCTATGAATTTACTTAATTCAATTATGGAAAATATTTTCACAGGATTAAATGACTTGATCCTGATAGTGTATATATATATATCTATATCTATAATGTTATTTTATATGTCCCTGTCTTAGTACTTTGACTTTGTGAAATGACAATAAATTTGAATCCAATCTAATTAAATTAACCAATCTGCAGTTGGTGCAATTTAATGACTGAGCCAGGGTTAGGGTTAGACTGCAGGGGGAGCTGACAAGTCAATACTCTGGGTCCTGTTGCATTATGGGAAATGCAGTATTGATTTGTTTTTAATTTGGTCCTTTACAAGCTATTTAAACTTTACTAAAAGAAAATGGACACGGTTTCTACCTCGTTCTGTGTGACTGGCTGAATATTTCCTTGCTAATAAATAAAACTACAGACTCCTGGTGGACAAACTCAAGACTTTATTTCTGTGTTACAGCTTCTTAAAAACACACATTTAATGGTTTTATTCATAAAAAGTGGTGTCAAACCTCCTTCTTAAACTGACATCTTCACAACACACAGATCAGTTTACAATTAACAGAAAACATTACAGAAACTAAAAATGATTAGCGATAATTATTCACTTCATAAATGACTTCAAATGACAGTTTAAAGTAATTTAATTGATCATTGTATTTGATTTAAAAAATAAAACCTAAAACTACAGAAATTAAAAAAACATCCAACACATCTGATTACAATCTGAGTCTGAATGTATTATTCAAATTATAATATTAATAATCAACATCACAGCAGGTTCAATATCAGACCATCACATCAGCTCACACTCTGATTTTAGCACAGATCCTCTTCTCTTCTTCTCTGACTGCCAGATGTCTTTATGCTAAGCTAAGCTAGCCGTTTACAGTCTTTATGCTAACCTAGCAGCTGTTGAGCATACAGACACGAGAGTATCGATGTGATCGTATGAGCCTCAAGGAGGAAGAGAAGATGGATCCTTTATTGTGAATTAGAAATGACAATAATCAATTATCAATAAGGGCTGAATCGATACAGATGATCAGGTAGGTTCCTGAGACAAAATCAACCTGCTGACAGAAAAAGAAAAGTGTGATTTCCCTCCGACCCCCCACTGAAGACTACTTCTTCTAAATCCACCACAGAGCTGATCCAGATTTTATTCCTGAGATCAAAGATCATCAATCAACCAACATCTGATTCACAAGAATTACATCTGTTACACTCAGTTCTGAGGTGGAGAAAACAAACTAACCCCTCAGGCCTGTTTCGGTGTGGGACTCTCTGGGACTGTCAGAGACTCCACTGAGGACTGCTCATCTGGACCTGGAAGCAGCTCCTCCTTATCACTGCAGACACAAACACATCATCAATATTCATCCCTTCATCCATATTCATCCATTCATCCCTTCATTCACCCATATTCATCCATTTATCCCTTCATCAATATTCATTCCATTCATCCCTTCATCAATATTCATCCATATTCATCCCTTCATTCACCCATTTATCCCTTCATCCATATTCATTCCATTCATCCCTTCATCAATATTCATCCATTCATCAAAATCAACAATAATAATGTCAATAACAATAATAAATATTGAACATTAATTGATCAAATCAGAGTCCGTGGATCATTAACAATAACTGGAGTTTATCATCAGGTATGCAGCGACAGGTGAGCGTTACCTGACAGACGAAGCCCGGCGGGACAGACCGCCATGACGTCTCAGTGTGATGATGATGAGCGTCGCCAGAAGAAGAGCAGAGATCGCTGCCACGGTGACGAAGAGGAAGACAGCTGGAATAGAGACAGGATGAAGATCATGTTAGAGTCATCAGTCACACACTGATGTCACACTGCACTGATGTAACACTGATGTCACACTGTACTGATGTCACAACGATGTCACAGTGATGTCACACTGTATTGATGTCACACTGATGTCACACTGTACCTGCAGTCCAACGGTTGCGAGATCTGCCGTGGCTGTCGAACACACCTGGAGGGAGAACAAGGTACAACATGTGTTTATACCTACTGAGTGTACATCTTTTATAATAATTGTACTTTTTAACGTACAAACAAAAACGTGTTCCCAGAGTTCCCAGAGTTCCCACGTGGAGACTAACCATCACTGCAGCGGCTCATACACTCATCCACACTGTTGTAGCGGTTCTGGTTGCCGCGACACCCGCCATACATGAATGACTGACAGGTTTTGGTGTCTGGGTCGTAGTAGAACACGGGGAAGGCAGCGCGGCAGGGTCCGGGGTCAGGGGTCACCATACACTGGTCTACAGAAAGACAGCATCCAGTTACTGATTTCATTTCGCTCCACAAACTGCTTGTTTACTGGTTTCCATTATATGTGTTACCTTTGTATGCTTGAAACTCGTCATTAGCAGAGGACGCTTTCTTTGAAGACGGGAGAACAGTGACTGCAGGAAGAGACAGGTGGACAGGTACAGACAGGTGAGTCACAGGTGTACATTGCTCACCTGTACAGGCACAGACAGGTGTATTGCTCACCTGTACAGGCACAGACAGGTGTATTGCTCACCTGTACAGGCACAGACAGGTGTATTGCTCACCTGTACATGCAGCCACACAGCTGTCCTTGTCAGGGTAGTTGTTCTTGTTTCCTCTGCAGCCTCCATACATGAATGATTCACAGCTATCTGTCTCACGGTTGTAGAACCAGCGCCGGTGGGCGGCTCTGCAGGGACCCACCACAGGCTCTGCCCCACAGAGCTCTGATTGGACCACAACCATATTACATTTTATTGATGTCACATTCGTGTCGGTTGCTGACAGACAATGATCTTGTTCTATTGGCTCCTGATATAAAATATACTGTTTGTTTATACAAATCAATACAATAAAGTGAATCTGTTTTTATTGGGGTTCAATACTTATAGTATAATAACTTTACAGTTTAAAGTTTGACAAAGTGCTGCTGTAATGAACTGACAGCAGAAATATCAATTATTGATTCATTAATGAGTTAATACATACCAGCAAAGTCTTCAGCTGACATTTCTGTAGAGAGAGAAGTAATTTAGTTACCTTACACATTTTCATCATCAATGTTGTAGTTGTAACTTGTAACACTCTTGACCCAGGGGTTTTAGCCAACTATAGACGCATTTCTAACCTCCCCTTCCTCTCTAAGATTCTGGAGAAAGTAGTCGCCAAACAGTTTTGTGACTTTCTACATAACAATAGTTTATTTGAGGATTTTCAGTCAGAGTTCATCACAGCACAGAGACAGCTCTGGTTAAAGTTAATAATGACCTTCTGATTGCTTCTGACAATGGACTTGTCTCTGTACTTGTATTATTAGATCTTAGTGCTGCATTTGACACCATTGACCATAATATTCTTTTACAGAGACTTGAGCATCAAATTGGCATTAAAGGAACCGCACTAAGCTGGTTTACGTCATATTTATCAGATCGCTCGCAGTTTGTACATGTTAACGATGAATCTTCAATAAATACTACAGTTAGTCATGGAGTTCCACAAGGTTCTGTACTTGGACCAATACTATTTACTTTATATATGCTCCCTTGAGGCAACATTATTAGGAATCACTCCATTAACTTTCACTGTTATGCAGATGATACACAGTTATATCTATCAATCAAGCCCGATGAAATTAATCAATTATCTAAATTACAAACATGTCTTAAGGACATAAAATCCTGGATGACCTGCAATTTTCTGATGTTAAACTCAGAAAAAACCGAAATTCTTGTTCTTGGCCCCAAAAACCTTAGAGACTCACTGTCTAAAGATATAGTTACTCTAGATGGCATTACCTTGGCCTCTAGCACCACTGTCAGGAATCTTGGAGTTATCTTTGATCAGGATTTGTCATTTAACTCCCACATAAAGCAGACCTCTAGGACTGCCTTCTTTCATTTACGTAATATTAGAGAAATTAGACACATCCTATCACAGACAGATGCGGAAAAACTAATCCATGCATTTGTTACTTCAAGGCTGGATTACTGCAACTCTTTATTATCAGGTTGCCCCAATAAGTCCATTAAAACGCTCCAATTAATTCAGAACGCTGCAGCACGAGTACTGACAGGGACTAGAAAAAGAGATCACATCTCTCCTGTACTAGCTTCTCTGCATTGGTAAAAATGTAGAATAGAATTTAAAATCCTCCTCCTCACCAATAAAGCTCTTCATGGTCAGGCCCCTTCATATCTTAAAGAGCCCATAGTACCCTATTACCCCTCTAGAACACTACGTTCTCTGAATGTTGGGCTACTTGTGGTTCCTATAGTCTCTAAAAGTAGAACAGGAGCCAGAGCCTTCAGTTACCAAGCTCCTCTCCTGTGGAACCAGCTTCCAGTTGTGGTTCGGGAGGCAGACACCCTCACCACATTCAAGAGTAACCTTAAGATGTTCCTCTTTGATAAAGCTTATAGTTCAAGTGTAGGCGTTACCTGTCTCCTGAGCGCGTACAGACTCTGTAGCAGCAGGTTCAGACACAACTGGACGGTCAGCATCCTCAGAAACCTCTGGACAGACAGACAAAGAGACAGTAACAGTGTATTAGTACTACAGTAACTGTATTAGTACTACAGTAACACAGGGTATTAGTACTACAGTAACTGTATTAGTACTACAGTAACAGTATTAGTACTACAGTAACAGTGTATTAGTACTACAGTAACAGTGTATTAGTACTACAGTAACTGTATTAGTACTACAGTAACAGTGTATTAGTATTACAGTAACACAGTGTATTAGTACTACAGTAACACAGTGTATTAGTACTACAGTAACAGTGTATTAGTACTACAGTAACAGTGTATTAGTACTACAGTAACAGTGTATTAGTACTACAGTAACAGTGTATTAGTACTACAGTAACACAGTGTATTAGTACTACAGTAACAGTGTATTAGTACTACAGTAACAGTGTATTAGTACTACAGTAACGTATTGTAGACAGGCAGTGTATTAGTACTACAGTAACACAGTGTATTAGTACTACAGTAACAGTGTATTAGTACTACAGTAACAGTGTATTAGTACTACAGTAACACAGTGTATTAGTACTACAGTAACAGTGTATTAGTACTACAGTAACAGTGTATTAGTACTACAGTAACAGTGTATATTCGCTGTATCGAGGGTAGTTACGTGTATTGATGGCGGGGGCCATTCGAGCAGCTTTGACAGGAAGTTGAGCAGCAGGAGCAGCAGGAGGAGGAGCAGGAGTCGACTCATCAGGAAGAACTGAACCTGAACACAAACACAAAAGCTTATGGTTGTTGTTTGTATCATATGTAGAATTCTTAAAGCTCTTTATCAGTGTAGAATCAAGGAAGTTGTAATCTGCAGTTACACCACTAGATGGCACTAAACCCTACAGACAGGAGCTGTAAGGGTCATTAATAACCAACAGTCTAATGGGGATGGTTATTAAATCATTAGAATTAATTAGAATACATATATAGATAATAACTGTCTGCACGTAAATAATCAATACCTGATTAAAAATCCTCAGATTTTTCCTTTCACGAGACAATATTACATCACTCATTCATTACTCACTCATTCACTGGAAATCAGCTGTTCAGTTCAGTTTCTCAGCATCAGGTTATTGTGACAGGTGCATTGTGGGATTGTCAAACAGACGTGAAGATCCCACAATGCACCTGTGACGTTGGTTCACATTCCTCTGAATGGATTCATCTCATTACACTTCAGTTATCAATCAATTCAACATTCTCCATTACTAATCAATCAATAGTGATCAGTGATTAAAGGTTAAAACACTGAGATTAAAATCCGAGTTCTGAAAAGGTTTGTTTGTTTGTCTGATCAGAGTTCACAGAACCAGTCTAACCACACACACACACACACACACACACACACACACACACACACACACACACACACACACACACGTTATTATGGGATGCTGCAGTCTGACAGACGACAACCAGGACTAAAAAAACATCACAGTGAAAAAGAGTCATGACGATCAGCAGCCTCCTCTCTTCAGAGTGAGTGAGTGAGAGTGTGTGTGTGTGTGTGTGTGTGTGTGTGTGTGTATTTCAGTGTGTGTATGTGTGTGTGTATTTCAGTGTGTGTGTGTGTGTGTATTTCAGTGTGTGTAGCTCTGCACTAACAGGTGGCTCTGTGGTGCAATGGATAGCGCATTGGACTTCTAGTCAAACTGTGAGTAGAGATTCAAAGGTTGTGGGTTTGAGTCCCACCAGAGTCGAAGTTTTGAAGTTGAGCTTAAAAAAAATATCGTCACAGATTTGTTTAATTGGTCGTCTGCTCCAGAACCAGAACTGCAGAGACTGTCTGGACCTCAGTAGTGAAATAACTACTCTGACTCAGACTCTACATCTGCAAGTTCAATTTTTGGACCTCAGTATTTGTAAAAGCCCCCGTACAGCGACGCTGGCTAGCTTAATGCAAACAGCACTGAACACATCCTCATTAAAAAGGTTCAACCTGTTGGAAGATCAGATCTGATTGGTTCATTTTTAAATGTGGTTCAGATTCCAGAGTGAACAGGAAGTGGTAGTCACATGATGAATGTCAGTCCACAGTGATGTAATACTCACATGACTCTTCACACTGCGAACAATGTGTGTGTGTGTGTGTGTGTGTGTTACCTGTCACCCCGCTGCAGGTGGTCTCACACTCGTCCTGAGAGTCGAAGTTGTTCCCGTTGGACTCGCAGCCGCCGTAGATGAACCTCCGGCAGCTCTGATTGGTCACATCGTAGTAGAACTTGGGGAAAGCAGCTCGACACGAACCCACCTTCATCGGCAGACGACAGTGAACTGAAGGAACAGAGGACGCGGTTATTGATTTTCAATTCAATTCAATTCAATTCAATTTTATTTGTATAGCGCCAATTCGTTAATTCGTAACAGAAGTTATCTCAGGAACCTTTTCAAATAGAGCAGGTCTAGACCGAACTCTTTATAACATTATTTACAGAGACCCAACAGTACCACCATGAGCAAGTCAAGTGATCTGAGTGAGTCAGTCTCCTTCATATATCATTCTATTAAAGACCTTTCAAAATAAAGCGCCAGCATACAGAGAGGTCGGATTGAGTGCAGATCAAACAGCTCAGGTGTAAAGTTCCTCTTTAAAACAGAAACCAGACTGACTGGTCGGACCGGGTCTCACCTGAAAGCTCAGAACAAAGCCAACAGCAAACACAGGTTAATTCACTCTGCAGACACCTGGGTTAAACAGTTACCTGCACAGGTAGATCACACTGAACTAACTGCTGACTCATTGTCTACCTTAACAGGTTGTAAAGGTGAGAAATTATGTCAGATCATAATAGTATACAATATATATGAGCTTTAGGACGGGGCTACCCTGTTCACAAACACATTTTACTGTTTACCTGGAATACCAGATCCTGTGAGAGCAGGAGAGCCGCCATTGTTTCCAAACCAAGAGCAGCCAATGAGAGCAGCTCAACTCGCTTTATGTGACCTCCGCTGGCTATGAAGCCCAACTGGATGTTCAGAACTCCGCAGACCGATCAGGCCACAGATCCAATTCAATTCATTTATTTGTATAGCGCCAATTCATAAGCTGGATCAGACCTGCTGCAAGGTTAGAGGTCTCTGATGTGGATCGGTACAGGAACACAGTTTCTGAGGAAACTGAAGAATGTTCCAACTGATTCACTTGAACAGGTGAGACAGACGGACGAGTTGAGCAGCATTCCTCACAGAAAGCAGGAAGAAACCCAGACAGACACATTTAAAGCCTCCCTGGTTAGTAGTGTTGTTGTTGTTGTTGTTGTTGTTGTTGTTGAGCTCCTTGCAATCTGTAAACAGTTATTGCCGATATTGTTTTTTTGTTGTGTTTGTGATTTCTGTTTGTTTCCATTGTTGTTTTTGTTTCCAATGCAGGTAACTATTGTTTATTCCAATTATTGACTTTGTTTATATTTGGTTTGTTTATCATCGTGCTGATTTATTGATCAATTGATTGGTTACTGATTGGTCCAATTAAAGGCTAAAGAATCACTTTACATTTTATCTACAGATCAATATTTTATCTTTAGATTTTTCCAAGGCACTCAAAGATTCACATTATACAGCAGAACCAGAACATCTGAGTCCGTAACAGACTCCTCCTCTTCCTTAGCTCACCTGTTAGCTCACCTGCTAGCTCACCTGCTAGCTCACCTGAGGGGTATTACACAAAAGTAGGATAAAGAAATCCAGGATAATTGAGCAAGCACGGCTTGACCTAGCCTACTCGCTGCATCCTGGCTTAATCGGTTGCACGTTTGCCAAGCCAGGATTAAAAGGTGCGGCTATGTTAAGCCAGGTGTAGATAGTCGGGATAAGTGCGTGTTCACGGCATACTGAAATAGACCTCGCGATCGCTCACAGAATCACCGATGGGAACATGGATAAGAGTCGCGCTTCATATTTCACGGCCGCTGAACAACAGCTCCTGATGGAGTTCTATGAAGAGGTGGAAGATAGAAGAAACAAAGGCAATAGCAATGCCATAATTAAAGAAAGAGAGAAAGCCTGGCAGACAATAGCGGACCGGCTTAATGCTTAAGTAGTCCAAAACTGTACAATGAATAAACAGTGCTCCACTGGAACTGTCATCATTAGGCTCCAATTAAAGGACTAAAGGAGTTACTTTAAGTCCACTAATCAACTGTTGTACACTTTGCTTTAAATGTGGCAAGTAGAGGTGCATGTTACTTAAATGTAGAGTATGATTAAGTGCAAACAATTATCTATTTTATCTTTCTATCCTTCATAAAGAACAAACTTGTCTGGCCATAAAAGGACCTGGCAGCAAGTTACATTAAAAATGTTAAAAAAGTTAAATACAAGAACATTCTGCAGGCTGGTCAGTGACTATAAAGTAGATAACAGTGAACAAATGAGGTGAATAGATTAGGTGTCTGCTGACATGTTGAATGTCTGTATGATTGTAGCAGTTAAAAAAAAGCCCATAGAACTGGCACAGGGGGCGGCCCACCAAGCCAGGATATGTGCTGCAAATGGTTCCTTTATTGAGGTTCTCTGCATCCCCAACAGAATAAAGGAAGCTCCCACTTGCTAAACATCTCAATGTAACACAGACCATCTGTGGTACAGTGCGAGCATGGCTTCCTGCCGTCTGGTGCTGTATTTTTGGACCCAGCAGCCTACATAAATATCTTAGTCCATCACCTGAGAATCTGTATCTCTCAATGAGATAGTCCTCTCCAACGGCCAATGGGTCTGACCTGTCCCAGAAGACTCTTTCATGACTAAATGCTCGTCTGAGGATTAGGGCTTCCTCATCCAGCACATCCTCCAAGAAAGGGCAAGCCATTATGAAGAGGGAACAGGTGAATGGGAGATAGATAGATAGATAGATAGATAGATAGATAGATAGATAGATAGATAGATATTCCTTTATTTGTCCCACAATGGGGAAATTCCAATGTAACAGCAGCAAAGTGGATAGAGAGAAAACAGTATAAATAAACAGTAAGAGTAGGGAAATAATAAAAAACTCTATGTACTATATGTGTGTATACATATACATATATATATATACAATATATATTATATATATATATATATATATATATATATATATATATATATATATATATATATATATATTGCCCATGTCACAGATTTCATTGAAAACACCTTTGCAACTTCATCAGCTGTGTTTTGTAATCTCAATTACTGCAATAAAACACATATTTATGAAACCTCTGACGGCATTTTGACAAGCAGTCTTCATTAGCATAGCAATATAACACTTGTCCTGAGTAATAAAACTACCACTTGAATCAATATAAAAAGACTGTTGCAATTACAAACAGCCAACAGATTTAAATGAAATGACAATATGTAATATTTTAATGGATTGATGGTGGAAATACAGGTGAATCACTAGGATTAATGTTAGCCTGGCTGTTAGCCTGGTCTGGAGCAGGCTAACTGCAGAGAATAAATCACCATAGTAACTTGGCCGGGATAAGTTTAACCTGCTTTCATGCAACCGACTTGAGGCTAAATTCATCCAGGATAACCAACATATCCCGGCTTAATCCCTTATCCTGGTTTTGTGCAATACCCCTCTGCTAAAGTGTGTACATGTACAAAGCTCAGAAAGCATTTGCTGTAGTGTAATAATATTTAAATGATTTTCAAATAATATTTAAATGATTTTCAAATAATATTTGAATAATTTTTAAAATAATGTTTAAATCTTTTTAAATAATATTTAAAATGTTTATACTATTTTATATTTATAGCCTTTTCTTCCTTTGTTTACTGCTGTGGAAAATGTCTATTATCGATTATTGATTAAATATTCCTTCAGTTTCTAACAATGAAACTCTGTTTGGGGTTTTACTGACAGATATTTGACACAGTGATCAAGTAATCAATAATCAAATCTTCTCAGAATTGATATCTAATACTTGCTCTGAGTACTTTAATATCCGGTAGAGGTATTTTAGACTTTAAATCAATCGATCATCAATAATCGGCTTTTCTTGTCTTACTGTTGTTGGTCTCGTTGGTCTCGGTGGATGCCAGCAGTGGGACGAGGTGAGGACTCTCCCCGCCCTCTCTACGGGTCTCCGTGGTCCGGCTCTTGCGGTAGACGTTGAACTGGGTGCTGTGCTGGAGGACGCACACGTCCCGGCCCCGGACCAAACACCGGACCAGCAGGCACTGCGGGCCCCCGTCCATGGGGAACCCCACCAAAGCCAGGTCACAGGCCGTGTCGTTGCAGCACGCAGTTCGGCAGCTCTCCGGGTCCGAGACTTCCTTCATCTGGTCCAGGTGGATCCCTGCGGAGTCCATGGAGGCCGGGGCCAAACCCTGATTGGGATCAATCGACTGGTCCCAGTCACAGTCCAGGGCCATACCGGTACAGACCAGGACACAGAGTGCCAGTAGAAACGACCTGAGTCCCTGCTGGATCATCTTTTCAATGTGGGTCCGGGTTTAAGGTAGAACCGCTTTCTGGGCTTCAGGACTGTGAGAGACGTTCGAATCCGTGCGGACAATGACTCACTTCCGTGTTTGAGGCTTTTTGTTGTCGCAGATAAATTTACCTGAGAGACAGGTGAGGTCACTGCGGACACGCCCCCCGCTGCGTCACTGCCGCGTGACGTAGAACGTAACGTAACACAGAACGTAATCAGAATCATTGTTATTCATCAGCTATGTGCACGTTACACAGACTGAGCATAAATAAACTAATATGTACAGTTATAAACAAACAAACAATAACATCTGTAAATATCAATATATATATTTATAGATATATACCTAATAATAAGACATTATAATTATTATAATAAATAATAACATTCAGTTACAGTGTATTTAAATGTGCTGGATGCAGTTCGTATGTTCACCACCAGGTGTCGCTTCTGCCCCTTTATTCTCAGCCAGCTGCCATGAACTCGGGCAGCACTAGGACCCAGCGGGAACCTCTAATGCTGCATTCAACATCCCCTCGTAAATGTCATAATCACATAATAATTATAATAATAATAATAATAATAATAACAATAATAACAATAACAATAATATAGTCTGAAAGCACTGCTTGTGTCTGTTATTATTATATTTTATTATTTATTCATACAGAATGTGAAAAGCATCATCAGGATGTTTGATCAGTGATTAGTTCCCACCGATAGATAACTGATAGATAACTGATATATCGGTAATATTTTGATACTTGATGTCAAATATAAAAACAGTTGAATCACTGTCTCTGACTGTCTGCAGCTCTCAGAAATACAGACAGCACCTGAATGCAGCACCAGCAGCGTGGTACCCGCCCTGCCCGGGTTCACTCAGTCTGCACGCGAGGCACCGACACAGGTCCACTCGACAGGACCCTGATGTATTATTACTCTATTATTATTATTATTATTATTATTATTATTATTAACTGTGAAATATTAAAATCAGACTTCTCAGTATTTGATCCGGTTTGAGGGATTCTTTGGGGGTCCTCCCTGAGGCAGACTGTCGTGGTCCGGGTCTGGTGGGTCCTGATGGCGGCTAACCGGGTGGGGCGGCGGGTCAGTAAGGTGGCTCCGGGTCAGGGTCTACAGCGGCGGCAGGCCCGGATCACCGTCAAATACAACCGGACGGAGCTGCAGAGGAGGCTTGACGTGGAGAAGTGGATCGACTGTGGACTGGACCGGTTGTACAGGGGCCGGGTGAGTACTGCTGAGTACTACTGAATACTGCTGAATACCATTCAATTCAATTCAATTCAATTCAATTCAATTCAATTCCATTTTATTCAATTTTATTTGTATAGCACCAATTCCTAACAGAAGTTATCTCAGGACACTTTTCAAATAGAGCAGGTCTAGACCGAACTCTTTAACATTAATTACAGAGACCCAACAGTACCACCATGAGCAAGACCTTGGAGACAAGGGCAAGGAAAAACTGCCTGTTAAAAGGCAGAAACCTAGGACAGATCCTCCGGCTCTAGGTGGGTGGTCGTCTGTCTCGACCAGTTGGGGTGAGAGAGAGAGAGAGAGAGAGAGAGAGAGAGAGAGAGAGAGAGAGACACACAGAGAGCGAGAGATACAGACAGACAGGTGCACAGCAACAACAGCAGCAACAACTACACTAATAGTAGTGACTGATGATGATGAACATGAAGAAGATGATGACGATGACAGCAACGATGGGGGACAATGAGCAGTGACAATAGTAATAATAGTAACTGTAGTAATAATAATAATAATAATAATAATAATAATAATAATATCAGTGATATTGGCAATGGCAATCTAGCAGGACCATGGCAGGAGGCTCCACCAGGACCAATAAGAACCTGTGAGACGAGAAAGCACAAGAACTCCGGGGAAGAAGTGAAGTTAGTAACATGCATTAATGCAGTGGTTCTCAATTATTTTCTGTCATGCCCCCCCTAGAGGACAGAATTTTTTTCACGCCCCCCCTGAATTTTGATACTATTGAGAAACTGATAATATTTATTTATCTGTACAAACCACTGTATGAGTTGCTGGCACCAGCATTCTGCATACAATCACCTGATTATCAAAATGAATTCATAAAATGAGCTGAGATAAAATCTGCAACAACTAAAAACAATTTCCAAGTTCAGTTTATTATCTCAATTTGTAACATTTAAACAAGACTGCTCAGTCGGTGTGATTCTCAAAAAAGTGCAAATGATTCACAGGGATGTGCATTTTTATACACTAAACACAGTAACATTCAAAACTTTTTTAAACTGTAAACATTGGTCACTTGTCAGCTTCATCAGCTTATTCCTTTTCAAAAAGGTATATGACTTTTTAACATTTGTTGTTGTTTTTTTTGCGCAAAATTTGCAACAATATTGTTTATATTTAACATTTGTCTGTTAGATGTTCTGTGAGTTGTTTTTGGAGGTTGTCTGAAATTTCAAATATACGTCTCCCGATCGTGTCATTGGACAGAGGGACAGTATTCAGTGTCTCAGCACTTTCCTCACCTATGATTGTGACCATGTCCAATGCTGCCGGAGCATTAGCTCCTCTGCTATTGTGTGGGCGATGTGGTGGTGTTTGTACGAGGCTAACGGTGCGTTTTTATTTACTGATGCGCCGCTCACTAAATGACCGGCCTGTTGGCGATACTCATCGAGTTTTCGATGAAAAAAGTCCAGTGGCTTATTGACATAACTGGGTGTAAGGTCTCCAAGTGCCGTCTTAATTAGTTTGGTTTCATGCTGTCTGCTGCCAGAGTTTTTAAACATTAAACACACACAGGTCTTTCCTCATTTCCGACCGTATTCACGGTAAACCCAGGGCTATGTAGGCTTCGTCATATTTCCTGCTCTCATTAGGTTTATGCCGGTTACCATCACTTGCTGTTCTTGCCTCTGACGCCGCCTCCGTTTTTCTTTTTACACCTGTCAGAGCCCCACTTTTTGAGAAGTACTGCATTAATGGAACATAAATGAGTGCAGAAAGAGAGAGGAAGGGAGGAGCTCAGTGCACCATGGGAAATCCCCCGATAGTCTAGGCCTATAGCAGCATAACTAAGGGATGGTTCAGAACTCACCTGATCCAGCCCTAACTATAAGCTTTATCAAAGAGGAATGTCTTAAGCCTACTCTTAAATGTAAGAGAACGCAGTGTAAGTGGACTTATTGGGGCAGCCTGATAATAAGGAGTTGCAGTAATCCAGCCTTGAAGTAACAAATGCATGGATTACTTTTTCTGCATCTGTCTGTGATAGGATGTGTCTATTTTTTGTAATATTATGTAAATGAAAGAAGGCAGTCCATGGCTGCGTTTCATTAGTAGTTCCACTTCCCCTCGTTCACTTACCCTCAGCCCTCGTTATGACGTAACAGCATACGTTGCACGGAGGCCACTTGGAGCGCGTAGGGAAAATGGGCGGGGGAAGAGCGGGGGATTTAAATGAAACGCACTTGACCTTGGAGTCTACTCATTGGCAGCGGTAGGCGTTATAGCGGCAATGACGTAAACTGCAATGCATTGTGGGTGATATCCACCTCGGAGTGACCATCGTTGTTCACTCGCTCCCTCAGCCCTCCGAGGGTCCATCTGACCAAGTTCACTTCAGTTTTCCAGACAATTGGAATGACACTTATGATGGCGGCGGGGATTCCCCCGAGGGCAAGTGCCGAGGGCAAGTGAACGAGGGCATGTTGAACGACTAATGAAACGCAGTCCTAGAGGTCTGCTTTATGTGGGAGTTAAATGACACGTCCTGATCAAAGATAACTCCAAGATTCCTGACAGTGGTGCTAGAGGCCAAGTTAATGCCATCTAGAGTAGCTATATCTTTAGCAGTGTTGGGCAAGTTACTTTTAAAAAAGTAATTAGTTACAGTTACTAGTTACTTCTTCCAAAAAGTAACTAAATTAGTTAGTCAGTTACAAATTATAAATGTAACTAGTTACTTCAGATAGTAACTATTGTGTTACTAGTACGTTACAAGTTCATTTTTAAATGCTCAAATGTGACCCCACCTCCACCCTTTAAGGCAACTTAAAATACATGTGCATGTTCAATTATTTATGATAAATCTGAATATTATAATGAAATGGACACTTAATACAATACATTATTAACAGAAACAATGTACACAAATCTAAACTATTTTAATGTTGCTGTGGGACAAAGTGAGACTAACCTCCAATCAAATGCTATGTATGTAGATATTATGTTTATATAGTGGATCGATACAAATAACACAATAGATGTTTTGGAACTTTGATATTTATTGCCCCTCAACAGGCCACAACTGGGCAAAATTAAATTATGCTTGTTAAGCACTATACCAAAAATAAATAACAAATATATACACTCTTTGTAGTGCAAATAAAACAAAAAAAACTTCAGACAATTGTCTACAATTGTAGATATGTTGACTGACTCGTTTGTTGTTGTTCGCTGTGTGTCCGACTATGCGTGCTTTCGAACACCTGCCCAACTCTACCTCTGATTGGCTTACCATGAAATTTTACTCAACCTCAGCCAATCATCAGCATTTATGTGCTTGTCTCGTACACTGCCCACTAACCAAGGAGGAACAGTAAAAAAAATTGTTTTTTTCTGAGTTTAACATCAGAAAATTGCAGCTCATCCAGGATTTTATGTCCTTACGACATGTTTGTAATTTAGATAATCGATTAATTTCATCGGGCTTGAGTGATAGTTATAACTGGGTATCATCTGCATAGCATTGAAAGTTAATGGAGTTATTCCTAATAATGTTGCCTAAGGGAAGCATATATAAAGTAAATAGTATGGGCCAAGTACAGAACCTTGTGGAACTCCATGACTAACTGTTAGGGCTGTAACGGTTCTGAAACCGAGACCGAAATCGCGACACAAAAGTCCACGGTCTCGTGTCGCCGATCCGAGAGACAGAACCACGACACACTCGCTCCCTGGACCGTTGAGCTCTCGTTCAGACAGTGTAACTGCAGCGGTGGCGGCGACCCGTGGGGTGGTAGCGGTGTACGTCTATATCGTATTTGTATTGACAGTAGGTTATTCTAGGTTATTTTCGTCCTTATTTTAGTGTTTATTTACCACTTTAATCTGCTCCCGTTCTCTTCTCCCCACATTCACACACAGCACACACACCTAGCCTGGACCTCTGGTCACTCACGGCAAACACGCCCTCTTGCTCCGCCTCTTTCTGTCTCTCTCTCCCTGTGTGTGTCTCTGCTGACTTTCTCCATCAGCAGTACGTTTCATAAACTCACCCATGATTCAGTTTTCAAGTGCACCGCATGTGGGTCCAAACCGAAACTAATGTTAGTGAGTGACATCTGCAGTGGTGCGTTCACTGACGCTCCGTAATGTAAGATTTCTGCCATATCCGCTTAATGTAATATCAGATAACATCTCTCTCTCTCTGTTTCTCTGCAAAATGGGGAAACTGGGAGAACCACGGTATGAACCGAACCGTGGCTCAAAAATCGAGGTCTTTTGGAAGATTCATCGTTAACGTGTACAAACTGCGAACGATCTGATAAATATGACTTAAACCAGCTTAGTGCGGGTTCCTTTAATGCCAAATTTGATGCTCAAGTCTCTGTAAAAGAATATCATGGTCAATGACCATTTCTTTCACGTGCTACGGTAAGCGTACTGACTCATTTCCGCTTTACTTCCTGCTCTGTGTACACTGTCTGGTGATGTAGCTCTGTCAGTGAACGCTAAATCTAAATTAGTTTTACTCGTTACAGCGGTTATTTTCCCGCTTAACATTTAAACGTAGACTAGTTCTACCTAAGCACTTGGAGTTACTCCTTCTTTTAGCGACTTTTCACTATTTTCAAAGTTTTTCATACACGCTAGCTTCAGTAACATTAGCAGTTAGCTATGGCTTCTTCCTGTCCCTCTCCTCTGTCCTGCTCAGTGTGTTAAATGTTTAGTTATTCCAGATTAGTATAATGCCAGAGGATCCTATTACTCAGCACTAATAGAAGAAAATAAGAATAACCCTAGGTTCCTCTTCAGCACTGTAGCCAGGCTGACAGAGAGTCACAGCTCTATTGAGCCACATATCCCCATAAACTTAAGTAGCAATGACTTCATGAGCTTCTTCTATAATAAAATTATTACTATTAGAGAGAAAATTAATCACCAACTGCCATCAACAGTTATCAGTAGCTCTCCAAGTTCAGGGACTTTTGCTAATGTAAACTTAGATATATATTTAGACTGTTTTTCTGCTATCCATCTTCATCAGTTAACTTCAATCATTTCTTCATCGAAGCCATCAACCTGTCTATTAGACCCGATCCCAACTAGGCTGCTTAAAGAAGTTGTTCCTTTAATTGGCACTTCTTTACTGGATATGATTAATCTTTCTTTATTATCAGGATATGTACCACAGTCCTTTAAAGTAGCTGTAATTAAACCCCTTCTTAAAAAGCCCACTCTTGACCCAGGGGTTTTAGCCAACTATAGACCGATTTATAACCTCCCCTTCCTCTCTAAGATTCTGGAGAAAGTAGTCGCCAAAGAGTTGTGTGACTTTCTACATAACAATAGTTTATTTGAGGATTTTCAGTCAGGATTTAGAGTTCATCACAGCACAGAGACAGCTCTGGTTAAAGTTAATAATGACCTTCTGACTGCTTCTGACAATGGACTTGTCTCTGTACTTGTATTATTAGATCTTAGTGCTGCATTTGACACCATTGACCATGATATTCTTTTACAGAGACTTGAGCATCAAATTGGCATTAAAGGAACCGCACTAAGCTGGTTTAAGTCATATTTATCAGATCGCTCGTAGTTTGTACATGTTAACGATGAATCTTCAGTAAATACTACAGTTAGTCATGCAGTTCCACAAGGTTCTGTACTTGGACCAATACTATTTACTTTATATATGCTCCCTTTAGGCAACATTATTAGGACTCACTCCATTAACTTTCACTATTATGCAGATGATACGCAGTTATATCTATCAATCAAGCCCGATGAAATTAATCAATTATCTAAATTACAAACATGTCTTAAGGACATAAAATCCTGGATGACCTGCAATTTTCTGATGTTAAATTCTTGTTCTTGGCCCCAAAAACCTTAGAGACTCATTGTCTAAAGATATAGTTACTCTAGATGGCATTACCTTGGCCTCTAGCACCACTGTCAGGAATCTTGGAGTTATCTTTGATCAGGATTTGTCATTTAACTCCCACATAAAGCAGACCTCTAGGACTGCCTTCTTTCATTTACGTAATATTACAAAAATTAGACACATACTATCACAGACAGATGCAGAAAAACTATTCCATGCATTTGTTACTTCAAGGCTGGATTACTGCAACTCTTTATTATCAGGTTGCCCCAATAAGTCCATTAAAACACTCCAATTAATTCAGAACACTGCAGCACGAGTACTGACAGGAACTAGAAAAAGAGATCACATCTCTCCTGTACTAGCTTCTCTGCATTGGCTCCCTGTAAAATGTAGAATAGAATTTAAAATCCTCCTCCTCACCTATAAAGCTCTTCATGGTCAGGCCCCTTCATATCTTAAAGAGCCCATAGTACCCTATTACCCCTCTAGAACACTGCGTTCTCTGAATGCTGGGCTACTTGTGGTTCCTATAGTCTCTAAAAGTAGAACAGGAGCCAGAGCCTTCAGTTACCAAGCTCCTCTCCTGTGGAACCAGCTTCCAGTTGTGGTTCGGGAGGCAGACACCCTCACCACATTCAAGAGTAGGCTTAAAACATTCCTCTTTGATAAAGCTTATAGTTAGGGCTGGATCAGGTGAGTCCTGAACCATCCCTTAGTTATGCTGCTATAGGCCTAGACTATCTGGGGATTTCCCATGGTGAACTGAGCTCCTCCCTTCCTCTCTCTTTCTGCACTCATTCATGTTCCATTAATGCATGTTACTAACTTCACTTCTTCCCCGGAGTTCTTGTGCTTTCTCGTCTCGCAGGTTCTTATCGATCCTGGTGGAGCCTCCTGCCATGGTCCTGCTAGATTGCCATTGCCAATACTGTTGTTGCTGTGCACCTGTCTGTCTGTCTCTCACTCTCTCTCTCTCTCTCTCTCTCTCACCCCAACTGGTCGAGACAGACGACCACCCACCTAGAGCCGAAGGATCTGTCCTAGGTTTCTGCCTTTTAACAGGCAGTTTTTCCTTGCCCTTGTCGCCAAGTGCTTGCTTATTGGTGGTACTGTTGGGTCTCTGTAATTAATGTTTTAAAGAGTTCGGTCTAGACCTGCTCTCTTTGAAAAGTGTCCTGAGATAACTTCTGTTATGAATTGGCGCTATACAAATAAAATTGAATTGAATTGAATTGAATGGTGTCAAATGCAGCACTAAGATCTAATAATACAAGTACAGAGACAAGTCCATTGTCTGAAGCAATCAGAAGGTCATTATTAACTTTAACCAGAGCTGTCTCTGTGCTGTGATGAACTCTAAATCCTGACTGAAAATCCTCAAATAAACTATTGTTATGTAGAAAGTCACGTAACTCTTTGGCGACTACTTTCTCCAGAATCTTAGAGAGGAAGGGGAGGTTAGAACTAAATACTACTGAATACTGCTGAATGTGACATTATTAGATATAATTATATAAAAGCTGCAGTTCCTCTAGCATCCACCAGAGGCTGCAGCAGTGAGTCAGCCATTATTAACCTGTACAACTCCTTTAATGACAGTAACGGTAACTAATTAATAATAATAATAATAATAAAGTGTCTGATTATTAATAATAATAATAATAAAATGTCTGATTAATAATAATAATAATAATAATAATAGAATCTGATTGAGGGTGCGGCTGCTGTGAGTAACAGCTGGCTTCATTCACCTCCCCCAGAGGTGGAGTTTGGGTGGAGCCAAGATGGCGACGGCCAGAGTCCACCACACTGAGCTTCATTCATTTATCTGCTTCCTTGTCCTCAGTGGGTTTGATACACGAGCCTGAACCTCCAGGGAGGGTGGAGTTATTGCTTTACATCCATCTAATATGCATTAATGATCTCACTTCCTGTCAGAGACCCATCTGCAGAGGTCAGATCACCATGGCAACAGAAACATTCATTATGTTGACAGAAGAAGAACTGAACGCGGTTTATATTGATCAACTCTGATTATTGATTTTAATATTAAAAAAACTTTGAATTTGTTAAGTGTTAAATATAAAAATGAATGTGAGACATTCAGTAAAGGAGAGAGAGGAAGAGGAGGAGGAGACTGTTAATGGACATATTGATTGATGAAGACAATCTGTGTGTGTGTGTGTGTGTGTGTGTGTGTGGAGGAGGAGGGGGAGGAGTTGAAAATGCCCCATCTGTGTTCTTCAGCCCTTTTGTTCTTTTATATGTTTAAACACTGTCTACTGAATACTGTTCACAAAATCAATATGTGATCAATATATCTGACAGCAGACGTCCTTCATCCTCTGAACACCACATTGGCTGCTCAACTCACTGCTTACTACGTTAGCTCTCTGTATCGTAGAGCAACGTTAGCTCTCTTTCTGGTAACAGATTTGAGGAGAGAAATAGTCAACAACAGAATCTGGATCCATATCTGATCAGCACTGTTTGACAGTTTGATCTGAGTTTGGTGCGTTGAGCTGGACGGACTTACTGAGAATGAGCTGTCAATCACAAGGTAGCCCCGCCCTAAAGCATACCCTGCTTTATGGTCTGTTTTACTCTAAATGGGACCATCAGTTACTAAATGAACATCATGCTGTATGGAAGAAGACTGAAACTAGAGACTGAGACCAGAAACTCATCAGGAAACTGTTTACTGAGCTCATTCTCCATTACAGTGAATGGGATCAGTTTATATTGCAGCCAGTGGAGCTCCCCCTGCTGGTCATTACTGTCATTATATAAACAGTCAATGATTAATCCTCAGCTGACTAATGGTTCCAACAACTGGTCTCAGACCTGCCAACATTAACTGATAACAATGATCTATGATCGATAATCTATGTTAACCCTAACCCTAACCCATTTCTGATTGTTGTTCAGGAGGAGGAGATGCCAGAGGAGGTGAACATTGATGAACTGCTGGACCTGAAGTCAGACGAGGAGAGAACACAGAGACTGCAGGTAGCTGTCTGTCTGTCTGTCTGTCTGTCTCACTGTCTGTCTGTCTGTCTGTTTCACTGTCTGTCTGTCTGTCTCACCGTTTGTCTGACTGTCTGCCTGTCTGTCTCACAGCCTCTCTGTCTGTCTGTCTGTCTGACTGTCTGTCTCTCTCTGTCTGACTGTCTGTCTGTCTCTGTCTGACTGTCCGTCTCACTGTCTGTCTGTCTCACTCACTGTCTGTCTGTCTGTCTGTCTGTCTCACTCTCTGTCCCTCTCACTGTCTGTCTGTCTGTCTCACAGTGTCTCTTTGTCTTTCAGGAGATTTTCCACTCCTGTATAAGCAGTCCAGAGGTGAGAACCAGAACCAGAACCAGAGAGTTCAAACTGAACCTCAGCTGCTGATGAATTTGTTATATGTAACAAAATAAGTATGACGGAACGTTCTCAGCCTGTAAATGTGTCCTTGGTCCCGGCAGGTCTTCATCAGCGAGCTGCTGTTAAAACTTCAGGGTTTACAGAAGCAGGAGGATCTGCATAACGACGGCATCGACCTCCCTCAGCTCCACATCTACCCCACCCGCCCTGGATCAGCAGACCAGGAGGTGCTGCACTGAGACAGCAAGCGTAGATGATCCTTACCTCCTACTGGAGGCAGTGGACAGAAAAACAACCACACCTGCAAACACCTCGAATGAGTCTATCCAATCAGACAACCAGAATCAATCTTTTATCAGCTGGTTAAAGTTGATCTGAGACACTGAAGGGACTTTAATAATGATGTCGCTCACTGCGTCCATTATTGATCACTTCCTGCTTTGATTAGGCTTCAGAAGTGAAACTCACAGTTTTTACCGCAAACTAATTGCCACTGTTGGTGTTTGAAGTCCTTCAGGCGACAGAGTCGTTCTTCTGGTTTCTGCCTGTTTGCAGTGTAAACATAACTGATATGATATCAGTGTGGACAGCCCTCCTTCACACTACCAACAACGGCACTGCTGTTATCAGCCCATACAGCAGTAACATTCTTCTTGTTCCTGACGCGTGGCCATTGTTCTATTGGAGAATTTACTTCACAGAAGAAAGATACTGAGATACAACCCCACTGTGTGTATTCTTTAATTCAATTCATTTGTATAGCGCCAATTCATAACAGAAGTTATCTCAGGACACTTTTCTAATAGAGCAAACTCCTTATAACATTATTTACAGAGACTCAACAGTTCCCACCTGAGCAAGACCTTGGAGACAGTAGCAAGGAAAAGAGAGAGAGACAAGACACAGAGAGTGTTCTCTGGTTTTCTGGGTCTCCTGGTTCTCCTGGTTCTCCTGTTCTCTGGTTCTCCTGGGTCTCCTGGTTCTCTGGGTCTCCTGTTCTCTGATTCTGCTGTTCTCTGGTTCTCCTGTCCTCATGGGTCTCCTGGTTCTCTGGTTCTCCTGGGGCTCCTGGTTCTCTTGTTCTCTGGTTCTCTGATTCTCTGGTTCTCCTGTTCTCTGGTTATCTGGTTCTCCTGTTCTCTGGTTCTCTGGGTCTCCTGTTCTCTGGGTCTCCTGTTCTCTGGTTCTCCTGTTCTCTTGTTCTCTGGTTCTCTGGTTCTTCTGTCCTCATGGGTCTCCTGGTTCTCCTGGTTCTCCTGCTCTCTGGTTCTCTGGGTCTCCTGAAGAGTCCTTCACTGTTTGTAAATTTTAAAATAAATGTTTGCATTTGAAACAATGACTCCTTCAGATTATTATTGTTGTTGTTGTTGTTGTTGTTGTTGTTGTTGTTGTTATCCTTTAGGAAAGTTGTAGTCCAAATGTTGTTGTCAGAAGTTCCAGTAGAAGAAGAAAGTGACTGCACACACAGCAAGGCACTAACACTGTTGGGTTGACGTTTGGACTCCTGCAGAGAACAGGAAGTGGCTGACAGACGGACTCAGAGCGCCCTCTGCTGGTTTCACCCTCCAACATCATTCTACTATAATACATGTGATTCACCATTACATCATAATAATAATAATAATATATTCATGTTGTGGATCCACATCCTAAAATAATTGGAAAAGAGGAGGCCATATGCCAGAAAATTTGGAAGAACCTCTGCGACCGATTTGGGGAAAAAAAACCAAAACCCTTTTTCTTCTTCTTCTAGTGCGTAGAAATAGCAAAGTCGGTAGCCTTTCCTCAGTTGCAACACCTCTGTTCAGGAGAAGACTGCAACTAGTGTCGCGACCACCACGCGCAAGTTTAAATAGTTACGGCGCTCCTGTGACGTCACATTGTCGCGCTACAGGTCAGGAACAGTGAGTATACACGACGCTTAAGTTGCTCCCCGACAGCTGCTCACTGCTGATTCATATTAATACAATTAAACAACAATAAAAAGGTTAATTAGGTTCAACTACAACTGATCTGAATGTGTGATAAAAACATAAACTGTAATAAAGTAATAACCTAATCAATGCACTAATATAAGAATACATATAAACTGTAATAGTAAAACTGCATAAGATCAATATAATAATAATAATATTTTGTGATTTCAGCCACAATGCTTGAATGAACTTATTAATTATTGTTATAAATTATTATTATTATTATTAATGATTAATTAACAGTGTGTCCATGTGGTTCTGGACTGCAGAGTTTCTGCCACTTTAAACATTTTCTACTGAACTGATGAAAATAAAACAATAAGAAACAAAATCAACATTTTATTAGAAAGAACATTATTGTGAAGATACATTAATAAATAACGTGTTTATTGTAATAATAATAATAATAATCATACATTTTATTTAAAAAGCGCTTTTCTGAATACTCAGACACTGTAATATAAGAAGAATACAAGAACATCAATCAGTAAAACAATATAAATAGATCTATCATTAGTTACAGAATCAATCATCTAAATTAATATTCCTATCAATATTTATCAAACACTACTGTACATTGATCGTTATATATAATTCTGCTTTTGTGGTTCGGGAGGCAGACACCCCCCCCCCCAGTCATATTAATACTCACATTCCTCGAGGCACTGGCCGAGGAGGTGGAGTAGCAGCTATATATGATTCGAGCGTTTTAATGGACCCTAAACCTAAACTAAATTATAATTCATTTGAAAGCCTTGTTCTTAGCCTTTCTCACCCAAACTGGAAAACACTGCAGCCAGTTCTATTTGTTATAGTGTACCGCGCTCCTGGACCGTACTCTGATTTTATATCTGAATTTTCAGAGTTTCTATCAAGCTTAGTCCTTAAATCAGATAAAGTAATTATTGTAGGTGATTTTAATATTCATGTGGATGTTGACAATGACAGCCTTAGTAATGCATTTATATCATTAATAGACTCAATTGGCTTCTGTCAGAGTGTAAATAAACCAACTCATTGTTTTAATCACACTCTTGACCTTGTTTTATCATATGGCATTGATATTGAACATTTAATAGTCTTCCCACATAATCCTTTCCTATCTGACCATTATTTAGTAACTTTTGAATTCATACTATTAGATTATAAGCCATTAGGCAAAACTTCCTACAGCAGATGTCTATCTGACAGTGCTGTAGCTAAATTTAAGGAGGAGATTCCTTCAGTGTTTAATTCAATGCCATGTCTGAATTTAACAGAGTCCTATAACAACTTTAGTCCCTCTGAAATTGATAATCTTGTCGATAGTGCTACAGGCTCACTACGATCAACATTAGACTCTATCGCTCCTATAAAAAGGAAATTATTAAAACATAGGAGACTAGCACCTTGGTATAACCACCAAACCCGCCAGTTAAAGCAAATAGCTAGGAAATCTGAAAGGAAATGGCGCTCTTCCAAATTATCAGAATATCGCTCAAATTGGCAAGATGATCTTAAGATTTATAGAAAGGCCCTCCGTAATGCCAGAGGAGCCTATTACTCAGCACTAATAGAAGAAAATAAGAATAACCCTAGGTTCCTCTTCAGCACTGTAGCCAGGCTGACAGAGAGTCACAGCTCTATTGAGCCACATATCCCCATAAACTTAAGTAGCAATGACTTCATGAGCTTCTTCTATAATAAAATTATTACTATTAGAGAGAAAATTAATCACCAACTGCCATCAACAGTTATCAGTAGCTCTCCAAGTTCAGGGACTTTTGCTAATGTAAACTTAGCTTCATCAGTTAACTTCAATCATTTCTTCATCGAAGCCATCAACCTGTCTATTAGACCCGATCCCAACTAGGCTGCTTAAAGAAGTTGTTCCTTTAATTGGCACTTCTTTACTGGATATGATTAATCTTTCTTTATTATCAGGATATGTACCACAGTCCTTTAAAGTAGCTGTAATTAAACCCCTTCTTAAAAAGTCTACTCTTGACCCAGGGGTTTTAGCCAACTATAGACCGATTTCTAACCTCCCGTTCCTCTCTAAGATTCTGGAGAAAGTAGTCGCCAAAGAGTTGTGTGACTTTCTACATAACAATAGTTTATTTGAGGATTTTAAGTCAGGATTTAGAGTTCATCATAGCACAGAGACAGCTCTGGTTAAAGTTAATAATGACCTTCTGACTGCTTCTGACAATGGACTTGTCTCTGTACTTGTATTATTAGATCTTAGTGCTGCATTTGACACCATTGACCATGATATTCTTTTACAGAGACTTGAGCATCAAATTGGCATTAAAGGAACTGCCCTAACCTGGTTTAAGTCATACTTATCAGATCGTTCTCAGTTTGTACATGTTAACGATGAATCCTCCATAAATACTAAAGTTAGTCATGGAGTTCCACAAGGTTCTGTACTTGGACCAATACTATTTACTTTATATATGCTCCCTTTAGGCAACATTATTAGGAATCACTCCATTAACTTTCACTGTTATGCAGATGATACGCAGTTATATCTATCAATCAAACCCAATGAAATTAATCAATTATCTAAATTACAAACATGTCTTAAGGACATAAAATCCTGGATGACCTGCAATTTTCTGATGTTAAACTCAGAAAAAAACGAAATTCTTGTTCTTGGCCCCAAAAACCTTAGAGACTCATTGTCTAAAGATATAGTCACTCTAGATGGCATTAACTTGGCCTCTAGCACCACTGTCAGGAATCTTGGAGTTATCTTTGATATCTATTGTGGTTCGTAGGAAAGGAGCAGACACCCTCACCACATTCAAGAGTAGGCTTAAGACATTCCTCTTTGATAAAGCTTATAGTTAGGGCTGGATCAGGTGAGTCCTGAACCATCGCTTAGTTATGCTGCTATGGACCTAGACTATCAGGGGATTTCCCATGGTGCACTGAGCTCCTCTCTTCCTCTCTCTTTCTGCACTCATTCATGTCCCATTAATGCATGTTACTAACTTCACTTCTTCCCCGGAGTTCTTGTGCTTTCTCATCTCGCAGGTTCTTATTGATCCTGGTGGAGCCTCCTGCCATGGTCCTGCTAGATTGCCATTGCCAATAATGTTGTTACTGTGCACCTGTCTGTCTGTCCGTCTGTCTCTCTCTCTCTCTCTCTCTCTCTCTCTCTCTCTCTCTCTCTCACCCCAACTGGTCGAGACAGACGACCACCCACCTAGAGCCGGAGGATCTGTCCTAGGTTTCTGCCTTTTAACAGGCAGTGTTTCCTTGCCCTTGTCTCCAAGGTCTTGCTCATGGTGGTACTGTTGGGTCTCTGTAAATAATGTTATAAAGAGTTCGGTCTAGACCTGCTCTATTTGAAAAGTGTCCTGAGATAACTTCTGTTATGAATTGGTGCTATACAAATAAAATTGAATTGAATTGAATTGAATTTTATATGAAAAACTAACAATAATTAATATTTAAACATATTTAGACATTAAATAATTATTCAAGTTATTTTAATCTAAAGTGCTTCAGTGCTTTTATTTTTACAGCCTGGACTAGGAAATACTTTCTGTAACCTGCCATAATAAAAGTCTTTATAGCTTTATATTGTGAAGTTATTCAGGATCCATGATGGCCGCCCTGATGGTCCCTCAAACTGAAGCTGGACTGACCTGTAACACACACACACACACACACACACACACACACACACACACACACATTGTAATGGTTGAGATTTAGCCTCACAAACGCAGCAGTACTGGACCACACAGACCTTGTTATGGCAGAATCCCTGACCCAGGACCAGGCCCAGCAGTGAGTTCAGGATGTTGGCTCCACAGAAGAGAGTCTGCAGGCCGCTGGCGCCCCCCATCACACTGAACAGGACTACATTCCACTGAACCACACCTCTGGGCTCCAGACACACTCCAGACCACAGAGTCCTGTTGTACAGGTAGCCTGCGTGACTGGAAAAGAGAGACCAGGGTTAGACCTGGTCCACATCAGTCTGCGTGTGTGTGTGTGTGTGTGTGTGTGTGTCTCACCGGTCTGGGAGGGGCTGTAGTGGGACCCCCCAGGTGGGACCAGAGGTGGTGTTGTAGAGACAAAGAGGACCCTGAGAGAGACCGGTGGCACTGACCAGACAGCAGATCCCAGCAGCCAGAAAACACACACAGGAGTACAGCACCTGACGCAACATCTGGATACACAGAGAGACATCTGTAGCACCTGACGCAACATCTGGATACACAGAGAAACATCTGTAGCACCTGACGCAACATCTGGATACACAGAGAAACATCTGTGACACCAGATGCAACATCTGGATACACAGAGAAACATCTGTAGCACCTGACGCAACATCTGGATACACAGAGAAACATCTGTGACACCAGATGCAACATCTGGATACACAGAGAAACATCTGTAGCACCTGACGCAACATCTGGATACACAGAGAAACATCTGTGACACCAGATGCAACATCTGGATACACAGAGAAACCTCTGTAGCACCTGATGCAACATCTGGATACACAGAGAAACATCTGTGACACCAGATGCAACATCTGGATACACAGAGAAACCTCTGTAGCACCTGATGCAACATCTGGATACACATAGAAACCTCTGTAGCACCTGACGCAACATCTGGATACACAGAGAGACATCTGTAGCACCTGACGCAACATCTGGATACACAGAGAAACATCTGTAGCACCTGACGCAACATCTGGATACACAGAGAAACATCTGTAACACCAGATGCAACATCTGGATACACAGAGAAACATCTGTACCACCTGACACAACATCTGGATAAACAGAGAGACATCTGTAACACCAGATGCAACATCGTGATACACAGAGAAACATCTGTACCACCTGACACAACATCTGGATACACAGAGAAACATCTGTAACACCAGATGCAACATCGTGATACACAGAGAAACATCTGTAGCACCTGATGTTATTGTAGCAAAAATATTTAAAAATGTGTGTGTGTTGTGTAAGTGCAGACATTCATATTAATGTTAATATAATATTAGTGGCTGAGCCGTCTCAGTATTTGACCCAAGAACTGGAAATACAGACGTTCTGCTGTGGCACATCTGTAAATGTGTGTATTGATCTGTGTGTGTGTGTGTGTGTGTGTGTGTGTGGGAGAGATTTGCCAACATATTTTCAGATCTATATATACATTTAGAGATGAGTCTACATATTTACAAATCTCAGTACATTTGCAACTCTGACACAGATTTGTAGATTATTTCACACATTTACAGATGTGATTACACACACACACACACACACACAACACACACACACACACACACATAACAATAATTGCTCCAAATTAATGCAACATCTGTAACACCTGACCCAAGTTTAAATGAATAACAAAGGTCAGATTTCTTTTAGAATCAAGTGAAAAATAAAAAGATGTTTGTCCAGATATTTTCTGGTCAACAAACCTCCATCAGCTCACCTGACCCCTGAAGGCACAGCAGCCGCTGGTTTTACTGCTTTGCACAAACGCTCGAGCTCCAAACAGAAGCTGAAATCAGACAAACATTAGTGTTATTACTTAATATAGATATTGATCAATATCAATATTAAGAAGGCCGAGTCTGTTGTTGGCTCTACACTTGTCAACCTGGACGAGGTGGTGGAGGAGAGGATGATGTCAAAACTGCTGGCAATCATGAACAATCCATCCCACCCCCTCCACACAACACTGGACAAGCTAAAGAGCAGCTTCAGCAACAGACTCATTCAACCACGCTGCTCTAAGGAACAATATAGAAAATCGTTCCTCCCCACTGCAATAAGACTTTCTAATAATAATTGACTCTTAATCAGGTGCTATAACATTATAATTTCCCTTCTGGGATAAATAAACTATTTCTATCTATCGATCTATCTATCTATCTACATTAATTACAGAGAGGCAGTTAAGCTGCATCCACAATGCCTCAGCAAATGAAAGGTTAGCTAAGTTAGCTTAGCATCAGAGTGTGTTCAGTTATAGTTGAGTAACGTAGCAGAGGAGCCGCTCGCTCATTCTAAGGTCTTATTATCAGCTGATTAATGAAAACATTGAATTATTATTCTATTAATGTGACACACTGGAACTTTAAGGGATTGAATGTAACAGCAGATTTTATTTAAGGAACCATTTTAAAGTGACACACCAAAATACACATGACACACACACACTGCATGTATCACATACAGCACGTGAATCATCACACACACAGACACCAACCAGAAACCTCTGTGGCTGAAACCCTACAGTTCCTCTAACAGCCACTAGAGGCTCCATATTAAACATGTTAACAGACTTTTGGTCTCTGGGCTGATGACGACTGTACGTTTATATATATATATATATATATAGTCCACCCTTTAAATGATATGAAATATTATGTATGAAATATTATTATTACTATATATTAAATATCATTGTTGTGGAAGACGTCCATTACAGTGAATATGAACACACGTACCAGGAAGCCGGACCCCCACAGACCTGTGGCCCACTTTGCCTCTCTGGTCACATGACCCTCCAAAAGGAAGTGGACCTTCAGTTCTGGAAGCAGCAGCAGGATGTTGGCCAGCAGGCAGATGGTCGCCATGGGAACCAGAGAAATGCCAACACACTGCAGACACCTTGACACACACATCTGTCAGGATAATGAAATCTGTGATTAATATTCTCAATAATCAATAACAGCTGAAACTCACTGTAATTATAATCTAGTCACCCATTGGGTCAGTAATACAAGTATCACAATATTATAGTAACTGGATTACTCTCTGGTACTTTTAGATTACCTCAACATGAAATATGCAAATATAGACAAGAGAACAGAAATATCAATAAGAAGTATTGATCAGAGTGTAATCAATAAACAACAGAACAATGAGACTTTAGATAAAAACCTATATGAATAAAATTATAATCCTGATAATAATTCACATTTTTATTAAATGTAACTGTAATCAGATTACGTTTGGACTGTAATGGAATAGTTACCTTCATTTTATATCCCAATTACGTTACATGTAATCTGTTACTTCCTGATCATAAATTTAAAACTGATTACTGATTACAATCAATGTATCAATCAATTTGTCCGTGATCGATTACACACCCGAATATTGATTACTGATCTCAGGAATTATCAGATGAAAAACTTAATATTTACAATCAATACATTAATTACCGGTTTCAGGGGTTGTCATCAATCGATATAGATCAATATTGATTTCCTTTCAGCTGCTTAATGATCCACAATGTGATGGATTATTGAGTTAAAATTTGAACCTTTTTTTTAACCGTTTAAAAAAAGATTCACTTTAAAATAGAAATAAAACATTCACAACGAATCTTCTGTTTCTGATCAACAAATATATTGATTGATTGATTTCAGTTCTTGAAAAGAAGGAATAGTACTAATACTACTAATAATATAAATAATAATGATGATGTTGAACTCTCACCCTGCTGTGGACAGACAGACGATCCCGTTTAGAGTCAGTCTGAGGAACAAACATTTATAACACTTAGAGACACGCCCATTTCCTTATATGGAAGTACAGCGTGAGGACGGACAGACAGACGAACCACATCAATGTGTCCATGGCCCTTCAGCAGAATTGATTTTATTTAACAGAAGTGTTCACTGTGATCACTGTTTGTATTGATCAACCAACAGCTGTATATAATATAATATATAATATAATAATGAGAATTCAACAAAGCACCAGCAGTGACACCAGCTCTCTGCATGAACATCATTAAAGGTTAAAGACTGAGACTGTGTGTATTGTTGTGTATAAATATATTACGTTATAGAATGACAAACAAAGAGTAAAGAACAAACAAACACTGCAGTGGGGTTTGATGTTCCTGAGGATGGCCATAAATAGAAAACAAAGCATTCTGGGAAACAACGTTCTGGTCTAAATGTGAACACCTGAACACCGCTGGACTTTCAGAGACTACATGAGGGAGGTCAAAGGTCACTGGGGCAGTTAACGTGGTGATCATGGAATTGTCTTTAGATCCAGATCTGAGAACTGACCTCTGAGTCCACTTCATCTTTTCTCTATTTTCAGTTCTTCTAATTCTAGCTGTGAGTCAGAGGACAGCAAAGGCTCATGGGAAACCACCCGCAGGATGACGTGTTCACTGGTCTGGGGTCTGATCCTCAAGCAGTATTTCAACTTGGTCCAGTTGTTTGATCCACATTAGTCTCAGTGGACCGAGAACCAAATTACGAACCCTAACCCTGGTCCAGAGTTAGTTGTAATTTGAATGATTGATATCTGATCAAGTTTATCAACCTGATATTTATGATCAACGACCTTCATCATATCTAACCCTAACAGACTCTGTATCGGCCGATAATCAATATTTAAATCAATATCAGTACCTGATAAGACTATAGATTGATAATCAATATTCAGTCCTTCAGGGTCACAGGACCAAAAAAACCTCAGAACGATTTATATAATATATGTATATTATATAATAACAATATTGTTATTATATAATAATAATGTTATTAATATAACTTTTCATAATATTGTTATTATATACCGTAAAGCTTCTAAGGTCCGTGTATGTTTTGGTCATTGGATTTTCCTTTCAGAAACGGGTATTAAAAAACAGAAAACGAGTGGTTATTTGATTTTCGTTTTAAAATACAAAAATTAAAATTGAAATACAAGGCGTTTTTCTTTTTCATGGTCAAAAAGGGATGAGCGAAATTTAAAAAATGATTCGATTTTCATTTTCTATTTCATATAACAAAAAATAAAATCACTAGAAAACAGAAATGGAAAAAAGGCCTGTTGTTTCATATTCTGAGACCGGATGTTGTCATTTACAGGACGGTGCTGTGTAGAAGAAACAGTAGGCTAGTAGACTGCGATCTCCGTGGTCAAATCAGCCGCACTTAAATTTAGAGTGTACAAGTATTCTCAGCATTATGGTAAATGCGGAGAAACAGCGTATTTGGGGCAGGTCTTTAACTCCTTCAGCACAAACTCTCTAACTGCTGCTTCTCTTCAGTTTGTTCAGTAAATTTTGTGGCATACTTTTTCCTCAGTGCCAGTGCCATGACACTGAATGTGAATGTGGTTTTACAGCAGCTGAAGATTTCCGGCAGCCAGTGTACAGACAGTGAACAGACAGCAAGCAACAGACTTCACATGATAATATTCACAGCTGGGATTAATTTAATGGAACACTTTGTTCTGATGGCCCGTGAAGGACTAAAGGAATAAAATGGAGGAACGGACGGAGTGGACATTATAATCTGGACTCTTGTTCACAGCGCTGCTGAGTCTGAATGAACATTAAACTTTAATGTTTATATTTTCAGTAAAATGAAGGATTGAACTGATCCAACGATGTGCAGCATCATACTGACACAAGGTTAAAGATTATATTTATATCTATATCTATCTATATATCTGTGGACGTAAACGGCCTAAAGCAGCAACCCGCTGGGTTTAACAGGTTTTATACTACAGACCAGGCCTCTATTGGAGACCTGCTGTTATTTGTCAAAATGTGGAGCCACAGCCGGCTTTTAAAGGGGACAGGTTTTCTATTAGGGACCCTGCATTTATTAGTTCCAATATTAGTAAGGTATATATATATATATATATATATATATATATATAGTTTTTTTTAATTATAATTGTTACATAATTATCATTGATTGTAAAATCTCACTTCCTCTTTATATACCTTATAATCATTCAGTTTTCAGCAGCTACAGTCAATCTTTTATCAGATTGTTTGATTAATCTGTAAAATACAGCTGATATTGATTCAATTCAAAGGGAAATGAATTTGATCAGAAGACAAAGTAGAAACTGATAATTTCTCTTTAAAAGTATTGAAGAATGAATTTCTGGTCTTGACTGGTGTCAGATAAATATGATCAAATGTAGATTTATCTCTCCATCAGCTGAGACCCTAACTTTTATTAAATCGAGGTTGCAACCAATGTCAGACAATAAAAAAACTCTTTATTTCTCATTGTATGAGAGTGCAGTCACAGCAGTGCCCCCTGCAGGCTGTAAATCACAGATATACAGTTTATTCTCTGGGAACAGTTAGTCAGTCAGTACACAGTGATAGTGTCCATTAACAGTCAGCTCAGTTAACTGTTAGTTACCACTGTTGTATGATGATATCACTGATTACTGTGAAACTGAAGAAAACCTGATTCTGAATTAAAGCAGAAACGTCTCACATCAACATTCAAGCTGATATATTGATCATATTGATCATATTAACTCCGTCTGGAGGCTGAAACAAGAAAACCTGAACGCAGCATTAACGTGTTCAATGTGTGCAGTTGTCATGGTAACACGTTAACATGTTCAGTCCTCTCTGGTTACTGATACATTGAACTCTGGCTGGGTGGTGATCAATATACCAATATATCAATATATACCTTCAGAAGAACTAAAAACTAAATATTTCTGACTCTAAACTTCTTCAAACTAATAAAGTGTAAAATTAAATGAAAAATAAATGAAGTTTGGTTCAGTTTCTCAACATCTGGCCAAATGTCTGTGGACGGCCCAGTTAGTGTTCAGATCTGATGAGTCCAGGTTCCCTTTCTGACAGGAGGTGGCAATGTTCAGCTGTCCACTTCTTTCTGGCCATGTAGTGTCTCCACAGTGATTACAGCGAAGAGAGAGAGAGAGAGAGAGAGAGAGAGAGAGAACAGACAGATGGTCAAGGCACTCAGACTCTGTTGGTAGAGGGACACTGGGACTGAAGCAGAAGGAGGAGAAAGGGGCAGTGAGGAAGTGAAGGCATTCGGACTTGACGAGGGTTCAGCTGCTGAGGCTGGAGAAGATGTGGGTCAGAGTGGTCTGTTTGCTTCCCCTGGAGGAGGATGATGCAGTCTTTGCAGACGAGGCAGAGGAGGGGCTGGAAGAGCTCTTTCTTGGGGGGTGGCGGTTCTGGCGGAGCAAGTAGGCATCAGAGGATCCTTTACGTCTGTCGGTGGCTCTCTGCTTCTCCTCCTGGTCCAGCTCCTTCTGCAGGAGTAGAGCCAGTCTGCGGTCCTCCTCCTCCTGCTGCTGTCTGCTCTGCAGCTCCATCTCCCACTCAGAGACTGCCTGCAGGTCCGACGCCCCCAACCCTGGCCCAGAGGAGGAGGAAGAGGAGGACGAGGAGGGCAGGGAGCGACAGATTCGTTTGGACACCTCCTCATCCTCCTCGAGCTCCGAGCTTTTCCTCTTGGACGATGAAGGTCCTCTGTCCCCACTCAGCTGAGTCCTGGGGTCCAGCTGGGCACCCTCAGAGACTGGATGGAGGTCTGGAGAGTCGCCATAATAGTCCAGTTCAGGAGGAGGACGCTGGGATACTAGGATGTTCTCCTAAAACAGGAAGTCCAACATCAATTAACTTAGCTTGGCATAAACCGTGCACACAAGTAGCCTGGGCTAATGGATGGTAAATGGACCTGTACTTGTATTGCGCCTTTCTAGTCCTCCAACCACTCAACGCGCTTTTACACTACTACACCACATTCACCCTTTCACACACATTCATACAGTGATGGCAAAGCCCATCAAACAGAAACTAACTCATTCATACACATTCACCCATCGATGCATGGCATCAGGGGCAATTCGGCATCAAGTATCTTGCTCAAGGATACTTCGACATGTGGCACCAGGAGCTGGGGATCGAACCCACAACCTTCCGATTAAGGAACGACCCGCTCTGCCTCTGAGCCACAGCCGCCCCTGTCATCAATCACGTTCTAAAGCTGATCAATACGTCTGATCAGTTTCAGCTGATCAATAAATACTACAGTTAGTACTGGAGTTCCACAAGGTTCTGTACTTGGACCAATACTATTTACTTTATATATGCTCCCTTTAGGCAACATTATTAGCAAATCAAAAATAAATTCCTGTTCTTGGCCCCAAAAACCTTAGAGACTCACTGTCTAAAGATAGTTACTCTAGATTGCATTACCTTGGCCTCTAGCACCACTGTCAGGAATCTTGGAGTTATCTTTGATCAGGACATGTCATTTAATTCCCACATGAAGCAGACCTCTAGGACTGCCTTCTTTCATTTATGTAATATTACAAACATCACACACATCCTATCACAGACGGATGCAGAAAAACTAATCCATGCATTTGTTACTTCAAGGCTGGATTACTGCAACTCTTTATTATCAGGTTGCCCCAATAAGTCCATTAAAACGCTCCAATTAATTCAGAACGCTGCAGCACGAGTACTGACAGGAACTAGAAAAAGAGATCACATCTCTCCTGTACTAGCTACTCTGCATTGGCTCCCTGTAAAATGTAGAATAGAATTTAAAATCCTCCTCCTCACCTATAAAGCTCTTCATGGTCAGGCCCCTTCATATCTTAAAGAGCTCATAGTACCCTATTACCCCACTAGAACACTACGTTCTCTGAATGCTGGGCTACTTGTGGTTCCTATAGTCTCTAAAAGTAGAACAGGAGCCAGAGCCTTCAGTTACCAAGCTCCTCTCCTGTGGAACCAGCTTCCAGTTGTGGTTCGGGAGGCAGACACCCTCACCACATTCAAGAGTAGGCTTAAGACATTCCTCTTTGATAAAGCTTATAGTTAGGGCTGGATCAGGTGAGTCCTGAACCATCCCTTAGTTATGCTGCTATAGGCCTAGACTATCGGGGGATTTCCCATGGTGCACTGAGCTCCTCTCTTCCTCTCTCTCTTTCTGCACTCATTCATGTCCCTTTAATGCATGTTACTAACTTCACTTCTTCCCCGGAGTTCTTGTGCTTTCTCGTCTCGCAGGTTCTTATCGATCCTGGTGGAGCCTCCTGCCATGGTCCTGCCTGACTGCCATTGCTAATATCACTGATATTATTGTTATTATTATTATTAATATTATTATTACTACAGTTACTATTATTACTTTTGTCACTGCTCATTGTCCCCCATCGTTGCTGTTGTCCTCGTCATCGTCTTCTTCATGTTCATCATCATCAGTCACTACTATTGGTGTAGTTGTTGCTACTGTTGCTGTCTGTCTGTCTCTCTCACCCCAACTGGTCGAGACAGACGACCACCCACCTAGAGCCGAAGGATCTGTCCTAGGTTTCTGCCTCTTAACAGGCTTTTTTCCTTGCCCCCGTCGCCAAGTGCTTGCTCATGGTGGTACTGTTGGGTCTCTGTAAATAATGTTATAAGGAGTTCGGTCTAGACCTGCTCTATTTGAAAAGTGTCCTGAGATAACTTCTGTTATGAATGGCGCTATACAAATAAAATTGAATTGAATTGAAATTGATCAATACGTCTGATCAGTTTGATGTTTTCTGGAGGACTCGGTGACAGAGTGAACGATCTGTTCCTGTAAAGATCTTTGTGTGTCTCTGATCTGTACCTGGGAATAGTGATAATAAAGATCACTGATTGATTGATAGATTGATGAACAGACCTTGTTGGCCATAAAGCTTGAGGCGGAGCTGCAGTCTGAAGAATTACTTTTAGATGGATGAGGACACAAGAACCTGAAACACACAGACACCTTCATCATCATCATCATCAACATCAATCACACTTCAAATGTTTGTGCTGTATATAAACAGATGATCAACAATGATCAATATGGTGTTTGCAGTGCTTCCTGAGCCTCTGATAATAATGCAACAGTGTGAATATTAATAATAATGTAACAGTGTGAATATTGACAGTAATGCAACAGTGTGTTAATATTGACGATAATGTAAGTGTTAATACTGATAATAATGTAACAGTGTGAATATTGATAATAATTTAACAGTGTGTGAATACTGATAATAATGTAACAGTGTGAATATTGATGATAATGCAACAGTGTGATTATTAATAATGTAACAGTGTGAATATTGATGATAATGCAACAGTGTGATTATTAATAATGTAACAGTGTGAATATTGATGATAATGCAACAGTGTGAATATTAATAATGTAACAGTGTGAATATTGATGATAATGCAACAGTGTGACACTGACAGAAACACAAGCTCAGAGTCAGTGTTTGGAAAGGCCTGAAACCAGCTGATTGTTCCTGATCAGGGCTCTTGACCTACCTCAGGCCTAACGAGCTGATGAAGCTCTGAGACCTCGTTAAACAATCCGAGACTGCAGAACTCCAGGGTTGACTAAACTTTATCAAACTGTATTTATTCTTTATACTATAAACATATAGACAATAATCAATAATAATCAAGACAGTGACAGAATGGTTTGATCAGCACTGGTTGGTGTCTGATGGAGCAGTTATTGATACTGGTCTTCATGGATCTAGATCATCTGAAGTCCACCTACCTCTCAATCAGCCCTCCACTGACTTCCTTCTTTTTCTTCATTGGAGTCACTTCGACAGGAGGCACCTTCTCCTCAGAGTTCTACAGGTGGAGTAGAGAAGAGAGAAGAGGTGGAGAGAGGAAAAAAGAGAGAGGAGAGAGAAAGAGGAGAGAGAAGAGGGAGAGAGGAAAAAGGAGGAGGAGAGAGGAAAAAGGAGAGGAGAAAGGAGAGAGGAGAAAAGAGAGGAGAAAGAGGAGAGAAAGGAAAATGAAGAGAGGAGAGAGAAAGAGGAGAGAGGAAAAAAAGGAGGAGAGAGAAAGGAGAGAGGAGAAAGGAGGGGGAGAGAGGAAAATGGATAGAGGAGAGAGGAAAAAAGAGGAAAAAGGAGAGAGGAAAATGGAGAGAGGAGGAGGATAGAGGGAAAAGGAGATAGGAGGAGGAGAGAGGGGGAGAAGGAGGAAGAGAGGAAAGGGGAGAGGAGAGAGGAAAGAGGAGGAGGAGGACAGAGGAGAGAGGAAAAAAGGAGAAAGGAGAGGGGAGGAGGAGAGAGGAAAGAGGAGAGAGGAAGGAGGAGGAGGAGAGAGGAGAAAGGAGGGGAAGAGTTAAATGGAGAGAGGAGGAGAATAGAGGAAAAAGGAGAGAGGAGGAGGAGGAGGAGAGGAAATGGGAGAGGAGGAAAGAGGAAAGAGAAGAGGGAGGAGGAGGAGGAGGAGAGGAAAGGTGAGAGGAGAGAAAGGAAAATGAAGAGAGGAGAGAGAAAGAGGACAGAGGAAAAGAGAGAGGAGAGAGGAGAAAGGAGGGGGAGAGAGGAAAATGGAGAGAAAGAGGAGAGAGGAGAAAAGAGAGAGGAGAAAGGAGGGGGAGAGAAGAAAATGGATAGAGGAGAGGAAAAAAGAGGAAAAAGGAGAGAGGAAAATGGAGAGAGGAGAGAGGAGGAGGATAGAGGGAAAAGGAGATAGGAGAAGGAGGAGTAGAAGGAGGAGAGGAAAGGGGAGAGGGGAGAGGAAAGAGGAGGAGGAGGACAGAGGAGAGAGGAAAAAAGGAGAAAGGAGAGAGTAGGAGGAAAAGAGAGGAAAGAGGAGAGAGGAAGGAGGAGAGAGGGAAAGAGTAAAATGGAGAGAGGAGGAGGATAGAGGAAAAAGGAGAGAGGAGGAGGAGGAGGATAGAGGAAAAAGGAGAGAGGAGGAGGAGGAGGAGAAGCAGAGGAAATGGGAGAGGAGGACAGAGGAAAGAGGAGAGGGAGGAGGAGGAGGAGGAGGAGGAGGAGAAGGAGAGGAAAGGTGAGAGGAGAGAGGAAGGAGGAAGAAGGAGGAGGGGGAGGAGAGAGGAGAAGAAGCATATATATTAATATATTATTGATACAATTATTGATACGATTATTGAAATAGAAACTGACCAGTTGGTTGCTGAGCATTCTGGCCAGCCTCTCATCTTCCTCTCTCCTCCTCCTCTCCTCTTGCTGCAGCTGCTCCTCCTCCTGCAGCAGTGTCTGGATGTATTCCTCACTGGCCCTCCTCTCTTCCTCATCCAGAACCCGCTTCGCCTCCGTCAGCTGACCACAACAACAACAACAACAACAACAACAACAACAAGAGTTTGGTCACACTCAGAGCTGTACACCAGAAATATTACAGAACTCAATACGGTCACATGTGACAGACAGCAACATAATCCGTAATAATATAATAGAGAAGTTCTGTAAATCAGAGTTTACTAAATGTTTCTTTGGTTCATACTAACTAATGTCACATCATCAGGATTTAACCACTCACAGTAACAGTGAATGTCACTGTCTGCCAACATTAGATTAGATTCTATCGCTCCTATAAAAAGGAAATTATCAAAACATAGGAGACTAGCACCGTGGTACAACCACCAAACCCGCCAGTTAAAACAAAAAGCTAGGAAATCTGAAAGGAAATGGCGCTCTTCCAAATTATCAGAATATCGCTCAATTTGGCAAGATAATCTTAAAACCTATAGAAAGGTACTCGTGCTGTGGGTATCGGCCAATACCGAGTACCGAAACCGATACCAGTGTGTTAAAAGGAAAGTAAAAAATCATACTACGCCTGCATGACTGTGATACAGGGGCAGACTGGGACAATACTTCAGGCAGGGAATTTGAAACCATCCCAAGCCACCACCACCACCTGATTAACGCAAAACACCAAGAGTGAGTTAGGTTGGGTACCTACTGATGTAAGAGTGTAAAATAATAAAGCAAAGGCTCCACATGCGCCCACACACAGCTTTTTCTGTTTCTTTCCCCTACAAAATAAATGTTTCTGTTGTGCTGCAATAACCTGAACTCAAATCACATAATTTCTATTCTATTTCATTTACTACTACACTTTTAATGTGCAGGCTGCACATAATAGTGTAGTAGTAGATTGCTCATGGTGGTACTGTTGGGTTTCTGTTAATAATGTTATAAGGAGTTCGGTCTAGACCTGCTCTATTTGAAAAGTGTCCTGAGAACTTCTGTTATACATTGGCGCTAAACAAATAAAACTGAACTGAACCGGGCAGAGGCAGAGCGGGTCGTTCCTTAATCGGAAGGTTGTGGGTTCGATCCCCGGCTCCTGGTGCCACATGTCGAAGTATCCTTGAGCAAGATACTGAACCCCAAACTGCTCCCGATGCCGTGCATTGGTGTATGAATGTTAGTTTCTGTTCGATGGACTTTGCCATCACTGTGTGAATGTGTGTGAAAGGGTGAATGTGGCACGTAGTGTAAAAGCGCTTTGAGTGGTCGGAAGACTAGAAAGGCGCAATACAAGTACAGGTCCATTTACCATTTAACATAAACCCAATACGATGTTTATACTGTAGAGTGCAGCTCTAAACACACATTACATCAAATCAGATCAAATAGTGAGGCTGATCAAGACAAAGTATGTGTGTATGAGGCTGCATTTAATCAATATATCAAGATTGCATATCAAAATCTATCATCAGCAACAGCTGTCTGTGGCCAAAATAACAACAACAACAACAACATAAAGAAGTGAACTTACTTTGGTGACCTGGTCCTCATATTCCTGTCTCAGTTCTCCAGGCTGACTGACTCTGGGAACACACACAGAGACTGCGCACACACACACGCACACACACACACACACACACACACACACACGATTATTGTAAAATGTATGTATGTAGATAATGATGACTATTGATAATATTATTATTATTATTATTAGATACAGCACAGTAGTGATGATAGTGATAGTGAGTGAGAACTACAGTGTTTACAAAAGTGAGAACTACAGTGAGAACTACAGTGAGAACTACAGTGAGAACTACAGTGAGAACTACAGTGAGAACTACAGTGTGAACTACAGTGAGAACTACAGTGTGAACTACAGTGAGAACTACAGTGTGAACTACAGTGTGAACTACAGTGAGAACTACAGTGTGAACTACAGTGTGAACAAAAGTGAGAACTACAGTGAGAACTACAGTGTGAACTAGTGAGAACTAGTGAGAACTACAGTGAGAACTACAGTGAGAACTACAGTGTGAACAAAAGTGAGAACTACAGTGAGAACTACAGTGAGAACTAGTGTGAACTACAGTGAGAACTACAGTGAGAACTACAATGTGAACTACAGTGTGAACTAGTGAGAACTACAGTGTGAACTACAGTGAGAACTACAGTGAGAACTAGTGTGAACTACAGTGTGAACTACAGTGAGAACTACAGTGTGAACAAAAGTGAGAACTACAGTGAGAACTACAGTGTGAACTACAGTGAGAACTACAGTGAGAACTACAGTGAGAACTACAGTGTGAACAAAAGTGAGAACTACAGTGTGAACTACAGTGAGAACTACAGTGTGAACTACAGTGAGAACTACAGTGAGAACTACAGTGTGAACTACAGTGTGAACTACAGTGAGAACTACTACTACTAAAATGTATGTATGTAGATAATGATGACTATTGATAATATTATTATTATTATTATTATTAGATACAGCACAGTAGTGATGATAGTGATAGTGAGTGAGAACTACAGTGTTTACAAAAGTGAGAACTACAGTGTGAACTACAGTGTGAACTACAGTGTGAACAAAAGTGAGAACTACAGTGTGAACTACAGTGAGAACTACAGTGTGAACAAAAGTGAGAACTACAGTGAGAACTACAGTGAGAACTACAGTGAGAACTACAGTGAGAACTACAGTGAGAACTACAGTGAGAACTAGTGTGAACTACAGTGAGAACTACAGTGAGAACTACAGTGAGAACTACAGTGTGAACTACAGTGAGAACTACAGTGTGAACTACAGTGTGAACAAAAGCGAGAACTACAGTGAGAACTACAGTGAGAACTACAGTGTGAACTACAGTGAGAACTACAGTGAGAACTACAGTGTGAACTACAGTGTGAACTACAGTGAGAACTACAGTGAGAACTACAGTGTGAACTACAGTGTGAACTACAGTGAGAACTACAGTGAGAACTACAGTGTGAACTACAGTGAGAACTACAGTGTGAACTACAGTGAGAACTACAGTGAGAACTACAGTGAGAACTACAGTGAGAACTACAGTGTGAACTACAGTGAGAACTACAGTGAGAACTACAGTGAGAACTAGTGGAACTACAGTGAGAACTACAGGAGAACTACAGTGAGAACTAGTGTGAACTACAGTGAGAACTACAGTGAGAACTACAGTGAGAACTACAGTGTGAACTACAGTGAGAACTACAGTGTGAACTACAGTGTGAACAAACGAGAACTACAGTGAGAACTACAGTGTGAACTACAGTGAGAACTACAGTGAGAACTACAGTGTGAACTACAGTGTGAACTACAGTGAGAACTACAGTGTGAACTACAGTGTGAACTACAGTGTGAACTACAGTGAGAACTACAGTGAGAACTACAGTGAGAACTACAGTGAGAACTACAGTGAGAACTACAGTGTGAACTACAGTGAGAACTACAGTGTGAACTACAGTGTGAACTACAGTGAGAACTACAGTGAGAACTACAGTGAGAACTACAGTGTGAACTACAGTGTGAACTACAGTGAGAACTACAGTGAGAACTACAGTGTGAACTACAGTGTGAACTACAGTGAGAACTACAGTGTGAACTACAGTGTGAACTACAGTGTGAACTACAGTGAGAACTACAGTGAGAACTACAGTGAGAACTACAGTGTGAACTACAGTGAGAACTACAGTGAGAACTACAGTGAGAACTACAGTGAGAACTACAGTGTGAGTGAACTGCAGTGAAAACAACAACAATGCTGGTTCATTGATCTGATTGATTGACAGACAGTGTGTGTTTGGGTACCTCCGGGGTCGTCATCAGAGATGGCGTCCTGCCCGCTGAGGCGGCGCTGGCACTGCAGAGGGAAGGAGGTCTGGATCTGGGTCCACAGGGTCTGGTTAACCAGAGTGTTGTTCCTGCTGTGCAGTCGGGCCCACGTAGAGACCCTCTTCCTGCAGAGCGGACAGCACAGCGTGGCTTTATCCACCGACTCCAGGAAGCAGCCCTGGATACAGTTAACAGCATTAACACATAAACAAAAGACTGTATATAAAGATGACAGTTACTGTTACAGATCTACTTTCTGATGTGTGATCAGACAGACTGTGGATACTTCCTGTTAGAGGGGCGTCACAGCCACAGTCTCACTAACAGCAGACCTCTTTAAAGCTGCTCAATCAGTACAGAATAACTTCTGCTGCAGTGCCCTTGAGCCAGACACTGAACCCCAAACTGCTGCTGATGAATCACTGAGTGAACCAATGAATGAGTGAATGTGACTGTAAAGTATAGTACAGGGGCAGGGGGCATTAGACAGGGGGCATCAGTACAGGGGGCATTAGTACAGGGGGCAGGGGCATTAGTACAGGGGGCATTAGTACAGGGGGCACAGGGGGCATTAGTACAGGGGGCATTAGTACAGGGGGCATTAGTACAGGGGCAGGGGGCATTAGTACAGGGGGGCATTAGTACAGGGGGCATCAGTACAGGGGGCATTAGTACAGGGGGGCATTAGTACAGGGGGCATTAGTACAGGGGGCATTAGTACAGGGGGCATCAGTACAGGGGTACAGGGGCATTAGTACAGGGGGCATCAGTACAGGGGGCATCAGTACAGGGGGCATCAGTACAGGGGGCATTAGTACAGGGGGCATTAGTACAGGGGGCATTAGCGGGGCATTAGTACAGGGGCAGGGGGCATTAGTACAGGGGGCATTAGTACAGGGGGCATCAGTACAGGGGGCATCAGTACAGGGGGCATTAGTACAGGGGGCATTAGTACAGGGGGCATTAGTACAGGGGGCATCAGTACAGGGGGCATTAGTACATTACCTTACAGAAGGTGTGTGTACAGGGCAGTGTAACCGGCTCCATGAAGATCTCCAGACAGACCGGACAGCGGCAGTCCTCCAGAGACAGTCTCTCCCCGCTACCTGCCCCGCTACCTGCCCCGCTACCTGCCCCGCTACCTGACACCATCTTCCTCCTCTTCTTCTGTGGTGTCACAGCTCTGCAGGAGGAGAAACAGCTCAGACATCAACTTCCTGTCTGATGTCACATCCACGGTTTTATTGATTTCAGCTGTTTGACAGTAAATTAAAGTCTTATAATATTGATTATTGATCACTATGATGATCTGATCCTTTATCAATAATGTCTGACAGTCTGTTAGTTTACACTGAGATCATCATCAACAACAACAACAACAACAACAACAAACAGAGTGCCTAGGCAAACTAACGTTAGCTGCTAGGATCACTGTTCTCTCTTCAGGTCCCCAACACAGATCAATAACGACCAATACTACACATATACTGATCAATAACGACCAATACTACACATATACTGATCAATAACGACCAATACTACACATATACTGACAATACTACACATATAGTGATCAATAACGACCAATACTACACATATAGTGATCAATACTACACATATAGTGATCAATAACTCACCTGGACGGTGACCGTTGAAGCTAACGTTGGCTTCACAACCACAACAGGCAGTTAGCTTTAGCTTCCCGGCTAACTTCAGAGCTAAACTTACGTACAGCAGACGGAGTGCTGCTGCTAACCGCTGCTAACCGCTGCTAACCGCTAACTAACCGTTAGCACTACGGAGCTCCCGTTAAACGCTTCAACGGTTCAACGGCTTCATGTTACCGGAGCTTTCAGGCCTCACCGACACTCACCGGAACCGGACACTGACCTCCACCGACAACCCGCGTGAATCAACCGTTGACATAATGCGCATGCGCAGATGTCTGCCTTAAAGGAACCGCGGACAGATATTCCTCACAGTGACTGCGGAAGGATATGTGACTGCCCCACAGCAGACTGGTTTCACTGTCAGGTTGTTCCGCGGTGGAATATAGATCCTTACTGGCTGCTGCAGTCCGACTGTTCCACCCCAGCGCGGGAGTTTATTCATCCAGATATTCTTATTTATTCTATTCTTTATTTTCTATCAATCTTTTCTTTCATTGTAATATTAGTATTTATTTAACTGTAATATTAGTATTTATTTATTGTAATATTAGTATTTATTTAATTGTAATATTAGTATTTATTTCATTGTAATATTAGTATTTATTTATGTAATATTAGTATTTAAACATTGTAATATTAGTATTTATAACATTGTAATATTAGTATTTATTTCATTGTAATATTAGTATTTATTTAACTGTAATATTAGTATTTATTTATGTAATATTAGTATTTATTTAATTGTAATATTAGTATTTATTTCATTGTAATATTAGTATTTATTTCATTGTAATATTAGTATTTATTTATGTAATATTAGTATTTATTTAATTGTAATATTAGTATTTATTTATTGTAATATCAGTATTTATTTCATTGTAATATTAGTATTTATTTCATTGTAATATTAGTATTTATTTATTGTAATATTAGTATTTATTTATTGTAATATTAGTATTTATTTAACTGTAATATTAGTATTTATTTCATTGTAATATTAGTATTTATTTCATTGTAATATTAGTATTTATTTATTGTAATATTAGTATTTATTTAACTGTAATATTAGTATTTATTTATGTAATATTAGTATTTATTTCATTGTAATATTAGTATTTATTTCATTGTAATATTAGTATTTATTTCATTGTAATATTAGTATTTATTTATGTAAAATATAGTATTTACTTAATTGTAATATTAGTATTTATTTATTGTAATATCAGTATTTATTTAATTGTAATATTAGTATATTCATTTTAATATTAGTATTTATTTATTGTAATATTAGTGTTTATTTAACTGTAATATTAGTATTTATTTAATTGTAATATTAGTATATTCATTTTAATATTAGTATTTATTTATTGTAATATTAGTATTTATTTAACTGTAATATTAGTATTTATTTCATTGTAATATTAGTATTTATTCATTCTAATATTAGATATTTATTCATTGTAATATTAGTATTTATTTCATTGTAATATTAGTATTTATTCATTGTAATATTAGTATTTATTCATTGTAATATTAGTATTTGATTATTGTAATATTAGTTTTTGCAATTAATTGAAATTTAAAATAAAGTGTGGAACTGTTCTCAGCAGAATGCTTTTATTATTGAGAATATAATTATTATTAAGTTATATATGCACATTTATACATCATTAATGTAGTGGAGTAGAAATATAAAGTTATTATTATAATGTTATATATTATTAGATCTAGATGTGGAGTAGAAATATAAAGTGATTATTATAATGTTATTTATTATTAGATCTAGATGTGGAGTAGAAATATAAAGTGATTATTATAATGTTATATATTGTTAGATCTAGATGTGGAGTAGAAATATAAAGTGATTATTATAATGTTATATATTATTAGATCTAGATGTAGAGTAGAAATATAAAGTAATGATGTTTAACAGACAGTATTTGTTTTAAAGATACACAATAAGAAAACTTTATAAGAAGTTAGGTCTGTTATGAATTGGTGCTATACAAATAAAACTGAATTGAATTGCTGATATGATTACTGATAATTACCTGTTTCTTATGGCTGATACACATAATCAATAATTTCACATATAGGTCTACAAATCTAACTGACATCACTATTGTTTACACAACAACAAACAGTAAACAACAACGAGACTCCTTAAATCTTCTCAACCCCTTTTTTGTTCAGAGTACACAAACATACTTTCATATAAAGTCTATTCAATGTTTAAAAATTTAAATTAATTCAAAATAAAATATTATTATTATAACCTTATCATTTCTCACAATCATTTATTGACTTGGCCTCTCTAGTTTGTTGATATCAGGTTAAATAAACATTATGATTTTATTTATTTACAATAATTCATGTTAAGAAGACAATCAGCTACTTGGCACAGTTAATTGGTATATTGGCTCCTTTAGTTTCTATCGTTCATGTGTTTGTGGATGTGTTGCTGGCTGTATATGAATGCTTTATTTGTGCCTTCCTTGTATTTAAGGTTCTTATAGTCTCTAAAAGTAGAACAGGAGCCAGAGCCTTCAGTTACCAAGCTCCTCTCCTGTGGAACCAGCTTCCAGTTGTGGTTCGGGAGGCAGACACCTTCACCACATTCAAGAGTAGGCTTAAGACATTCCTCTTTGATAAAGCTTATAGTTAGGGCTGGATCAGGTGAGTCCTGAACCATCCCTTAGTTATGCTGCTATATTTCCCATGGTGCACTGAGCTCCTCTCTTCCTCTCTCTCTCTTTCTGCACTCATTCATGTCCCATTAATGCATGTTACTAACTTTACTTCTTCCCTGGAGTTCTTGTGGTTTCTGTCGCAGGTTCTCATGGATCCTGGTACCATGGTCCTGATTAACTGCCATTGCTAATATCACTGATATTATTATTATTATTATTACTACAGTTACTATTATTACTATTGTCACTGCTCATTGTCCCCCATCGTTGTTGTTGTCTGTCTATCTGTCTCACTCTCTGTCTGTCTCTCTCTCAGTCTCTCTCCTACCCACCTAGAGCCGAAGGATCTGTCCTAAGTTTCTGCCTCTTAAAATGAAGTTTTTCCTTGCCGCTGTCTCCAAGGTCTTGCTCATGGTGGAACTGTTGGGTCTCTGTAAATAAAGTTATAAAGAGTTCGGTCTAGACCTGCTCTATTTGAAAAGTGTCCTGAGATAACTTCTGTTATGAATTGGTACTATAAAAATAAAACTGAATTGAAAATTGAATTGAATTAAACATTGGCTGAGTAAATAATTAGTGAATTAATGTGTGTAATGTCACTAATCAGACAGTGCCAGTAGGTTTATCTGTAACCGTCCAGCTCTCACTGTAAGGTGTTATTAACATGTGCTACTAATTTATAATTATTCTTTTGTGACAATTTGAGATAATCGCAAGTCGTTCCTTAATCCTTAGTTAGTACTACAAACAGAGTGAATCTGTATCTTGTGGACAGGATTTACAGGACTGTATAGGATTGTAATTTGTAGAGTATTAGATGATTGTTAGTATGTTATTCTAGGAAGCACACGCAGCTCCAGTGTAACCCTGTACAGCCACCCAGTAAAGTATTCTACCCGATACACCACAGTGATTACAAACTCCACAACCAGTGACATTCATTAAAATACATCAAACCCAAATATAATCATAACAGACGAGGAAAAACAATAGAGAGCAGTACTCTGTGGTTGACCTGTAACCTCAGGTCACAGTTAAGGAGGGATTCATTATTGATTCTCTAATTGATTGATCTGAAGAACTGAGGAGGTAAATCAATTATTTCACATGAAAAGAGCAAAACAAAGAATTATAATTAAAAAGTTTATTTATATCATCTCATGAATCTTCTATGCTCAATATATGCAGTATAAATACGCCGTATTAATACACAGTAGAGAGCTGGGACACAACTTTAATACAAGGCGTTGAACTAATGGTGTCTACTCTCCACAAACTACACTGAGGGACTATTTCTTGAGCAGAAAGTAGTTCCTATGAAAAGAGCACAAATTAAACAGTATTCTCCTCCAAGGTAACAGAGACAAAGAGTCAAACTGAAGGAAACAGCTGAGAAATACCTTCCACAAACAATCAGCCATTAAAAAACAACAACAGACGGTCAAACTACAAACAATATTTATCATCAGCAGAGTTTTGGTTTTAAATATTAAAATTAAATCACGTCTCTGTTTATCCTGGGCGGATGGATACACAGAAATAGTTCCAGGGGGCATTCAGGTGTTATTGAAGGAACACAACCTTCTGTTTCCAGTCCAGATGCAGAATTGTCCTATTTTAAAGTACAACAGAAAATAAATGTCTACATTAAACAAATGTGAAGAACTGTATCAGACTGCAACGTATCCAGTTGCTCCATATTAAAATGTCCTTGAAGCGTATCGTAGCACAGTAATGTATCTGGGTATTGGATCGTCCTGAAAGGTACAGAATCGCACCCCAATAAGCTAGGCTGTACTGTACTGAACACACAGAACATCACATTTCCAGTCTTTATGCTGAGCTATGCTAACCACTGTAGTGAACATCAGAGAGAATCAGAGGATCCGAGGAAACATTTAGGTGTTATTGAAGCTCTCAGTCCACGGGAACACGGTCTTCTGTTTCCTGCGTTTGCTGCTGGACTCAAAGCTCCGGAAGTCGTCTCCACAGCAGTGTTTCTTGAGCTGCCGGGAGTCGGAGAATCCGCGGCCGCAACGCTCGCAGGCGTACAGCTTCACTCCTGTGTGGATCTGCATGTGAGACTTGAGCTGGTTTGACTGGCGGAACTTCCTGCTGCACACGGTGCACTCGTAGGGCTTCTCCCCGGTGTGGACCAGCAGGTGGCGGTGGAAGTTTTGCGGAGTCCGGAACTCCTTCCCGCACTGTTCGCACTTGTGCGGTTTGACTCCGGTGTGCAGGAGCTCGTGCTGCTTCAGCTGCGACATGAGCAGGAAGCCCTTCTGGCAGACAGTGCAGACGTAGGGCCTGTCCCCGCTGTGCTGCCTCAGGTGGTACAGGTACAGGTGTCGCAGGTGGAAGGACTTCCCGCAGGTGTCGCAGGTGAACTCTTTGTTTTCGGCGTGGCTCTTCTCGTGTGTACGCAGTGTGCTGTTGCTGCTGAAGCTCTTGAGACAGATCTTACAGCTGAAGGCCTTAACCCCGGTTGGCCTGCGTCTGCCTGGCACGCCTCTGACCCTATCCTGGTTGTGGTGGACCAGCTGCTGGTGTTTCTGCAGCTGACAGTTGTAGAAAAATGTCTTCCCGCACAGGTCGCACATGAATGGCTTCTCAACACCATGAACCAGCATGTGGGTCTTCAAAGCCCAGGTTCCTGTGAACCCCTCTCCACACTGATCACACCTGAGACAAGAACAGAGAGCATGTTGAACTGGAGACGCACCAGTAAGCACTGTGCGAACTATTCCATGGATTTATTTTTTAAACTGAAGGTAATGATATTGTGCAGCCATGCTTCAATAGTGATGGCAAGAATAGCAGCATCTTTATTAAAGTGAATTACTGATGAACCACCCTCATGCACAAATCATACATCAGTAGTAGTATAATACTTTTTTTTCTGCTATCGATCTTCATCAAGTAACTTAATCATTTCTACATCGAAGCCATCAACCTGACTGTTAGACCCCATCCCAACTAGGCTGCTTAAAGAAGTCTTACCCTTAATTGGCACTTCTTTACTGGATATGATTAATCTTTCTTTATTGTCAGGATATGTACCACAGTCCTTTAAAGTAGCTGTAATTAAACCCCTTCTTAAAAAGCCCACTCTTGACCCAGGGGTTTTAGCCAACTATTGACCGATTTCTTTTTTATTTTTATTTTTATTTTTTAAACACACAGGTTATTTTTATTTTTTTTTTTTTTTGGGGGGGGCCTTTATTGCCTTTAACTGATAGAGACAGCCGAAGGTAGACAGGAAAGGGTTGCAGAGAGAGGGGATGACACGCAGTAAAGGGCCGCAGGTCGGAGTAGTCGCCAAACAGTTGTGTGACTTTCTACATAACAATAGCTTATTTGAGGATTTTCAGTCAGGATTTAGAGTTCATCACAGCACAGCGACAGCACTGGTTAAAGTTAATAATGAGCTTTTGATTGCTTCCGACAATGGACTTGTCTCTGTACTTGTATTATTAGATCTTAGTGCTGCATTTGACGCCATTGGCCATAATATTCTTTTACAGAGACTTGAGCATCAAATTAGCAATAAAGGAACCGCACTAAGCTGGTTTAGGTCATACTTATCAGATTGTTCTCAGTTTGTACATGTTAACGATGAATCTTCCATAAATACTACAGTTAGTCATGGAGTTCCACAAGGTTCTGTACTTGGACCAATTCTATTCACCTTATATATGCTTCCCTTAGGCAACATTATTAGGAATCACTCCATTAACTTTCATTGCTATGCAGATGATACCCAGTTATATCTATCACTCAAGCCCGATGAAATTAATCAGTTATCTAAATTACAAACATGTCTTAAGGACATAAAAACCTGGATGAGCTGCAATTTTCTGATGTTAAACTCAGAAAAAACTTTCTTGTACTTGGCCACAAAAACCTCAGAGACTCACTGTCTAAAGATATAGTTACTCTATATGGTATTACCTTGGCCTCTAGCATGTCATTTAATTCCCACATAAAGCAGACCTCTAAGACTGCCTTTTTTAATTTACATAACGTTACAAAAATTAGACACATCCTGTCACAGACAGATGCAGAAAAACTAATCCATGCATTTGTTACTTCTAGGCTGGATTACTGCAACTCCTCATTATCAGGCTGCCCCAGTAAGTCCACTAAGACGCTCCAATTAATTCAGAACACTGCAGCACGAGTACTGACAGGAACTAGGAAAAGAGATCCTGTACGTTATTATTTATTGAGGTGATGATATATCCTGTTCCTTGTGTTGTGTATGCAGTATCTGTACCTGAAGGGTTTCTCTCCATTGTGGAGGCGGAGGTGTCTCTGGAAGTTATACTTGAGGCCAAAGCTCAGTCCACACGTCTGGCACATAAAGGGTTTCTCTCCGGAGTGGACCACGCGGTGCTGCAGCAGTCCCATCTTACACTTGAAGGCCTTGTCGCAGTCACAGCACTTGTACGGCCGCTCCTCAGAGTGCGATCTTCTGTGGACACGCAGGTTGCTGGCGGTGGAGAAGCTTTTCCCGCAGGTTGGGCAGGGGTACGGCCGGGCGCCGGTGTGGACGGTCTGGTGCTCACGGAGGCTCTTCTTCCTGGAGAAGCCTTTCCCGCAGACGTCGCACATGAAGGGTTTGACCTGAGAGTGTGACACCTCGTGGTAGCGGAGCGCGCCAGCGGAGGTAAAGGTGCGGTCGCAGATTTGGCACTTGAGCGGTGTTTTCTCTAGCCGGTGAGACGCCTGGTGGACTCGGAGCTGCCGCAGCAGTCTGAACTTTTTGTCACACTGATCGCAGCACAGCAGCTTGTCAGGGTCGTTCTCCTGTGCCTCCCTCAGCTGGTGGGTCAGCAGGTGCTTTTGTAGAGTCTTGGCCTTGTAGAAACCTTTATCGCAGGAGGTGCAGGGGAACGGTTTGAGGTGACAGGAGACATGTTTCCTCAGCTGGTGTTTCTGATGGAAACCTTTGTTACACAGCTCACAGAAGAACCTCTTGTCCTTGTACAGCTCCCTCCTCCTCTTCCTCTCCAGCTCCTTCTGTTCCTCTTCATTCAGACCTGCACAGGAAACAGGATTACAGAGAGTCAACAACTAATCATTCACTTACAGTAAATACAGACAAAACTGTCAGCTTCAGCAATCTGTTGAACGACGGTTAGGGTAACAAACTTGCTCCTTTCAAGGGTACTTACCGGATTACATTGGTACTGCAGAGTACCAATATTTTGGTACCTGAGAGAATATGTTAGAGTATAGATAGAGAGACAGACAGACAGACAGACAGACAAAGAGAGAGCCTGCAGTTTAGCTAACGTTAGCTGAAGATAACTTAATCGACATGTTCAGGTAATTAACTAGCTAGTTGGAGAAGTTGTTGTTGATGATAATGGAAAGTTTTTCACTTTGGGTTGATGTTACCATAAAGTTTTACTAGCGTTAGCCACAGACTCTCGTCAGGTTATTATGATATAGTTAAAGTTAGTAACAGGTTATTAAGAGATTACTATAATATAGTAATAGTTATTAAGAGGTTATTATGATATAATAATAGTTATTAAGAGGTTATTATGATATAATAGGCTATTATGAGTTTATTATGATATAATAATAGTTCTGAACATAATAGTGAATAACATACTCTTTACAGGGAATTATTACAGTTTACAGCAGTAATGAGAGAAGTTTGGACTTATTTTCTACAACTAAAGTTTTGTTATTAAGAGTAAAGTAGAGAAAAAAGGTACTGTTGGCTGCTGGTACCGATTTAAATGTGAATCAACCCTAACTTACCTGCTCTATACCTCCTCAGCTACACTCTAATAGTATTGAGTCTTATGGAGAAGTTGATTAATGAGCTCAGTAAACGGTTTCCTGATGAGTTTCTGGTCTCAGTCTCTAGTTTCAGTCTTCTTCCATACAGCATGATGTTCATTTAGTAACTGATGGTCCCATTTAGAGTAAAATAGACCATAAAGCAGGGTATGGGGCGGGGCTACTTTGGTTGTTGGTTCAATCCCCGGCTCCTGGTGCCACATGTCGAAGTATCCTTGAGCAAGATACTGAACCCCAAATTGCTCCTGATGCCGTGCATCGGTGTATGAAAGTGTTAGTTTCTGTTAGATGGGCTTTGCCATCGCTGTGTGAATGTGTGTGAAAGGGTGAATGTGGCACGTAGTGTAAAAGCACTTTGAGTGGTCGGAAGACTAGAAAGGCGCTATACAAATACAGGTCCATTTACCATTTACTTCTGGTTCCAAATACCAACTTGGGGACAGCCGTGATGCCAGACTGGAGGCTTCAAACTGGTAAGGCACAAACCAATGGGTGTATTGATTAAAGTTTATGGTACCAACAGGAAGTGATGAGGAGTTCAAGTTATTTAATGTAAGAATAGTCTTTAAAGTTATTTATGTAAGAATAGTCTTTAAAGTTAATGTAAGAATAGACTTTAAGGTTATTTAATGTAAGAATAGTCTTTAAAGTTAATGTAAGAATAGTCTTTAAAGTTATTTATACTTGTAGTTTGAGACTCTCAGACAGGAAACTCCTGCAGTCTGACTGCATTCATGAACTCAATTCGTCTCTACCGTCTCTCACTCAGCTGCAGTTTCCAGGACTTTTCCAGGACTTTTCCAGGAGCTTTTATTGACAATACAGGACATCCCTCGCTCACAAACTGTGGTCATCAATTATGAGACGCTTACTTTCGTGGCGAGCTTGGCTTCTCACAACAGCAGATTTTTCCTTTTTACCAAATAGACCTTTTTCACAGCATCCATGTTGACATGAAATAGTAGGGTAAACACAGCAAATGATACCAATGAGGGCTTCATTCAGATCAAATACTTAGTGGCAGTCTTTCCATTGAGCCTCTGTTTGACCTCAAGGAACGTAACCTTAATTGCTAACACCAGTGTTTACCCTACTATTTCATGTAAAGATGGCTGCCGGGAAAAAGGTCTACTGACTAAAGTTTCCTAACAGTAACATTTATTTGGCCACAGCACAGGATTAAATACGGCTAACATTTCCAGGACAACACAGATTATTTCCACGATATTTGGTCTTTTACTGGTTTTCCAGGACCTGTGGGAACTCTGTGTTTGTTTACATGGCGGTACAGAGAGCACCAGTTAGGACACAGTCTGCTGAATCTGTTTCATACAACAGTTAATCAATGTTTGTCCAATCATTATTGATTTACAGCCTGTTACTTGTCTCACCTGTTTGACTGTCTGTCTGCTCCTCAGCTTTCCGTTCAACCTCCTCCGCTTCCTGGAAAACACGTAGAGATTCCACTGATTATTGATTATTATGTCATCAGATATTAATAATTTACTTTAATTCAACATTATTATTCCTCGTCCAGCCACAATAACTGGAAAACACACTCACACTTTAATGATCAATCAATGTAATCAATCAAATGATTGATCTTAGTTATACAATTAGTTGATTGACAGAAAACTCATCAACAGTTACTCTGATAACTGATCAATTGTTTTGTATGTTGGACATTTTATAGACCCAACGATCACTAAAAACAATAATCATCAGATTAATCAATAATGATCCTAATGTTGCACTTCCTGTTTTATTCTGTAAAACAAAAGTCAACAACTTTCACAATAAAAGAGACACATTCTGCCCTCTGAGCCAATGGAAGGCTTTTAATGTGAAACATCTGCAGGAAGTGTTGAGTTTTATAAAGTAAAAGCATCTAGAGGGAGTGCTGAGTGAAATGTCATCAAATATAATACAAAATATAAAATAAAATCACAACTGATGCAGCTGTTTAACTTCACAACAATGTCACACTGTAAATATGATATGTACAATATACAATCTATAATCTATAATGTAATGTATTATATATAAGATATACGTATTATACACTGTACTGTACATTCAGCATATTCAACACTTACAAAACCAAGCGCTGGTTCTTCTTCAGGTGTGGGCGTGTCTTCACTGGCTGCGAGCTCACCGGTTAGCTGATCATTAGCGACAGGAAGTGAAGTCATGTTTGTGGAGATCTGGTTCATTTCTAACACCACCTCAGTCTGAAGGTCGGTCGGACTCCTAGCAGCAGCGTTAGCGTAAGTGGTGGTTTGATCTGGTTTCTGTGGCGGTTCCCGGGAGGCGGAGTCAGTCTGGCCTGTGATTGGTCCTGGGACGGGCTGGCTGATGATGACCAGAGGGACCTGAGGACTGCTGCTGGCTCTGTGTCTGGATTTGGTGGAGTTGAGGATGGCCATGGCGAGGGCGGCAGGGTTGGCAGCTGGTTGGTTGATGTCCAGTGAGAGGGCGGGTCCATCTGGAGGAGACAGGAAGTAAGGTGCGTGGCTGTGCTTTTTACCAGGACTCTGACTCTGGGGATGAAGACCCGGCGGGTTCAGGCAGTGACAGGAGAGGAAGAGGAGGAAGAGCAGCCAGTTTGTAGCCAGTTAATTAGTCAGTAACTGTTAACGTTATCAACCATCCATCGTATCGATCAGTCTGATTAGTTTCAGAGAAGTTGGAAGTTACTGAACAACCGGACTGTGAGATGTTACACTGTGTTGGAATTAATGAATTAATTCAGCTCTTCACTCATTTATTTAAGTATCCGGCCATTTTGTTCATATTCTCTCACTCATTATATTTCTATAGTGGCTCCTTCTTATTGTCTTTTATTTTTATTTAGATTTTTATAGCTTGATTGTAATTCTTATGCACACTCTTCCTCCTCTTCCTCCTCCTCGCTGCTTGTTCTGACACATTCAGAATCAATACTGCAGCTTCTGTTAATGTTTAACAGGTCAAACTGTTCACATATACACATTATAATCAATACAGTGATATCAGAAACTAATATACACATTATAATCAATACATTATAATCAATACAGTGATATCAGAAACTAATAAACACATTATAATCAATACAGTGATATTAGAAACTAATATACACATTATAATCAATACATTATAATCAATACAGTGATATCAGAAACTAATAAACACATTATAATCAATACAGTGATATCAGAAACTAATAAACACATTATAATCAATACAGTGATATTAGAAACTAATATACACATTATAATCAATACATTATAATCAATACAGTGATATCAGAAACTAATAAACACATTATAATCAATACAGTGATATCAGAAACGTTAATTATAATAAAGAGGATAATGTTATTATTACTTCCTGTGTCTGTAGGTTTCATGATGCGTTCAGGGTCTCTGGGACTGACCTGATGGTTTGATCTTATAAACCGTCTTCTCAGCTCCGCGGTTTCTGACGACCTTTGACCTCAGTTCAGACTCCAGGTGTCCCACTCTGTCCCTCAGAGTTTGGTTCTCTCTCATTAAACTCTCGTACAGCTCTCTGAAGATTCTGCAGATCTGACGCACCGCCTCCCTGCTCATCACATCAAGGACGGCCGTCAGCTGAGCCTGCTCACCAAACACACACATATATATATATATATATAGATACATACACACTGCTATTATATGATATATACTGTGTTGGGCTCTACGACGTAGGGTGTTAGAGTGGTCTAACTGTATTGGTTTAATCATTTAATGGTTATCAAAAATTATAATTATCAAAAGATAATAGAAGATGACTTTAGTTAATATTTATGTTCCTCGGGGTACCACCCTTACATAAGTGAACGATAACCAATAATTGATTGATCAGTCTCATAAAAATTACTCTAAACTATTAATTCAGAAGTCAGATCAATAATTAATATTAATTAATAATAGCTAGAGTGGGAGCTTTGGAGTTACATAGAAGAGGTTGGTATCACTCACTCTTGAACAAAATGAAATAGGCCAGCATATGTAAACACAAACATTTATTAACCAGATATAATAAAAGCCAACCGAGGAAAAATACACTATATACAATCGGACTTAAAATAACTAAGGAGTGTGTGTGTGTGTGTGTGTGTGTGTGTTTATGGGGGTCATAAAAGGCTAATGTCCTGTGTCCTCTCTATGTGGCCGTGCACACATAGTTGAAAGTTTTTTTGAAATCTGGATAAATACCTCGCGTTCAGACGGATACGGCGTTTTCAGTGTGTGAAAACGGTATTTTTTGTAAACGTGTCCCAGAGTGGGAAAATCCGAAAACGACAGATGGCCCAGAGTCTTCTGGACGATGAAAACAGATTTTTTTCCGAAACGATGACGTATTAGCCCCGCCTCTCTAGCCTTTAACCTCAGCCGCTGCTGTTAGACGCATCATAACAACAACAACAATGGCGGACTACTACTACTTATTTGTAAACAGTATATGCTCCGTGGCTTCTCTTCCGGTTTTAGTGTATTGGTGTGGCGGCGTCCCAGCGCCACATACAGGCCTGGCATTATGTACTACAGCGTTTTGGGTCGGTTTCAGTGAATCCGTGTGGACGCAGATATTTCTGTTTACAGAGTTTTTTTCAAAACGACATCGTATTGGGTGAGGCCGCGTATATCTCTCAGTCTCACCAGCAGGTGTTTCACGCACTGAAACATCTGGTCGGAGGACACAGGACATAAGCCTTTTATGACCCCCATAAACACACACACACACACACACACACACACACACACACACACACACACACACACACACACACACACACTCCTTAGTTATTTTAAGTCCAATTGTATATTGTGTATTTTTCCTCGGTTTGCTTTTATTATATCTGGTTAATAAATGTTTGTGTTTACATATGCTTGCCTATTTAATTTCGTACAAGAGTGAGTGATACCTAACCCGACAACAGTTATTATATATTATATACTGTTATAATATATATATATATATATATATATATATATATATACACACTGCTATTATACTGTTATATATATAATATACTGTTATATGTATATATATGATATATACTGTTATAATATATAATATATACTCCATCCACCACATCACCCCCGTTCTACAGCAACTCCACTGGCTCCCAGTCAAGCCCTGCATAGACTTCAAAGTCCTCCCGTTTAAGGCCATCCACAACCTTTCCCCTCATTATCTGTCCGAACTCCGAGTTCAGTGGAGCTACAATAATCAATAATCAATAATATACTATATAATTAATAATAATTGCGATACTGAGTGCTGCTGTCTGTTCAATGGAGCTACAATAATAAATAATCAATAATAATAATATATAATTAATATTAATTGAGATACTGAGTGCTGCTGTCTGTTCATTGGAGCTACAATAATCAATAATCAATAATAATAATATATAATTAATAATAATAATAATTGCGATACTGAGTGCTGCTGTCTGGTCAGTGGAGCAACAATAATCAATAATAATAATAATGTATAATTAATAATAATTGAGATACGGAGTGCTGCTGTATATATTATATATAGTTATTCTAGATGGCATTAACCTGGCCTCTAGCACCACTGTCAGGAATCTTGGAGTTTTCTTTGATCAGGATTTGTCATTTAACTCCCACATAAAGCAGACCTCTAGGACTGCCTTCTTTCATTTACGTAATATTACAAAAATTAGACACATACTATCACAGACAGATGCAGAAAAACTAATCCATGCATTTGTTACTTCAAGGCTGGATTACTGCAACTCTTTATTATCAGGTTGCCCCAATAAGTCCATTAAAACGCTCCAATTAATTCAGAACGCTGCAGCACGAGTACTGACAGGAACTAGAAAAAGAGATTACATCTCTCCTGTACTAGCTTCTCTGCATTGGCTCCCTGTAAAATGTAGAATTGAATTTAAAATCCTCCTCCTCACCTATAAAGCTCTTCATGGTCAGGCCCCTTCATATCTTAAAGGGCTCATAGTACCCTATTACCCCACTAGAACACTACGTTCTCTGAATGCTGGGCTACTTGTGGTTCCTATAGTCTCTAAAAGTAGAACAGGAGCCAGAGCCTTCAGTTACCAAGCTCCTCTCCTGTGGAACCAGCTTCCAGTTGTGGTTCGGGAGGCAGACACCCTCACCACATTCAAGAGTAGGCTTAAGACATTCCTCTTTGATAAAGCTTATAGTTAGGGCTGGATCAGGTGAGTCCTGAACCATCCCTTAGTTATGCTGCTATAGGCCTAGACTATCGGGGGATTTCCCATGGTGCACTGAGCTCCTCTCTTCCTCTCTCTTTCTGCACTCATTCATGTTCCTTTAATGCATGTTACTAACTTCACTTCTTCCCCGGAGTTCTTGTGCTTTCTCGTCTCGCAGGTTCTTATCGATCCTGGTGGAGCCTCCTGCCATGGTCCTGCTAGATTGCCATTACCAATACTGTTGTTGCTGTGCACCTGTCTGTCTGTCTGTCTGTCTGTCTCTCGCTCTCTCTCTCTCTCTCTCTCTCTCTCTCTCTCACCCCAACTGGTCGAGACAGACGACCACCCACCTAGAGCCGGAGGATCTGTCCTAGGTTTCTGCCTTTTAACAGGCAGTTTTTCCTTGCCCTTGTCTCCAAGGTCTTGCTCATGGTGGTACTGTTGGGTCTCTGTAATTAATGTTAAGGAGTTCGGTCTAGACCTGCTCTATTTGAAAAGTGTCCTGAGATAACTTCTGTTATGAATTGGCGCTATACAAATAAAATTGAATTGAATTGAATTGCTGTCTGTTCAGTGGAGCTACAATAATCAATAATCAACAGTCAATAATATAGTATATATTATTAATTAATAATATTAACTGAAATACTGACAATAATCAATAGTCAATAATAAAATAATATTTAATTAAAACTAATATTAAGTGCTGCTGTCTGTTCAGTGGCCGCAGCTAAACACAATGTGTGAGCAGTAGTTAATCGATATGTTAATGATTAAATATTGATAATATCTCCAGCTTTAATTCATTTAATTTATAATTAATATTTCACGTCGTGTTTCTGTGAGTTTGTCTCGCGTTATTTCCGCTCTCAGACAACCGAGGAAGTGAGGGCCGATTGTCCTCCTGTGGTCTTTAATCTCTGGACACCAATAATAATGACTAGTGAACACAGTGTCCTCACCCTCCTGTGCTCGCTGTGCTCGCTGTCCTCGCCATCCTGTGGCAGTCTCTGGTGGAGGACAGACACCGCGGACTCCACCGCCGCCTCCATGATCAGCTCCATCTGCCCGCGGAAAGTTTCTACCGACTCCATCACGGCCCGAGAGCCCGCCGGAGCCCTCTCACACAGATCAATAGATCAATAGATCAATAGATCAATAGATCAGTGGTCCCGGTTCAGTGTGACTGGAACAGAAAGAGTGAAACTCTAACAGTTAGGATGGTTATCTGCTGTCTTTGTACACAACATGGCGGCCTGTTTACATCCGGTTCACTCGTCTTCTTCTTCTTATTCTTTGGAGCGCCACCTCTTGTATTACATTATACCGCCCCTACCGGACACATCCTGTAGTACACCTACAGCTTTACATTATACCGCCCCTACCGGACAGAAGCAGGTAGACAGGATCCACAGACAGACACAGAGAGAGAGAGAGAGAGAGAGAGAGAGAGAGAGAGAGAGAGAGAGAGAGACAGAGAGACAGACAGAAAGAGAGAGACAGAGGAACTAACTACAGAGGAATATGTGTCTCCAGTAACCTGGGAAAAATATTCTGCAACATCATTAATAAACGACTTGTCAACTTTCTTGATGACACAATATTCTGTATAAATGCCAGATTGGTTTCTTGCCAAATTGCCGCACAACGGACCATATATTTACCCTCCAGACTTTAATTGATCAAGAATTAAAAATTAAGAAAAGAAAGGTATATGCATGTTTCGTTGACTTCAAAAAAGCCTTTGATTCCATCTGGCACAAGGGCCTTTTCTATAGGCTACTTGAAAGTGGCATTGGAGGAAAAACATATGATCTGATTAAGAACATGTATACAAAAAGTGAATGTGCCGTAAAGATTGGAAACAAACAAACAGCGTTCTTCTCCCAGGGCCGGGGAGTGAGGCAGGGATGCAATCTCAGTCCAATTCTCTTCAATCTATATATCAATGAGTTAGTGAACCAACTAGAGCGTTCCACGGCACCTGGCCTCACCCTGAACGACACAGAGATCAGAGGTCTGCTATATGCAGATAACTTAGTGTTGCTTTCACCTACTAAAGAAAGTTTGCAGCAGCACCTTAATCTCCTGCAGAGATTTTGTCAGACCTGGGCCCTGACAGTAAACACAGCAAAGACTAAGATAATGATCTTTAAGAAATGATACAGAAATCAGGTTACACACAATTTCTATTTAGACACCACTAAATTACAACATACAAAAAACTACACTTACCTTGGTCTCAACATTACATACACAGGAAACCTCAACATGGCTGTGAAAGATCTGAGGGACAAAGCAAGGAGAGCTTTCTATGTATAACCCACTGGACGAGCTGAAGCCTCCCTACACACCCAGAGACTCTGCGTTGTGTTTATGGTGGTGATAGGGTGTTTACGTGGGGAGGGAAGAGAAGCACTGGAGACAGGAGTTCTGGATTGTGGCTGAGACCTGGAGACACTTTATTGGCACACATTGACAGCTTTCACCTCTGGTGCTCTTCACTGGCTGCTTGCTCCGTCACCCTTACAGGACAATGAATGAAAACATTTTTTATATAGTTTTTTTTTCTTAAAAACTATATTCTAGTGCACATAAACAAATATATCATGTCAAAATAATACTCTACAACTGAAAATGATAAATTACAGGAAGTTTAATTAAATAAGGCACTCTATAAACATATGACTTCATAAAAATAAATTAAATGACTTAAAACAGCAAACTGAAAGAATAATGTTTCATCCTGCACTATTTCCACTGAACAGGTGCTCCACTCACGCACAGCAAGCTAGCCAACATTACAGCCAAAGTTTTCATACAAAATACAAGTGTTCGCTTCTCAAACCCGCACTGAAATGTAAACTAACATGTAAATTAACACATCAGATGAACATAATGACCAGATGGGTGATTTAAGTATATTATAAGATATTTTAAAAGGATGCAGGCCGCCACTAACACTGTTTACCTTACAGGACAATGAATGAAAACATTTTTTGAAGATGGCGTCCTGCACGGCATGAATAGCCGAACTACGGTGTTGCGTAAGGGACAAACATCAACATTTGCTGTATTCACAGAGGAATAGAGGGCGCAACAGTGTCACCCTGTGAAGTATTTAGGCTACTACCTTACATATGCAATAAAGAGAAACATTAAAATCTATATTCCAATCGAAATCTGGCTTAAAAATTGTACTAGAACCAATAATTCTATATGGCAGCGAAATTTGGGGACCAAAACTAAATAATGAATTTGACAAATGGGACAAAACAATCATAGAATCTTTCCACACCGAGTTCTGCAAGAGCATCCTGCAGGTGCAGAGAAAAACACCAAATAATCTGTGAAGACCACACTAAAAATACAGAAAAGATTAATTAAGTTTTACAATCAAATCTTAAAATCAGTTAACCCCTAGACATACCATCACAAAGCCCTAACATACCAGGAGCTGAAACCAGAGAAGAGTCCCCTCAGCCAGCTGGTCCTGAGGCTCTCTGCAGTAACATATCCCCCAGAGTAGGCTTAAGACGTTCCTCTTTGATAAAGCTTATAGTTAGGGCTGGATCAGGTGAGTCCTGAACCATCCCTTAGTTATGCTGCTATAGGCCTAGACTATCGGGGGATTTCCCATGGTGTACTGAGCTCCTCTCTTCCTCTCTCTTCCTGCACTCATTCATGTCCCATTAATGCATGTTACTAACTTCACTTCTTCCCCGGAGTTCTTGTGCTTTCTCATCTCGCAGGTTCTTATCGATCCTGGTGGAGCCTCCTGCCATGGTCCTGCTAGATTGCCATTGCCAATACTGTTGTTGCTGTGCACCTGTCTGTCTCTCTCTCTCTCTCTCTCTCTCTCTCTCTCTCTCTCCCCAACTGGTCGAGACAGACGACCACCCACCTAGAGCCGAAGGATCTGTCCTAGGTTTCTGCCTTTTAACAGGCAGTTTTTCCTTGCCCTTGTCGCCAAGTGCTTGCTCATGGTGGTACTGTTGGGTCTCTGTAAATGTTATAAGGAGTTTGGTCTAGACCTGCTCTATTTGAAAAGTGTCCTGAGATAACTTCTGTTATGAATTGGCGCTATACAAATAAAATTGAATTGAATTGAATTGAATTCGATTTTTATGTTTAACTCCTCTTGTTTTTATCTCTTTAAATAATTTAGGTGGTCGGGGGACAGACACAGTCTCTATGGGATTTTGGGTGGGTGACTGTTCTAAAGAAAATGCAGAGAAGTGTGTAAGACAGCAGCTCTGCTTCCTGGTCCCAACTCTGGACTGTCAGGTTTTAGAAATAAACTTTGCCATATTTCTAGATAAGAGAGCTGCTCCATCCAAAGTGGGATGGATGCCGTCTCTCCTAATCAGACTAAGTTTTCCCCAAAAATGCTTCCAGTTATCAATGAAGCCCACATAATTTTCTGGACACCACCTCGACAGCCAGCGGTGGAAGTCCGACATGCGGCTATACATGTCATTACTGGTCACATTGGGCAGGGGTCCAGAGAAAACTAGGGAGTCCGACATAGTTTTAGCAGTCGCTAAAAGAAGGAGTAACTCCGAGTGTTCAGATAAAACGACTCTACGTTTAATCGTTAAGCTGGAAAATAACCGCTGTAACAAGTAAAACAAATTTAGATTTAGCGTTCACTGGACAGAGCTACAGCACCAAACAGTGTACACAGAGCAGGAAGTAAACCGGAAATGAGTCAGTACACTTACCGTAGCCAATATTGTTCCTTGCTGCAATGCAGGTCACACAGATAATCAGCATGCCCCGCCAACCTAAGCTTAGCAGATGAAGATATCAGAGGAGGAAAAAGGAGAGGATGACGAACTCAATAATCAGTCGTTTGTGTGTCAGTTAAATTTTATTTCTTTCTCATTTAATTGGAACATGATCACTCATTGACGTCACTGAACAAAGAACACCAGTTCCAATGATAAAAGTCAGAAAGAAACTAAAAACTCAAACATGTCGTTGTTGGGGAATCACTTGTTTCTTCTTTAACGTCTTCACTTACGCTGTTTTTGGGAAACTGAAGATTCTGTGATATTTATTGATCTGCAGTTACTGTCAATGTAATGCAATGTCACAGTAATCAGATTACAGTTCAGCTCATCAGACGTTTGGTATTGATCGTGTCCTCATCGTCCAGTTTGTCCGGTTGAACATCAAACGGGTTTTAGGGTGGATGAGTCGGATGGATACAGATTAAAAGAAATAAATAAAACCTTTAGCTCTGATCAGAAGAGTCATAAGGAGACATAAATATTGATCATAAATCCACACAAACAGTCCTCACTGCAGATTAAAGATGATTATTGATCAGAATAATCCAATAAAACCTTCTTGTTATAAAGATTTAGAAACTGAAGAAGTGCACTTTGTTTTAAATCACAGCTGATCTCATTTAATGAGACGAAGAACAGAAGATAAATGTGTGCATATTAAAACATCAAATTTCCCACCGTATCCAAGAATGGTTGGCTTCAGCACATGTCACCTTTGATTTGACATAATGCTAATCAATCAGCTTGTTCACATCCATCAATAAATCAATACACCGCATCCATCAAGTAATTTCTTTCCACTGTCCCAAAAACTCACACTGTCACATGACCTTCAGTTGACCTTTAGGTTACTTTCAGGTAACCTTGATGGACTTCCTGTCTGGCTGCTTAAGTTTAAATTGAAGTTCAGTTTGTTTTTGTTTCACTTCCTGTTGGTGTTCTGATTGAAGACAAAAAGAAAACATTCAATCTAAAACAGCTGAGTTGATACAGTTGTTACTATTGGTTCAAGGCCAGTTCAAAGGTCGGTGTGTGTGCATGTGTGTTTGGTTCATTCGAAAGCCAATGTGCACGTACAGTAACATATATGTAAATAATGTTTTTGTGGGAAAAAACACTCAACCACCACTTCAGAAACGGCTCAGCACAGAGTGTCAGTAAAAAAACTGCTGGTGCACCTATGGAGACGCAGTGTGTGCAACCCGGGCGACCAGACAACACGCTGAGCTCTGTATGAGTAAACTCTAATTTCCTTCCAAAGACATGATAACTGAGGTTACTTTATCCCACTACACCGTGCTGCTAACCCTTCCACTCTCATAATCCAACAGCTAGCTAGCAGGCTATCAGACGGCATCAAAATTGCCTGTCTGGGTCATGAAATTGACGAGCAAGTCTATGCCCTGCACTTGTATGCATTTTAAAACTGCTAGAACACTGCAGTACAACAGAGATGTGCAGGCCAGGCATGCTGTTCCACAGGAAAACAACAGGCGTTGTGTTTCTAGTTGTGTGTCTCTGTGTGATCGGATGCTAAGACAACATGTGGAACAGTAACAGTGGTTGATAGTCTTTCTGATCATTAATGTTCTTCAATCATCAGAAAGTGAAACAAACCGTCTTGAATGAAACATTTCCGGCTGTCTAAGAGACCCAGTATCAGATGAGTTAAAGTGGAATCCAGTCTGTGTTTCGGGGACAGTGGATGAGACCAAACCAACCAACAACATGCCAAAATATTCTCATTTTAAAATAGTGCTTTTTCATCATAATAAAAGATTTTTAAATATAAAAACATCACTTACTGACTTTTTCTTTCACACACAGACAATCGTCACAGATTCTTTTTTAAATATAAAAAACATGTTTGACCGACAGATTTAGGTTGTTTTTTTCACACAGAGAAGAGTTTATAAATTATTTTTTCTTTTTACAGCTTTCTGCTACACGACGGTCAGACTTAAAAAACATCTGAATCTTTTTCAGTGGTCAGATAGAAAAATAACGACAGAAAGCTCTGCTACACCTGTACGGCCACCCCCCCTTGCGCTCTGATTGGACGGCAGGAGAACTCTCTGTGTGTGTGTGTGTGTGTGTGTGTGTGTGTGTGTGTGTGTGTGTGTTTCAAGTCAATTTTCAGACTGTGTTTTATCTTTCTGCTGATTTTCTCAAATGGTTTCTTTGACAGTTTCTCAACATCTGGATCAAGACCCCACTTGAAGTTGTTTCATGTGACATTAATAAAACTATTCATAAGATTTGTTTGATTCATGATTACAAATAAATGTCATTGTTTAGTTGACAGTTTTATTAGTTGATAGAGAAAAAAATAATTGAATAATTAAATTAATTAATAATTATATAAAATTTGAAACTGTATGAAATCATGTTGTTATATCTTGTGGTTGTTGGGTTCATTTTTTTGCCTCTCTTTGACATGAGTCTCTTTTTCTGTATTTGTTTCTCTGTGCTTTTACTTTGAAGGTGTCAGTATTTTGTCTATAACCAGATACACACAACTAAATGCGTATATGCAATGATCAATCTCTGCTCTAATTTATTCCTGATGTGTAAACGCTAACAGCTTTTGGTGCTAAAGAACATGTAACTTAAATGACATTTTATTGACAGTAGTGAAGCGTCATTAGATACTGTCAATCAAAACAATGAGAGAAAACCAGCTAGAAGAAAATCTAGTTTTGGTAGAGGTGTCAGTGTTGTGGCTGTAGCCTGATGGCTGTCTCATCATCATTATTATATTATCATCATCATCATCCTCATTGTTTCTGTGTTGTAGTGAATTTCAGATGGCTGTGTCCCAGAACACCGTGGTCTGTCCAGTTGCGGTGGCAGTGGGTGGGGCAGAATATGGTGGCGGTTGCTTCCTCTTCCAGCTGGGCAGGATGGGCATACTGTCCTGTTTACAGAGATTCTTCTCAGGCCGCTGACGAGCTTTAATCTCTCGACACAAAATTCTTTTTTTCTCGATCATCTCCATCATGGTGGCATCTCCGCAGAGCCACGGCATCTGGAAACAGAAAACAGCTCGCCATCAAAATATGTGACCAGCCACGAGAAAACCAGTAACAAGTCTCCCGAGAGGCATTTTGAGTTATTTCCGGATTCTGAAAGTGTAGTTTCTAAGCTTTATAATATTTGAAGAAGTTGTGGCCATTTGAATGTATGCACATCTCAAAACCCTTTAGGGAGAAAACAGCCCTGGAACATTTACAATTCTCACCTAAACACCCCTCCCTAGTCAACACAATAGTGCTCATTTGCATCTCATTAAGATAAGCCCTACCCCCTGCACTCAGTGACATCTGGTATCTGTTAGCCAACAATGGTTGTCAAAAGCAGTTATCATGTAGTTAATGTTGATGTAGTGTTATTTTCCTTAAGCACTTTAGTGGACTGATCAGAATTAGAAGGTGCTTTATTGAAATGGAAATGCTTTTATTACAAAAAGCCTCTGAATATATATATATATATATATATATATATTCATTAATACACAGGATAAGATGTTACAATCCATTGTGCCATAATCCATGGTATTAACCACATCTACACATCTACAACCACATCTGTTTAACACTATGTAAAGCGCCATGAGACGTGTGTATTGTTTTGGTGCTCTATAAGTGAAATTAAATTGAAATTGAAATTGAAATCTAGAAGTGCAGTGTAGATGGATCAGTCTGTTGCTGAATGAGCTCCTGTGGCTTATCAGCACATTGTGGAGAGGGTGTGAAGGAGAGTCCAATTATTTGGTGATATCACATCCGCATCCTCTTCTGCATCCTCTTCTGTGGACTCTTCTGTGGACTCTTCTGTGCTGTGACCCATGGCGCTGGGCATGTGATGTCTCTTGCCTCGTCAGCACAGAAAAGCATCACAGTCAATTCAAGCAATTCACGCATTATTCAAATTAATAGCAGATGCTCACATTACTAGCCAAAACCTCCCATTACAGCTTAGTTTCGATGTGCATATCATTTTAAAACAACAGCCTACATTGTTATTAGCTAGCTCAGTTCTAAGGTATAAACATGAAAACAGAAAACATGAGATAACAGTTTGTAATCCCTGTGACTTTGACTGCGACTTTGAATGAACACATAACGCAAAGTAGATAACTTGGATGTTAATGGAAACTCACCCCATAAGAAATTGAATAGTATTCCTGCAGACTTCATTGCCTCCGATGGAATAAGTGGTCCGGGGGCGCTTTCTCTTCGTCTGGCTGCACATAAGCTCTGGAGAAAGTTTGTCCCTACACGAATGTGTCCCAATGAGAGAGTTCTCCTTTCTTCTTCCATAGCATTTGTAGTCAAAGTTACGGATTTTCTCCATTTCGCTGTCTTTATCCCCTTCACATGTTACCGTAGATATAGCGTCTGATATCTTATGCTCCAGCTCCTCTGGTGCGAGGCCGAGAGATTCTTCCTCGTCTTCATCTTCGGCAAAGATCAGCTGTAGATTAGGGATGTTCTCCAGTGTAATACAGTCGCTTTCATCGTCAGTGCACTCATCAGAATCAGAAGTGAAACTGGCGTCGGAATAACCAGAAGTATCCGTCGTCTCACTGAAGTACAGCCACGATTTAGTAGCAGAATTTATGCTGGGGGCTGCATAAGTAGCCATGTGGTTCGCTACTAACGTGCCCCTGATTGGCCGAAAAAAATAACAAAAGCACGTGAATGGTCACAGGTAGCCAGTATGAAAATTACCTGTATCGCCCAACGAAGCGCCAGCCTTTCCTGAAACTATACGCGATTTCAAACACAAAATGTATACTTTTAAGGCAACCAATACTGTTATCTGAAACATGGAGTGGCTTCTTCATGATCTCAACTTGCACATTCTGTAAAAAAAAAACGAAAATCACAAATTTTGAAAAAAACTATAGTTTCTTTGTTTATGTGAATTCCTCCCAGCCGACTTGTTGCTGGTTTTCCCATGGAGCGTCACATATCTAAAACCTTTTATTCGATGTTCTCTTGTCATTGAATGGTCACTTAACTGTGTTTGTCACTCAATGGTCACTTACTGCGTTTGTCACTCAATGGTCACTTACTGCGTTTGTCACACAATGGTCACTTATTGTGTTTGTCAATGGTCACTTACTGCATTTGTCACTCAGTGGTCACTTACTGTGTTTGTCAATGGTCACTTACTGCATTTGTCTCTCAATGGTCACTTACTGCGTTTGTCACTCAGTGGTCACTTACTGCGTTTGTCAATGGTCACTTACTGCGTTTTCTTCAAAACTTCACTGGAGTTTCAACACTGTAATTTATTTAAGTTTGGATTTCAGTTGAGGTGTTTCAATTGTCCTTGTTGCACATGGATTATTTTAAGGAGTCTGAGTTTCTGTTTTCTGTGCAAACCTGTGTAAATATTTAATGGAGAAGCAGCATGAACCCATGATGGCTTCAGCCTTTGGGTTAAAAGCTACACAATCATTCAATGCAAGAACAAGTTGTATGCACTTATCCATCACCTTCCTTTTCATATCAAACCTGCTCTTCTTGATTTCAGCACCAGTCCGACCCTCAGGTGATAGTCCTAAATCTGAAGTTAGAAGCAAATGTTCCTGCATGAGGCCCACTGTCGCCAAGGTGTTGCTCATGGTGGAAACTGTTGGGTCTCTGTAAATAATGTTTTAAGGAGTATGGTCTGGACCTGCTCTATTGGCGCTATACAAATAAAACTGAATTTAAAATTACATAAGTTATAGAACTTACAAACGTGTCTGAAGGACATAAAAACCTCACTGTCTAAAGATATAGTTACTCTAGATGGCATTACCTTGGCCTCTAGCACCACTGTCAGGAATTCTGGAGTTATCTTTGATCAGGACATGTCCTTTAATTCCCACATAAAGCAAACCTCTAGGACTGCCTTCTTTCATTTACATAATATTACAAAAATTAGACACATCCTATCACAGACGGATGCAGAAAAACTAATCCATGCATTTGTTACTTCTGGGCTGGATTACTGCAATTATTATCAGGTTGCTCCAATAAGTCCATTAAGGCGCTCCAATTAATTCAGAACGCTGCAGCACGAGTACTGACAGGAACTAGGAAAAAAATTCATATATCTCCTGTATTAGCTTCTCTGCACTGGCTCCCTGTAAAATTTAGAATAGAATTCAAAATCCTCCTCCTCACCTACAAAGCTCTTCATGGTCAGGCCCCTTCATATCTTAAAGAGCTCATAGTACCCTATTACCTCTCTAGAACACTACGTTCTCTGAATGCAGGGTTACCTGTGGTTCCTATAGTCTCTAAAAGTAGAACAGGAGCAAGAGCCTTCAGTTACCAAGCTCCTCTCCTGTGGAATCAGCTTCCAGTTGTGGTTCGGGAGGCAGACACCCTCACCACATTCAAGAGTAGGCTTAAGACGTTCCTCTTTGATAAAGCTTATAGTTAGGGCTAGATCAGGTGAGTCCTGGACCAACCCTTAGTTAGGCTGCTATAGGCCTAGACTATTGGGGGATTTCCCATGGTGCACTGAGCTCCTCTCTTCCTGCACTCATTCATGTCCCATTAATTCATGTTACTAACTTCACTTCTTCCCGGAGTTCTTGTGCTTTCTCGTCTCGCAGGTTCTCATGGATCCTGGTGGAGCCTCCTGCCATGGTCCTGCTTGACTGCCATTGCTAATATCACTGATATTAGTGTTATTATTATTATTACTGATATTATTACTACAGATACTATTATTACTATAATTACTGCTCATTGTACCCCATCGTTGTCGTTGCCATCTTCTTCATGTTCATCATCATCAGTCACTACTATTAGTGTAGTTGTTGCCACTGTTGTGGCTGTGGACCTTTGTCTGTCTCTTTCCTTCTGTCATTAGCTCTGTTCTCTCTCTCGCTCTCTCTCTCTCTCTCTCTCTCTCTCTCTCTCGCTCTCTCTCTCTCTCTCCCACCCACCTAGAGCCAGGGTCTGTCCTAGGTTTCTGCCTCTTAAAAGGAAGTTTTTCCTCGCCCCCATCGCCAAGTGCTTGCTCATGGTGGGAACTGTTTGGTCTCTGTAAATAATGTTAGAACGAGTTCGGTCTAGACCTGCTCTATTTGAAAAGTGTCCTGAGAAAACTTCTGTTAGGAATTGGCGCTATACAAATAAAATCGAATTGAATTGAATTGAATTGAAAATGCAATGCACATAATGTGAGTGCTGGCCAAAAATGTTCTATGGACGCACAGTCTGAATTCAAGTTAAGGAAAGCGATGGTACGAACCATAGACGTGATACCAGTCCCCAGCTCGCAGCTGGTACACACCCTCCTCTTCGTACTGGGGTTAGGGATTGAATCTGTTCGGTTACTGACCGGTCTCTTTTCCCACTAGGCCATCCTTCCTCTTACTCTAACTCTATGCACAGGCTGCTTGCTCATACTCCTGCAGTCATATAGCAACTACTGAGATCCTGGCACCACCCATTCATCCACATGAAATCACTCAATCATTCATGGTAAAATGCATTGCAGTTGTTTTACTTCACTTTATATCCAGTTTTTTACTGCAGAGCTGAATGCTGTCGGAAACCAGACAGAAAGACAGACAGACAGACAGACAGACTGACAGACTGACAGACAGACAGACAGACTGAGAGATGGACTAGAGTTTATTGTTCACTCTCAGGTTGTCAGTATAATTCCTGGTTCACACTGATTTTACTTACACTTAAATTATCACAACAGTTGATTTAGCCCAGTTTAACATTCAGATAGTTCAATGTGAAAGTTTTGAAGCAGATTATAATTAAAAGAGTTTTCCCACTGTCTGATGTTTTAAATATGGTCGGAAACATTTACGCACAAAGTTCACATCGATATGAGTCGAGGGAGTTCAAAAGAAACAGAAGACATTTAAAAAAGGTAGAATAACAAACAAATAAAAAAGAAATGCTTAAAAATGTATTAATTCCCCGGTAAAATGGTATAGTGACTGGAGTTAAATAGCAATATATAAGTATATGAGTGGGGGGTTAGAGGATTTATTATATTTTTCAAGACGTAATTTTATAATTGAAATTATCGTTTTAATGAGATTTAAATCATTAAAGTGCTTCAGTGTGAGTTCAAATTTGACTGGTTTGATGTTAGTTAAATGTTAACATACAGTTAATGTTTGGGTAAAGTAAGTTTAATGTTAGCATACAGTTAGTTTAATGTTTGTGTGCAGTTAGTTTAATGTTAGTACCAATAATGAAACTTTGTTAGTATTAGTATTAAAGTTACTTCACTGTTAACATCTACACATTAATGTTCACATGAGTCAGTGTTAAAGGTTGAGAAACAATAAAAACATTTAAACACCAAATATTTTACGCAAAGCTGAAATTACAAATGGTCTTGTGAACATATGTATTATTAATAGTAAATAATAAAGAAAACACTGTTTACATGGTAGCATGGTTATTTGCTTACATGTTTACATTTCAGACGTCAGTCAGCTGATGATTGAAGTTTCTGTTCGTCTGTAAAATGTTTTACGATCTGTCGATCAGTGAAGTTGAATCCTGTGTGAAATATAAAGTTTATTTTCTATTTAAAATAAAACTGCTGTTTAAATTTCTGATCTGAGATCTCATGGACAGACAGGAAGTTAGACTGACAGACAGGTATACAAGCAGTAAAAACACAAGTGTTTTACAGACAGGAAGTTAGACTGACAGACAGGTATACAAGCGGTAAAAACACAGGTGATTTACATGTACTGTACCTGGCTGAGGGCGGGGTGATGTGGCTCATGTAGATGACGTTGTGGAGTCCCACCTGGTGAAGGAACTCCTGATGTCGAGGCTGAACGGCCAAGTTTACACGCAGACTTTGATTCTGCAGATAATCAACACAAACTGTTATTCACCCTCTCTTCACATTAACCTGCTTCATTCTCTTCTGAAACATAAACTTGATGTCCTCTATACATCTCTGTAGTGTTGTTGTGGACTGACTCACCTCCTGCTCCTCCTCCTCCGGACAGCATCATGGTTGGGCTGACAGATGACCTCCCCATCCTGCTGGAGACTGGACTGGACTGCCCATCTCTGTCTTTAGTGTCGTGTCTGGGCAGAGACCTGAAGTCTCCTACAGAGACACAGAGACAGGAGAGACAGACAATGAAACGACATTCTGCTTTGTTTCTGTCAATAGCAAGGTTTTGTACAACTCAATCTGTGAGACAAGAACGTCAGAGAGAGACGGACAGGAACCTGAAACAAATAGGTGCAAAAGAAGATAGAACTTAATATAAAGAAAATAATAAAGAATGTATGAGAACCTGGAAGTTACAGAAAGAAAATTTACTTAAAGGCTCTTTCTAATGAGATTTAATGACCTGAACCAAAGTGATTATGCTTGTTGGAGATGAAAGAGTATAAGATCAGGAGGCTGCAGCAGCACAGTGACCGTTTTTTACAGGAAGTCACAGAGACACTGATAGATAATTTCCTGGCACATCAGATCCTGGTTTAATAAAATTGTATTATTAAAGGTTATTATAGAGACACATAGGGTCTCTGTGATCATCAGCGGTTAGTGTCAGGAGCCTGTTTCTAAATGAATGATTGAAGCTCAGAAGGTGTGGGCTAGGAGAGCAAGCCTCAGTCAGAACCTTAGTCAACTTCAACTTCATCTTCAATAAAGTATTTCTGATTCCTGATCTGATTCCTCCTTTCCTGTTCTTAGATATGCTATGTGCTAAGCTAATCTATGTTGAAAAGACAAAAAGAGACATACACTGAGCAGTCACATGCATCAATGAGCCTCGGCCCCCCATGACCTGTCTCTGGTTCTTTTCCTTACTTGGACCACTTTTGATCTCTGCAGACCAGGAACACCCCACAAGAGCTACAGGTTTGGAGATGTTCTGACCTAGACGTCCATCACAATGTGGTTCTTGTCAAAGTGGCTCAGATCCTCACACTGCCCATTTTTCCTGCTTCTAACACATCAACTCAGAGGACCAAATGTTCACTGTCTGCCTGATATACCCCCCCACTGACAGGAGCCCTGATAACCAGATAATCAGTGTTAGTCACTTCACCTGTCAGTGGTCATAATGTTATGAGTGATCAGTGTATATAGTCACATCTTAAGTTAGCTAATTTTAGTAAAATGCTAGCTAACTAGCTATAAATATCTATATGTAGTCACATCTTAAGTAAGCTAATGTTGAAAATAATAAAAACGACCTGGTGGTTCTGAGATGTGATCGATAGAGCTTGTTGGGTCAGGATGATTTCAGGGACAAAAGGTCATTAACAAATTGTTGAGAGTTTCATTGTTAAAGGTGGGGTTTGATTTTATTTGACCTGAGCTGTATTCTGACTTTATTTATCTTCCATTTTTTATTACTGTTGTATAGAAATATTTATTTCTTATAAATGGAAGAAATGTGCTGTTGAAATTAAGTGAAGATGGTTTTAACTGATGTGACAACATTGCTACCTGTCTGCTGCAGTGAACACATTCAGCACCTCATTTATTTAATTAAATGATCTTCAGTCAGACAGCTGACTGACAGTCGTCACCATGGCAACTAAGTCTCCATGGAGACAAAATGAACTGATGCTGATCCTTTACAGAGACTGCAGTCGACATTCAACCTCTGTAACCCTCGACACTCTATGTCTGTTCATTACATCTTCAGTGAGTCGATCTGGCTGCAGTCAGACTCACGGACGAGACAAAAAGTAGAGACATATTTCAACATAATAGTGTGTCAATTGTCAGTCATCTGTTCATCTGTCTGTCTCTGCTCATTAGTTCAATAAAGTCACACCTTCTCAGATAGACTTTTCCATATATTGAATCTGTATGGTTTGACCAAACAAACCGGCTTTCAAAGTTCAGGCATATTCAAGAGTATTCATTTGTACACCATCATCTTCTTAACTCAATAACTTACATGCAAACAAGCAAACAAAAACAGGCTTGATGACACGCTTCTCCCGGTAACAACACACCTGCTCTATGATTACCACTTCACCTGTTTGTCCTTCCATATTCCACATACCACCTAGTGTGCAACAAGGGAAGTATAACAAGTCAATGAATTCCCTTTTATACACACACATAAAAGAACATAGTACAAAAATGGCTCCAACAGAATGAATGTTAGTCAGCTGAGGTATTTGATTATGTTAATGTTGCTGGCTGTGGTTAAAGGTTTGAGGACAGTGAACCTGATCTGAGTCTCTCAGATGTGCACTCAGTATGTGAATCTGATTTAACATGTTGGTGTAAAGATGAACCTGAAACACTGAATGATGATGAACATGCAGAGAGAAAAACTGATAAACATATGTACATGTTTGTGTCTAAAGTTAACATCTGAAACTGCCATTATGGTCGTTCAGGTATCAGCATCTGGTTTTACAGCAGTTTTATCATTATGTAATGTACATACAGTACAGTACTGTAACACTGGTGTAGCAGCGATGTAGTACTGAGTGGTGTCCTTACCTTCTCCTCCCTCATGTTTTTGGTGTAGTATTAGTACAGATGTGATACTTGTGTAATACTGATATTGTACAGATGTAAAACTGTATCTACCTGATGAATACTGATTTAAATTGATGCAGTAATGTTGCAGTACAGATGTAATACTGAGAGTTACGGTTTACTGACCACACCCCTGTTCCTCCTGCTCCTTCCTTCTGCTTGTGTCTACTTACTGTAATATAAAACTATTGAAGGCTCTTCCTTCCTTCTGACCCGTTCTTCATCACTTGTCTTCCTAAACTTATACTGATATAGAACTGATATAATGATGATGTAGTACTGATGCAGTACCTTTGACGTATTTACCTTCACTCTCTCGGCTCTTCCTGCCTCCGGATCCCTTCTTCATCATCTGTCTACCAGAGGTAAAGAGGTTGAGTTCGTCCAATGGGCTTGTGGGAGTCTGTGACCTCATCGACACGTTCTGCATGGAACCATGTGTGGAGGAGGAGTTACTGAGTTTAGCCCCACCCTCCCCAGCCCTGTGTGAGGATGAGGAAGAGGAAGATGAGGAGCGGGGCATACTTCCTCCTGCCATCAGAGCGTCGTACGGTGGCGGCCTCTTCAGGCTCAGAGGAGTCAGTGACCGACCCATGCTGACTGGAGACGGACATGCTGATTGGCTGCGGGGGTAACCATGACCACCGTGGGCGGAGCCAGAGGACTTGTAGAAGTTTGAGGGGAGAGGCGGAGCAGATGAGCGGCCGGAGGATGTAATGGTGTGGGTTGAGGGCAGATCCCGGTCCCGATCCCGGCCCTGCTCCTTGCGGTGGTGGCTGGAGCTCTGAGGATGTTCGACACCACCCGACTTACTGTAGGAGACGTTTTCTATCATGGGCAACCGGGTGACATCTAAGGGGGTGAGAGGGGACTCATCAGAGTTGGGGGAGCACTGAGCGGGGGCTGGGGGGAAGATGAGCAGTGGTGGGCGGTGAGTCAGGAGATTGGGGAAAGGTGGAGGGATGTCGCAGAGAGAGCCGCGGGATGACCAGGCTTCAGGATCCATGACGGCAGAGTGAGTGTCCTGTAGGAAGTCCTCCAACATCGGGTATTTCATCTCCTCATACACTGACTCACACTGCTCATCCTCCACGGCTTCCTGACCTTTCAGTTCTCGCAGGATGTTTCCCACCATCTCAATGTAGACAGGTTCCTCATCGTCTGTGTCTCTTGACGCTGGACTCTGACTCTGGGATGAAGATTTGTCCCATCGCAAGGAAGACTTCTTGCTACCATGGTTATGGATGTAAGATTCATCAAAGGAGGTGCTGAGCTGAGTGTTTGGGTTCCTTTTGGGTTTGGGTGGAGGCATCTTCTTGTAGTCCTCACTGTAGAGATGACATCGAGCTGCAGACAGACAAAGAGACAAACAGACAGACAGACAGGCAAACAGTGGTTAAACCTGAGCTTTGTTGCAGTTTTTGAGGAAATATACATGCATATATTTAAGATGTCAAATAAATCAAATTAAAAAACTAAATCTTGCATCATCAAATTATGTCCATGTGTTTATCCACTGACGGGCTCAGATTGTCTTTATTGGTGTCTGACAACATTTTCAGTTCCTTTCAATCCAAGCTGTGACATCTCCTTTGTAGTCAGAGTCACAGCACCCACAGTTCTTGTAGCAGCTCCTCTTTCTCATACTTGGGCTCAAATAAATACTGGCAGCCATCAAATTCAAAGACCTCATCCACAATGTCAAAATCACATCAATATTCAGCCGTATCACTGAAAATATTTTACATAACTTAATTTTCTGTACTCTCAACAAACTCTTCCTGGCATTACTACGCTCACATTTCCACTGTTGTCACTTCACTTCTCAGACTTGAGCAAGACACACAGCAGATTGAGCAAATGTAATTTAATTTCTCTGTTGTTGTCCGACATTTACAATAATAATCTGTGAGTGACAATAACAAGCACTTTAATGGATGTACATTAATGATGGTCCCTAAGGATTATGTTATAGCTCCTTCTGCAGCTGGAGGTTGCAGTACTCTCACTCAATACTGGACCATTTTCAAAACTTGCTGTCCCAATTTGTCACTTTGCCACAAAAACGTGAAAATAAAGTTGAAGCCAAAAGTTGAAAAATACCCAAGTTACCCTTCATATTTAAAGGTCCAATGTGTAGGATTTAGGGGCATCTACTGGTGAAATTGCAGATTATAACAAACTGGATACAGCTCAGCCTTCCAAGTGTGTAAGAGAAACTACAGTAAAACCCCTGTCTAGATAAATGGACTGTATTTGTATATTTATTTGTGTTTCTTTCTAGTCTTCTGACCACTCAAAGCGCTTTTACACTAGAGCCACAGTCACCCTTTTACACACACTCACACACTGATGGCAAAGCCCATCGAACAGAAACTAACTCATTCATTGACATTCACACACCAATGACGCAGCATCAGGAGCAATTTGGAGTTCAGGATACTCAAAGCTCAAGGATACTTCAACATGCAGTTGGGAGGAGCTGGGGATCACAGCAACAACCTTACGATTAATGGACAACACTCTACCTCTGAGACACAGGCGCCCCTATGTTTGGTTTGCCATTCTGGGCTACTGTAGAAACATGGTGGTTCAACATAATGGACTGTAGAAGAAGACCTGCTCCCTCTGTAGATAAAAATGTCTCATTCTAAGGTAATGAAAACAATTCTTATTTTCAGGTGGTTATACACTAATGAAAACATACCAATGATATTATATTACAGTAATTTTACACACTGGAGCTTTAACCAGCAGGTGTCGGGTTTAACCATTGACAGTATATATAATGGAGAGAAGCAAGTGTTGGACAGAAGCAGAAACCTGTATTCTGTGTAAAGGCCAGCAGGAGGAGCTCTATTGATTGACAGGTCATTCTCAGGGAGCTCAATGCACCAAACTCAGATCAAACTGTCAAACTAGGCAGCGCTATGGATCCAGATTCTGTTACTGTGTTGAATATTTCTCTCCTCAAATCTCAAACACATTTGAATGTTTATCTGGAATACCGGATCCTGTGTGACCAGATGAGCCAGCATTTTTTCCTGCTACGGACGAGTCAAAACTGCGCAGCCAATCAGTACAGATCAGCTTGCCCTGGCTCCTTATAACTGTCATGGAGGCAGGTGCCCGGTTAGCTCAGTTGATAGAGCTGGCGACCCATATACGGTGTTGCTACAGCGGCCCGGGTTCAAGTCCGACCTGTGGCCCTTTGCTGAGTGCCTCTCTCTCTAGCCCATTTCCTGTCAATCTTCGGCTGTCCCTATCCAATAAAGGCATGAAAAAGGCCACAAAACCCCCCCCAAAAAAACTTTCATGGCGGCAACCAAAACGCTGAACTTGAGGCTTCAAAAGTGTTCCCCACAATCCAATGGATGACATCACGATAGGGTTTAACCAGCAGGTGTTGTGTTCTCACCTTCAGCCTGCTCTGGCGTCTCATTGGTTTCTTGGGCATCTCTCTTGGTGACTCCGGTGCCTCCGTTCACCGTCTCAGAGCTGCTGCTCAGTTTGGTGCTGGGGTCTCTTTTGGGTTTGGGTGGGGGTTGTTTTCGGTTGTGGTTGGAGTCGTCATCTCCTCCGCCCACCGAGTGGAGGGACTGGGATCGGACAGTGAACCCCTGACTCGGGGGTGGCAGACGGTCCTGTGGTGCCGGCATCGTCATGAAACCCATCCTAAAATGTTTCCCAGAGTATGCCCCGTCTGTTGCCATGGCAACATCTTCCCCAATCCTGGATGGACCAAAAGAAAGAAATATCTGTAGTACAAACAATCCCACGGTGCTTTATAAAATATACATGAGTTTTATGTTGGTGTCACAAACCAAAACTAATCAAACTCTGTTACACTGTATTTTATTTTACTGTATCATACAAAATCGTATAATCAATTATAACAGTATAAAAGAACTGCAGCTGCTCTTTATGGAAATCTGACTGGGATAATGTCTAGGTTTATAACCATTGTGTATGATTTGATATGAGTAGCACTATATCATGTTTACTTTACTTTAAGAGTCTAAACCAACAGCTTAAACCAAAAGCTTAAACCTAGATCTTGCTTGATTTGACACAGTAAATCATACTATACTGCTGTCAAAGCTATAATGCATGGGTTTTGAACACACTGCTGTAAAATGGTTCACTTCTTATTTTACTGGAAGAACAATCAAGTCTTTGATGTTGATGGGTTACATCAGAACTTCACAATAGTACATGTGGAGGGCCAGAAGAGTCCATTTTGGGGTCTTTTTTATTTGTTCTGTATATAAATGAAATGCCAGCTGTCGTGACATGTTAGCTCTTTTATGCTGATGATTCTCCATCAGTGGTATCTGGGAAAGATGTCAGTAAGACTGGGAACACTCTCAGTAATGTATTAGAAGGTTTTAGGTAAAACTGAGTCAATCCTGTTTGGAACTAATAAGCAGCTGTCAAGAACAAATTCAATGTGTCTTGCAATGGAGCTGAAATTGTTTTTCAGACAGGTGTTTTGTAATAAGGAATAATATTGGATCAGTCACGCTCCTGTGAATTTACTGCTAATAAGCTATTATCCAAGCTGTTCAGATCTCCTACACAAATCTAAATGTTTACATTTTTGTCAGTATGGATGCTGCATATTGTAAGATCAGTTAGATTCTCCACACTTCGAGCCATTTTACGGAAATTATGAACACCAAAGTATAATTCATTCAGATTTACTAGCACTGTTAACAAGAGAGGTGGAAAAAAAACCTCTGAATCGATCATAAAGTCCATACGGTCTGTGTCCGTTCCTCCATTATTTATAGTCCTTTGGTCTGTCAGGGTCCACCAATAAAAACAATGAAAGGGTTTCATTAAAATGATTCTGAGTTATATATAAGTGAATATTATCATGTGCAGTCTGTTGCTCACTGTCTGTGCATTGGCTGCCGTACAACAACGTTCACATTCAAGTGTCATGGCAGCAGCACCGAGAAAAAAGAACAACCTGAAATTTACCGTAAGCTGTTTGTTGTCAAATTTGCTGAACAAAACTCAAGAGAAGCTCTAGTTACAGAGTATTTCCATTTGTGCTGAGCAAGAGCTTTGTGCTAAAGGGAATCAACGCCTGTCCACAATAAGGAGGAGTTTATAAGACGTTTTACGGTATGTTGTTTGGTATGTTGTTTTTTATGTTGAAGGTTGAATGTTGAATGTTGATTGTGTTTCTTTGTGTTTTCTTTTGTCTTCTAACATCTTGGGACCATGTTGGAAATAAGTTTGACCTTTTGACATTTGTGTTTCTTTTCCTGTGTCTGATAAACCATAAATAAAATCAATCAATCATGCAATTAATCAATCAAACCAAGAGCCTAAACAAAGAGCCCAACCCTAGAGCCTAACCAAGGACGGTATACACATTTACTTCACTACTGCCCAACACTGTTCATGTGTTTTCTACCTTTTGATGGCTTCTTCCTGTCGTCTCTTCTTCTGGTGTTTTTCCTGCAGGTAAGTCCAGTTGGTCTGGTTGCGAACGCGGTCACTCTCTCTTGCGATGTCAGAGGCATTTTGGATCACCAGACCGTCGTATGTTCGAAGGCCGCTGTCTTCCACATACTGAAAAAACCTCCTGAAGGAAGATGCCTCCTCCTGAGACGTCATGACTCCCTAAAGACCTGAGAGGAGGATCAGAGAGGAGCTGTATTAGTCAAATTACTGATTATTTGTAACCTACACACTAGTGACCTCTGCCCATGGACTACAGATGAAGATGAGCTTTTATCTATATTTGGTACAATACGTGTATTGTGCATTGTCCCTGATACATGAAATAAAATAAAATAAAGTAAATGCTGTTAAACCTGTTCAAGAGAAACTTTTTTTAATCACTTTTCTAGTGTGAACATGGTTTAGTTTTAGTCTGAACACATAAACACTTGATTGAACAAATCATTTTGACACTAGAGATAGATTGCTTTACTTCAACCAGCAGTCAATGTTGGTTTGGTTTAACCACCAAGCTTTTATGTCCATCTTCGATGAACCTGCAGTATGTTCAAACTGTTTACAGTTTGTGGGTTTGTGTCAGTGTCGGGAAACACAAAGATGATTGAATTATTGCTGCAGTATTTTATAAAAACATAAGAAATAAGATCAAGGCATTCTCTTTTTAAACAGTAACCTTTATTCTGATGTCATGCTCATGTTAGACCTTAAAAAAAGACTTCCTCCACTGAGGATTAATCATAAAAAACATACTCCTTTCATGTTTCAGGCCTACAAACCTGCCCTGACCACCTTTTTTTGCTTGATGATTTTTGTGTTCATGCTTATCCTGATCCATTTGCTATAATTAAAGCCTGTTCTCCTGACATCCCCCATAAGTCTGTGAAGCTCAGTCTGGACTACCGTCACCATCTTGGCAGACCTGCCTCCACCGGCTCCCGGCTATTCCAAAAATGGGGTGGAGCTAGGGCTGAATGAAGCCTAGTTACTGAAGCCGTTTGTGACAACACCCATCTGTTACTCAAAGCAGCCATGCCCTTAATTATGCATAACTTTAATACTTAATGTAATTAATTATATATGTGTGATCTGTAAACATGTTTATTTCTGCTCTTAACTTGGACATTTTAATATGGGGCCTTATGGAGACTGACTCACTGCTCGAGCCTCTAGTGGACGTTAGAGGAACTGCAGTGTTCGTTTCTGTCCATAAGGTGTACTTTCGGATTTGTGCCATCTAATAGTGAAGTTTATTATTACAACTAACTGAATACCACCCACGTCTCATGTTCTGGGCTACTGTAGAAACATGGCGGTTAAATATGGCAGAGCCGATCCAGAAGAGGAGCCACTTCCTCTGTGGATAAAAACGTCTCATTCTAAGGTAACAAAAACACTTCTTTCTATTTTCTGCTGATTAAACACACTTATGAATATTATATTACAGTAATGTTTCACACTGGTGCTTTAATTATTTATAACTAATTAATTATAAATATTGTCACGAGCAAATAAAGAGCTTCTGAAACAACATTTCTCTCTCTCTCTTTCTCTGTATGTATGTCTCTCTATTGTTCCCCTCCCCCACCTCTCTGTCTCTCAGCATCCTTCTAAAAATGGAACAGGGAGTCAGCTGGTGGTAACCAAGCAACAGCAGCATCTCTCAGAGGAGCATGATGTAATTCTTCCTGTCCACGGGTGAGGAAGTGCAGAGAGAGAAAAGGAGGATAGGAAAAGACAAGAGGAAGAGAGAATGAGGATGAGAGGAGGAGAGGAAAGGAGGAGGAGAGGAAGAGAGGAGAGAAGGATAGGAGAGGAGAGGAGGTGGAGAAGAGGAGAGGAGAGGAGGAGTTCTTTCTATTTAATTTTAAAATCTTTGTGATTCAAACATGAAACTCGAGTTTTTCCGTCTGATATTTTCACATTAAAACACTTCAAATCAAACTGTTTCTGGTTATTATTATTTAGATTGTAAATATGAATTAAAATACAGTTTCTGTTAATGTTTCAATCTCTCTTTAACAATCTAAAGGTTTACCTCTGCTGATGACCTTTGACCCTGAAACATAACTCCTAGTCACACCTATCAATCATTTGTATTGATCCATCTCTGTTCTGAAAACAGGAAAAGATTATATTTGTTTGTCTGAGTTATGCCCAAAGTCTGGTTTACTTTTATTTTTGTGTTTTAGGTGAGACAGAGACAGTTCAGTGTTTGTGGTTAATCAATAATATTGATCAGATTAAATGAGCAGCTGTGTTTGCACATGCCTGACACAAAGCCACTTCCTGTTTAAGGATTATTAAAAACATTTCAGGTCCGTTCACCTTCATCCACCTGGTGGACAACTCTTTCAAAATAAAAGTCTGGTTGTGAATAACTGCAGTTCTTTAATCGGTAACTTGTTCTCTGATCTGATCCAAGATGGCTGCCATGTTGAAGTGAGATGTTGCTGTTTGTTTGAAATACAATCAGGGTGTGAAGGTGTGTTTGAACAGACTTTTTTGACACTGTCGGCAGTGGCAACAGCGACTCGATCACAAACAGATTTTTCAGCAGCAGAAAAAGAAAAAGTCGACGGAACAAATGAATAAAACCAGAAGAAGAAACACGTGAAAGACGACAGACTGAGCTGAGGCTTACCGGAGGATCAGCAAGGACTTAAACTCCCTCCATCCCTTCTTCACTGCCTCCTTCCTTCCCTCTTTTTTCCCTCCTTCAGTCCTTCTTGTGCAGACAAAGATGGAGTGATGAAGGTTGATGATGAAGACGTCTGCAGCTCAGAGGAAACGATGACTCGCTGTGATTCTCGTCTGCAGCGATGTTAATCCACATCTACCCTTCAACACCTCCTTCCTCTCTTCCTTCCTCTCTTCCTTCCTCTCTTCTTCTCTTCCTCTTGTCATAAATCCTCACAGCTGTAAGAATCACGGCTCACACACACACACACACACACACACACACACATTCACTCATTCACACACCCGTCAGCCACACACACACACACATCCCCGACGAGAGTCGCCACAAGAAACGACAGGCTGAAACCACGGCAACCTGACAGCATCCTCACCCTGCTGACTCCTCCCCTTGCTTTTGAAAGAGAGAGAGAGAGAGAGACAGAGAGAGAGATAGAGAGAGTGACAGAGAGAGCGACAGACAGACAGACAGAGAGAGAGAGAGAGAGAGAGACACACACACAGAGAGATAGACAGAGAGAGAGAGAGAGAGAGAGAGAGAGAGAGAGAGAGAGAGAGGATTTGTGTGAGTGTGTGTGTGTGTTAACTGGTATGATGATGTCACATAATGTTTTATAACAACTAACTCATGTGATGTCAAAGATTTTGACTGCTGTAGGCAGGAAGTCTGCAGAACATGACGAATACAAAACAAAAGCCCTGATGAGACTTTTATTTTGTAGGACAGTCTCATCCAGACCTGGACCCCTCCAAGTCCAGTCCTCCACTCCAGATGACATTCCTGTGTCCAACAGGGTTAGGGTCCTCAGTCCAGTGTGGATTGACCCTTCACTCGAGAAGAGGAGGGTGGTGGACTGGGGTCCTCAGCATTATAATACTGTTTGTGTTCTCTTCCCTCTCTGCTGTGTCTCCATCAATTACATGAATTCACCTGCAGAGGCCAGTCTGATGAGCCTGTCCTATCTGTCCCTGCTGATTCCACTGGTCCTCAGTTTGGACCTGTTCCTCTGGGACCTCCTCTGTTGTTCTGTTGGATTATCTTCAGTCTCCCCCCCTTATACATCATTGTTCAAAGTTTTTATACAAATATTTGACTTATTATTAAAATGTGTTTGAACATAGAATGTTAAAATGATGGATGACCACAATATAGGGAGAGCAGTAGCAAAGAGTAATTTTTGTAATATTACGTAAATGAAAGAAGGCAGCCCTAGAGGTTTGCTTTATGTGGGAATTAAATGACAAATCCTGATCAAAGATAACTCCAAGATTCCTGACAGTGGTGCTAGAGGCCAAGGTAATACCATCTAGAGTAACTATATCTTTAGATTTGAGTCTCAGAGGTTTTTGGGGGCAAGCACAAGAATTTCATTTTTTTCTGAGTTTAACATCAGAAAATTGCAGCTCATCCAGGATTTTATGTCCTTAAGACATGTTTGTAATTTAGATAATTGATTAATTTCATCAGGCTTGATCAACAGGTATAACTGGGTATTATCTGCATAACAGTGATAGGGTTAATAATAATAATAATGATAATAATAATACATTTTATTCATAATGCCCTTTTCATCAAAAGATCTCAAAGTGTTACAGGTTAGAAACAAAAAAACAGTTTTAAAAAATAAGAAAAGGAGAAAAGAACAAAAAATAAAAAAGGTTTTTTAAAAAAGAAAAAAAAAACATCTAATAGGGACCAAAAGCTTTGCTAAAAAGAAATGTCTTAAGATCCTTTTTTAAAACAGTCAGTGGATTGTGGTGCCCTCAAGGTGTCAGGGAGGGCATTCCACAGACGTGGGGCGGCAGCACAAAAGGCCCTATCTCCCATGGTCCTGAGTCTGGTTCTGGGTATGTGGAGGAGGTTTGAGTGAGTGGAGCGGAGGGAGCGTGTTGTGTTTTGTGGGTTGATAAGTTCTTTGAGGTGGGGGGGGGCATGTCCATGGATGCATTGATGTGTGAGGAGAGAAACATTGGAGTGAGTGGAGAATGGGGGTAATGTGCTTATGTTTCCGCACTCTCATCAGGATCCTAGCTGCACAGTTTTGGATGTACTGAAGCCTCTGCAGACTCTTGCCAGGAATCCCGTGAGAAGTGCGTTACAGTAGTCCAGTCTGGAGGAGACAAAGGCATGAACCAGCTTTTCGGCATCTGAGAGGGAGAGAATGGGGCGGAGTGTGGAAATGTTACAGAGGTGGTAGAAGGAAGTCTTGCATAGGTGATTTATATGGGCTTCAAAAGGGAGTTGAGAGTCAATTTTTACACCAAGATTTGTGACTATTGATGAGAGGGGGATGTTGGAGCCAGAAAAGGTGATGCTGGTTATGGATGATGATTTGGTCTGGTGAGGGGTGCCAACTAGGATGGCTTCGGTTTTGGAGCTGTTGAGTTGAAGGAAGTTGTGCTCCATCCATACCTTTATCTCCTCCAGACAGGTGGTGAGTTTAGATGGGGATGACTGTGAGGGTGGGGTTGCAGCTGTGGCATTTACATAGAGCTGTGTGTCATCGGCATAGCAGTGGAATGAAATTTTGTGACGGCTGATGATTTGGCCAAGGGGGGTGAGGTAGAGGATGAAGAGGATGGGGCCAAGGACTGACCCCTGGGGGACACCGCAAGTGACTGTGTGTGAAGTGTTAGACTTGGCTGTCGCTGCTGTTCAAGCTTTTAAAAAGGTGGTTTCAGGGTCTGGGGAAGATTTTTGGTCTGAAATATTGTGCAACAAATAAAGTTGTAATAACACTGGTGAACTTTTTATCTGGTTTTGCCAAGTTGGCGATCTGGCTGATGATGTGACAGTGATCTGGATTCAATGGTCCAATAAAGGGATGTTAAAACCAAAAACTCTTCTCCTCCTCGTCTCCTCTCCTTGTCTCCTCTCCTCCTCGTCTTCCTCATGTGCCTTCCTCCCTCCCTCTCTGTGTGTGACATTATTATGACGTCATCCTGCTTTTATCCAATGATGTGTCCTCTCTGAGGTCATGTGACGAGCTGTCAGCTGTGGGCTGATTACATAATGTCAGATTCAGAGCAGCTGTTTGTTTTATTTATTAAGTTACTGATTGAACAAACAGAAGTTTATATTTTATTATTGTAATTTCAATATTCAGATTACCGAAAAACATCCTTCAGCAATATACAGTATATATTAGATATAACAGTATAATATATAACTTACTGTATAAAATAGTAAGAAATGTCACAAATAATATTAAATATCATCAACAGTATAATGTATAAAATATATAACAGGATTAAGTACCAATAATAGTATATGATAGTATATATTCATCTTATTTTCAATATTCAGATTACTGAAAAACATCCATCAGTAACATACATATATAATATATCACTAATAATATTAAATATCAATATATTATATTGTTTAGACCCTGTAAATCAGCTGTAATTATTGATGATCAGCTGTATTATTGATGATCAGCTGTAATAATAATCAGATAATAAGATAAGTATTAATAAAGATAATCTAGGATTTATACTGATATCAGGGAATTATTTTACAGCAGCTCATCATCACTGTACACCCCCAACCTCAGCATGCAGGCCTACTGCGCATGCGCCTCGTTCTGCAGTAGTCCGTGTGTGTGTGTGTGTGTGTGTGTGTGAGTAAGAGAGAGAGAGAGAGAGAGAGAGAGCGAGAGAGAGAGAGACCACAGCACGAGCTCCGCTCTCTGACAGATCGGTTAAACCCGGATTTAACGCGTGTTGATTAGCCCGGCTCTGCTCAGTCCGGTACGATCCGCTGCACCAGCATGTCCAGCCCGCAGGAGCTGAACCAGGAACCGAAAGAAGAGCCGAAAGAAGAGCCGAAAAAAGAGCCGAAGGAGGAGGTGAAGGACGAGGTGAAAGAGGAGAAAAAGGAGGAGAAGAAAGAGGAGAAAAAAAAGGAGAAGACGGAGGAGAAGAATGAATCCTGGAAGGATTTTTTTTACAACCCACGAACTGGAGAGTTCATGGGCCGGACCGCCAGCAGCTGGGGTAAGACCGGCTCTGGAGCTCAGAGACCCAGATCAGTGTCTGTCTGTCTGTCTGTCCATCTGATGATAAGGAGGCTTCACAAACCAGGTCACGGTGGTGCTGACCCGGTCCGGCACAGTTCTGATCGCACTGAGCTTCAGGATCCGAACCGAGCTGAACTGCACAGGGACATTTTGAACAGAGGATCAGGACTTGTGTGTGTGAGATCAATGACTGATTATGATCTATATTTCTGATTCTGAAATAATATTATTCTAACAGTATTAGAGCATTAATAATAAGAACATTTTAACTAATGACCAGTTTGGGTCATTTCCTGGTTCCGTCTGTGTAGTTGAAACAAAATGATGATTCAGAGTTATGGGTCAATACATCATTATGGATACATTATTGAACGCCTGGAGGAATTGAGTTAGTTACAGTTGCTCAAGGTGCTCACACAATGCTAAAGAATAGAAATAATACTAGAAAATAGAAAAATAGCAAAAGTAGAAATATCATGGGAGCCTAAGTGTGAACCTTTTTGTAATAAAATACAACAGTATATGCTAATACATACAGAGTAAATGTATGCCACAGTATGTCACCAACAGAAAATAAATGAGTAAAAGTAGTGTATATATTATCAATATATTTAATATCATGATATAACGTGTGTGATGGTAAAAATAACCAACTATATTATAATGATTGATTCATTCAGTGTGTAACATTACTGTAATATAATAATATCAATGTAATGTAATTGGTGTGTTTTCATTAGTGTATAATCACCTGAGAATGAAAATCGTTTTGTCTTTGTTACCTTAGAACACCTGCTCACACAGGATCTGGTATTCCAGATAAACAGTTGACAAAATAAAACATACCGGCCCTAATTTGCATAATAAAGTTCCATAAGAAATTCGGAAATTGCAGTCCAGCTATGTCGTATGGTAAATACAACAAGGAAAGTCTGAGTCTAGGCCGTTTGTTATTCCAGATGAAATTTGTGAAATGTTTTGTTAAGCAATTTAAAGAAGGAAAGAGCTGGAGAGAGTGGAATTGACTGGAAGAGGTATAAAAATTTACTTAAAATTTACATTTTTAGGATATTAATGCGTCCGATTAAGGATATGGGTAATTTGGTCCATCTATTTATCAATTATGTGACGTTATCCACAAGGGGGTCATAATTAACTGAAATAAATTTGTCAATAGTAGGGGTAATTTAGACACCTAAATAAGTAAATACCTGTTTTGACACAGTAAATGTTGTAGGGATCAGGGGATTATTTCTCTCATTTTCTGTCAGAAACATTATCACTGAATTACTATTGTTTATTTTATATCCTGAAAATTTACCAAATGTTCTCAACAAATTCAGCAGACTAGGTAGTGTTTTCTCCAATCTGGAACAAAATAAAATGACGTCATCCGCGTACAATGAGATACGATGTTCTATATCTCCGACTTTAATCCTGTAATATAAGCATGCTTGCGAATTGCCATGGCAAGTGGCTCAATAGCCAGGACGAAGTGTAAGGGAGAGAGGGGGCAGGCCTGTCTTGTTCCTTGGTTAAGCCTAAATGGCGTTGACACAAGTCCATTAGTTAGTATTTCAGCTTGTGGGTTGGAGTACAAAAGCTGAACCCATCTGAGAAAATTTACACCCATACCAAATCTTTGCAGGACATCAAAAAGGTATTGCCACTTTTTAAATAGAATATTAAGCAACCTCCTTGTATTGTGGAAGCCCTGTCTGCCCTGTACAAATCCACTCTGGTTCAAATGGACCATTTGAGGTAAGGCTGGTTCCAACCTCCTCCCCAGCACTTTGCATAAAATCTTAAGGTCGTTATTTAGAAGCGAGATCGGTCTATAGGACCCACACTGCGTTGGCGTCTTTCCAGGCTTCAGGAACAATAAAATTATTACTGTGTTTAGCAAAGGAGGGAGGGATCCATTATCAAATGATTCCTTGTACATATTAAGTAGGGGCGGTATTCATTTGGATTTTATATATTTCAATTGGTATTGCATCTGGCCCTGGTGTTTTACCTCCCCCAAGCCGGATATGGCCTCAGATATTTCCACAGTCTCAAGGTTGCAGTCAAATGGGTCTAAAAGTTCCACATCCGCGGTACCACATTCAAAAATCTAATAAGAAGTGAGGTTGGAGCATGATCCGAGATTAGGATACTATCATACTAGCATTTTGAAATTTTTGGAATCAACTCTGCTGAGACCAGATAATAATCAATTCTAGAAAAGTTCAGATGAGTGCCGGAGTAACATGAAAATGTCCTCTGGTTAGAATATTTACTTCTCCATACATCTACCAGATTAAAACCTTTTATGCACTGAAGCAGTTCTTTTCTAGTCAAGGGGTGAGAGGTGTCAACACCGGTGGATCTGTCCAATTCCAGGTTGGATTGTACAATTTAAGTCTCCACCTATGATAATTTGGCCAGGCAAAGCAGCTAACATCAAGAAAAGCTGTCTAAAGAAGGTTGGATTATCTATATTTGTCCCGTATACATTAACCAAATTTACTTTGACTGAAAGAAGGTACCTGCCAAGTTGGTCTTCAATGACACGTATAAGCTAAAAGGGCACAGTTTTGTGTATAAGAGTTATTACCCCTCTTGAGTTAGAGCTGAGGGAGGCTGAAAACACCTGACCAGGCCATCTTCTCCTCACCCTTATTACATCTTCTCAAATGAGTCTCTTGGAGAAAAATTATTTTGGCTTTAAGCTGTCGGAGCCTGTTAATAACCTGTTTAAGCTTTATTTAGTCCTCTCACATTCCAGGACGTGAACTGAAGATCAGAGGCCATAGCTGAGAACTTTCACCTCATTAATGCCCTGAGATATATGCAAAGTGGCCGCAAACATAAAAAAATACATTAAAAAATGCCGGAAGAAAACAGAAGACAAAAACAAATCCCCACACAATATCAAAGAAAAAATGTAAACAAAACAGAGTGTACTTCCCCAACTGAAATACACCCACCCATCCCAAAGTACACACATCCAAAGGAGCTCTAAACTGAGCTCAATCATGGAGCTGTGCTGGTCCACCTGAGCAAGCATCATAGGAGGAAGAACATGCCCGGCAATCAGCATGGAGCCCCCCCGTTATCCTCCGTACTGCAATATTGTAGGCAATAACAGCCAAGCAGTCAAAGTTCGACCAGCAGGGTTAGTCATGTGGCCAACATGGTAATGACATATTGAATGTTAAATGTGCCAGTCAAAACAATACAGGACCGAAAAGTATTGCAAAGGGCGTGCTGTGGTGATATGCCTCTTTTACCCACATTCTCCATGTTGCTGGCTCTTCATTTCCTTCACAAAATCCTCCGCCGTCCTCACCGCGTCAAAAGTGTGGTGTTTCCCCTTGTAGGTGATCAGAAGTGTAGCCGGGTGAGCGACTCCGTATTGCAGGGTCGGGATGGAGAGGGCAGCCAAGTCTTTTTTCACTGGGTCAAAGGCTTTCCTGTGTTTGAGAAGGTCAGCAGAGACGTCGGGAAAAAACATTATTCTCTGGTTGTCCAGCAGTATGGGTCCCTTCAGCCCAGCCGCTCTCATGATTCGTGTCTTGTCCGCGTAGTTGACTAGCTTCATTATCACCACCCTGGGCTGTGCCGATTGCTGCGATCCAGCTCTGTTAGCCATGCTAGCCTTGTTAGCTTTACCGAGCCTGTGGGCTCGCTCGATTAGCAGGGGTCCAGGGAAAGTATCGGCACCAAGCACCTTCGGTAGCCATCCCTCAAGAAACATGCACATCTCTGTCCCTTCCTTACCTTCGGAAATGCCCACCAGGCACAGGTTGGGCAGTTGACTGCGGTTTTCGAGGTCATCAACCTTGAACGCTGGCTCCTTAATGGTAACTTTCATGTCCATGTTACCTGCTAGCAGCAAGGCGATGTCATCTTGGTTGGTGCTAACTCTGTCCTCAGCCTCTGTTACACGGACTGTAATCGCTTTCACGTCAGCCTTTAGCCCTTTCATCGCATTTAGAAGCCCATCAAACCTTGACACAAAGTCATCCCTCAACGCCTGAATTGCAGAATTTAGTTAGAATCAGTTACAACGTTAGTTCTTCGTTTACTGTGCTCATTAATCAACTTCTCCATAAGACTCAATACTATCAGAGTGGAGCTGCCCCCTGCTGGACCTTACATAGAATCCAGGTTTAAGACACTTAACAGACCCAGAAGCTCTGTCCGTTATAAATACGGTCAATGGTAGGACAAACCTGCTTGATCTGAACCTGAATACATTTATTTTGTTCAGGTTAAACTTTAGCAGGGTCAAGAATACCGAAGGCAAAAGATCATTAATTGAACAATTGTTTTGCATAATTGGGTAAAGAGCTTTCTACTGTCAATCACCTGGAGGCTGATGGACAGACCTTGTAAACCCAAACAGGTAGTGAGGATGGTGGTAGTCATCAGCAGGGAGGAGAACCGCTGACCTGAACTGAGGATAATGTCAGACATGGTACAAGAACACTTGGAGGACCTTCATAGAGGGCCAGAACTGGTCTTCAGACTGAGTATGGAGGGACTGGGCTACGTCTATCACAGGATCTAAAGGTGCAGTCGGTATGCTGGTCTCAGGATTTTATCCCTGCTCTTTGCAGATGATGTGGTTCTGTTGGTTTCATCAGACTGGGACCACCATTTAGCACTGGGAGTATGTCAGGGTCTTCTTCAGCAGAAGGACAGATGGAAAGTGGGATTAACAGGTGGATATGGGTCTGGACTCTGTATCAGACTGTGATAGTCAGGAGGGAGCTGATCCTGAGGCTGTGGTCCTATTACTCTGAGTAGTGTCTGGACTTAAGCTTAGAGACAAGGTGAGGAGCCCAGAGGAGCACCACTGCTGGTTCATATTGAAAGGAATCAGCTGATGTGGCTCAACATCTGATCAGGGACCCAGGTGCTGATAGATGTAGTAAGATAGACCTGGACCTGGTACAGGTGTCTGATGAGGGCACCAGGTGGACAGATTAGGAATGACAGAAAAGATGAAGAATGAACTACACACCCCCTGGTGGCTGACTGCTGTATAGACTCTCTCTATCTCCCCCTGGTGGCTGACTGCAGTATAGCTCATAAAGCCTGCTGCCTCCATATGAGCAGATGGGACAATCAAAGTCAAATAAATGTTTCCCAAAGAGATGGACATTTTCATATTCATCTGAAGCTCAATATTCTTTTTATTTTATTTTATATTTTTTTATGTTGAGGGTTTAACAAAGATCACATGAAAACGTTACTGTGAATCACTGAGGTCATCCAACCCCACCCCCCCAGTTTATAGTTTATATTTAGCTGGAGCCTTGAAGCCTCTCAGTTCATGCGAATCTCTCTCTCTCTCTCTCTCTCTCTTACTAACAACATGGATCTGAGGGATTTTGTTCCCCTGATGTTGTCTTCTCAGGCAGAGCTTCCTCCCAGGCTGCATGTGACACATACTAAGCTAATTTAGTCTCAACAAAATAAAGAAAAGAATTCTCCTGAAACAGCAATGATCTGAAACTCTTATACGTTTAACACTGATGCAGACCATCAGTCACCGTGCAGCACTTTAAGACAGGAAACTGCACCAGTTTAGTACTGGTGTATTTACATAATGTATTTAGTTACATACATAATTTAGTTTTTTATAATTTAGTTAGTTACATAATGTAGTTACATCCTCAAGTGTAGAGAAAAGGCTTTGGGTGGAAGCTACACTGTTGTATGTATTTGATGTTTGTAGGCCGTTACAGTCCTCTTTTTGAATTCTCTCCCTCAGGACTCATCCTCCTGTTCTACCTCATCTTCTACGGTTTCCTGGCAGGAATGTTCACTCTCACCATGTGGGTGATGTTACAGACTCTGGACGAGAATGTCCCTCGCTATCAGGACCGAGTGGCCAATCCAGGTGAGCTCAGTACAGCAGGTTTAACTACATTTCCTGTTTACTCCACATTCGTAAAGATCACTAGTCTCATACAGCTCTGGGTGCACACAGATGGATAGAAGTGGGGATAAATCCACTTTTTCATCCCAAAATCTACTAGCGCAAATTATTTTATTTGCATTTGGTGGGAATGCAGCATAATACTCTACTCTCCATGTTTTTATTACAACAACAACAACAACAACAGCAACAACAACAACAACAAGCTGTGCCATATTACAACCACTGCTTCCAAAATCAATGTTCAAGTGGATCTGAGCCACTTTAACAAGAACCACATTGTGATGGACGACTGGGTCAGAACATCTCCAAACCTGCAGCTCTTGGCTAGCTCTGAGCTACTGTAGCTCAAACTGCTGAAACAGTTAATGCTGGTTCTGATAGAAAGGAGTCAGAACACGGTGCAGAGCAGTCTGTTGGTCTGGGACCAGTCAGTGAGCCCAGTGCTAATAATGTTATGGTGGATCAGTGTATGTTGTATGTCATAACCTGGCTCCTAGGCTATGACAAATACGACATTCATGATATCAGGCTATCTGCTGATTGGATTAGGCATTGCCCTGGTGTATCGGAAAATTCGGAAGACGGTGTCAGCAGTCCAAAGCCTCATGAAGCTGCCCGACATGATTGATGGAGTGAGCAGAGCTGTTAGTGCTCAGACTGTGGGTATAAACCGCAACATGGAAAACACCTTCGAAAGAGCTGTCAGCGCACTGACGGTGGTTATACACCACAACATGGGAAACATCTTGGATAGAGCTGTAAATGCTCAGACTGTGGTCATTAACCATAACATGGAAAACATCCTGGATAGAGCTGTAAATGCTCAGACTGAGGCCATTAACCGCAACATGGAAAACATCTTGGAGAAGTTTTCGGCTTTGCAAAGGAGAATTAATCGATTTGAACCTGCTGTGTTATCGCGATGACACCATGTGAACTGAGACACTGATTGAGAGGCTAGATGAAGTGACTCTCCAGGCTTATGTGCACACATGCACCCATGGACACTTACACATGCGCATATGCAACACACCCCTCTACCCCCCCCCCATCCCACACTGTACTCCCCCACAGGAGCAGAGTATGGGTGCTGCTTTTTTTTCTCCTCCCCTCTCCTCTTGTCTGAGGTTATAAGTACAAATGTGAAGTATGTCAGTCAGTAACATCAGTAATGTAAATGTGGATGTGTGAGCAATATGAAGTGTAAATGTTGTAAAGTGAAAACAAATCAGAAACCAAACAAAGAGAATCTGCTGCTGCTGCTGGCGGGGATGCAGCCAAATGAGAGAGAGAGAGAGAGAGACCAGAGCAGAGTTGAGACAGGGTTTTTATCCTTTTAGGAGTGCCTGAACCAGGTGCTCCAAATCCGTACTCTGCTGATGGTACCTTCAAGGACAAGACAAAACAATCACTGGTCAACCACATCAGCACATCAACACTAGACAGGGACGGGGGGGGGATGTATGTAAATGTATCCATGTTATAATGCAATCTGTCTGTCCCTTTTCTGAACAATAAAATGTAAATTATTATTACAATTATTGGTTATTGTATGGATGTGAAAATAATTTCTGTTTCATTCATTTATTTATTTTCAGTGTTTCATTATTGATTATAGATTTGTTGATTATAGATTTGTTATGAGTGCAGGTTTGGTGATTCGTCCTCACGCAGCGGAAATCTCCTTCAACCACAGTGATTTGACAAACTACAATCAGTACATCAAACAACTGCATGACCTCCTGCAGAGTGAGTACACATACACATCCTGCTCTGCAGTTAAAATCTCAAGGTTGTCTTTAGTAAATTAAAATTAAATTCCAAATATTTAATTAGGTCTGACACTGTTCTGCTCCACGTTCCCAAATACTTGATATGCCATTTTGTTTACAGTCTTTGCATCAGGTTCTGAAAAGATCAGACAAATGTTTCAACTGATAGACAGAGTTTATAACAGAACCATCAGCTCTGACCTACAGAACCTTAAACTAAACTTTATTATTCTGACCTCCTAAAGCAAAGACATTGTACCTGAAAACTTGAACCACAAAAACAAATGTATGCTAATATATAGTTCATTAGTTTCATCTGACTGTTTCCTCAAAAACCTCTGAACAGGTGAATCATATCTGTGAACAGGTGACTTTGTGGACATCCAGCAGACATGCTGATTTGTTTTCTTCTTAACTTCAGAACAGGAAATACCTTTCAAGATGAGCATTGTGATCATCACAATAAAAGCCCAGTAGAGACTTTTGTATTCAAAGGATTGATATATATTTGTTGTTTTGTTGTTTTCTTCTTCTCTGCAGATTATAATGACAGTCTTCAGGAGCAGAATGACTTGTGTCTAGTGGGTGAATACACTGAGCAGGACGATGAGCCGATAAAGAAAGTTTGTCAGTTTAAGCGCAGTATGCTGCGTCAGTGCTCTGGTCTGCCCGACACCAGCTTTGGATACGCTGAGGGGAAACCATGTATCATTATCAAGATGAACCGGGTCAGTAAAACACAGTTTGTCAGGATCAAAGATCAATGCCTTTGACAAGAACAACAGAAAGACATCATTCTCCATGTAGGGCTGGCCCGTGTGGTCCGATCCAACAGATGAGCTACTGTAGCTCAAACTGCTGAAACAGTTAATGCTGGTTCTGATAGAAAGGGGTCAGACACACAGTGCAGAGCAGTCTGTTGGTCTGGGACCAGTCAGGGAGTCCAGTGCTCAGTGTTAGTGCTGATCAACATATCAGTCTATATACTGTTAGTGCTGATCAATATATCAGTCTATATACTGTTAGTGATCAATATATCAGTCTATATACCGTTAGTGCTGATCAGTGTATATAGGCTAAATAAAATCAACAGTCTGTCTGTCTGTCTGTAGATCATTGGACTGAAACCACGAGGAGACCCCTACATCAACTGTACTGCTAAGGTAACACAGACTTTACTAACCGTATCCCATCATGTACCTGTACATCATTATCAGCAGCTTGTTAACCAATCAGAGACTGAATAAGAATGGTGTGAATAATAAAATTAAATAAATGTACAGCTGAATAACTTTAATAAATCAGTGATAATAAAGTTTGTTAATTAGATAATGGGCTACATGGGGTTCATAGAACACAGCAGGAAGTTTAATGTATTGTTACAACACTGGAAACTTAGGATTGGACTCAAACACAAAACAGCAGCAAAATGGCTTTAGTTATTTAAAAAGATAAAGCTTACATGTGGGGCAGGCTGGCAGGTCAGGAAAGGCAAAAGTAAAAAAAACAACAGAGCAACACAAGGACAAAACAACCAGGAACCCCCAGGGACAAAACCAGGAGTAAATGACACAGAAACAAGGCAACATAAAGACACAGGTGAGGGGAAGGATAACGACAGACAGGTGAAAGTAATCAGGGCAGCACAGATAGTAAAAACTGGAGGGAAAACAGACAAAGAGGAGAATTAAAAATCAAACAATAAAATGACAAAAGAAAACCCAAAACCATAACATATATCCTCATATTTAAATAATTCTCTTTCTCTGGTAGAGAGACACTCCATTACAGATGCAATACTTCCCATCCGAAGGTCGTCTGGATAAAATGTTTTTCCCCTACTACGGCAAGAAAGCTCATGTAAGTATATCTTGTCTGCCTAGTCTAATGCAGTAGTAGTAGTAGTAGTAGTAGTAGTAATAGTAGTAGTATAGAGCTGGGGTAACAGGAGTATGTTGTGCATATCTGAATGTGAGTGGAATAAGTAAACAGTAACAAAATATATATTGTAACATCTCTTGGCAGCTGTCTGTCTGTGTCTTCCAGTTTCTATGGCTAGCTGCTGGTCACTGAGCCTGTATTTGGTCAGGGTCATTCTTTGTTTCTAGGGGTGTGAATCCGTCCCTTTTCTGAGGGGATCAGATACCAACATTTTAATATGGAACAATATGATACATTTGTTTGATGTAATAAAAAAAAATGTTTCCATTCTAAATTAAAATTCAATTCAATAGTTCAATAAAAGTTACATGTCAAATTTGTCGTGTTTGTTTTTCCAACAGACAGACAAAAAAGTCTTTCTGCTGTGATTACCTTAGACCTCGCTCAGTTGGAGTTTGATTGTGTCAGGAAAGTGTTTAATATCTTGCGTGTGCTAACTGTATTAGCATCCACAGACTCCTCTTCGCATGCACAGGTGTCACCATGCCGTCTCTCCAGGTGAGAGTTAAGATCTGTCGTGCTACCGCTGCATTTAATCACCATCTGATAGATCTTACAGAAGGACAGACTTTTGTCCAACTCTCCTTCCTTCTTATAGAATCCAAATGTCTTCCGGATTTTAGATTTGATGGTACACTGTAAATCTTGTTAGCGTTGTTGGTGAGCCATGCTGGGCTAATGTTACTCTCTTCACTCTTGTGGCGAGACCCTGGTATTGACCTTTGACTTTTTACATGAGTGAAGATGTTGTAAGCAGCAAAGCTTCAGTCAACAGATTCATAGCTTTAGAATCAGATCATCGACCAGTTTGTGGTATATTTAGATCCATCCAGGGGTAGGTGTACCGATGTAGTTGCATCTATAATGTTAAAGGGGTGGCTGCGGCTCAGAGGTAGAGTGGGTCTTCCACTAATTGGAAAGTTGGCAGTTCGATCCCCGGCTCCTCTTGCTGCAAGTGTCCTTGGGCAAGACATTGAACCCTAAATTCCTGATGCATCGGTGTATGAGTGTGTGTGAATGATTAGTTTCTGTTCTGGTGAGCAGTTGGCACCTTGCATGGCAGCCATCAGTATATGAATGTGTGTGAATGGGGTGAGTGTGGCTGTAGTGTACAGCGTATTGAGTGGAGTAGAACAGCGCTATATAAGTACAGTCTATTATCCATTTAAAAATGATTACCTACTTGTATAAGTAATCTAATCTAACCTTAACAATAACCCCACCAGCCCCCACAATGTTAATTACCTCTCTCTCTCTCTCTCTCTGTCCACAGCCAGACTACGTGCAGCCCGTGGTCGCGGTACAGTTGCTGTTAACAAAAGAAGACTATAACATTGAGCAGACGATAGAGTGTAAAGTTGAAGGTACAGATCTGCGTAACAATGATGACCGGGACAGGTTTATGGGTCGCGTCACTTTCCGGGTCAAAGTGTTGGAGTAACCAGACCCACCAGTTGCCATGGATACCACAAACTGATTTAAACTGGGAAAAAATCTCCAGTTCTGGACATACAGACCTGATCTAATCCTGGACGTCTGAATCTGGTTTATTCTGTTTAGACTCTTGAGGAAACCAGATCTGGACCACTGACAGCTAAATATGGCTATTCTGCCAGAACCTTTTAGCTGAGATCCTGGTTCTGTCCAAATTTGGTTTACATCAGGTTAACCCAACTAATGTTGTACTTTGTGGTCTAGATCTGCTGCTGAGTAGACCAAACAGAAACCAGAGTAACTCTGGTTGAGCCTGTTCAGACAGTTTAAGAAAATCAGGTCTGTGGTGGAAGCATGTGAGCCAGCTGCACAATGACGTGTTGTGTTTAGATGTGTGTATAATAGTGATGTAATAAAAATATAATATGATCCCAGCAGTCTGTAACAGAGCAGTGCAGCAGAAATCGGTCCAGATTTTATTATAAAACTGCTGGTCAGTAATCAGGTAACTGTCCTTCCACTCTGAAACCTTAATGCTACAGGAACTGCCTTCACAGTATTCATAATGCTTCATTGAAGATGTGATTTCTCTCATTTTTCAGTGGTAACCAGATTTAACCAGAAAAGTTTAGTTTTGCAACTTGGACCATGTAAACGTTTCAATAGCCTGTAAATGACCATAGAGACTTATTGTGATCACGTAATCCACTTGCTGAGGTTGTCTGGGACTCATTTGACCACATATCTTTTGTAGTGTCAACTCTAATGAGTCTAGGCCCACATTGAAGGACACAGTAATATGCAGTCTGATTGGATCTGATTTGTGTTATTTTACCTGCAGAGATCAGCAGCAGATGTTTGTGAACAAACTGGTATTACTAACTGTAATATCACCAGACTCCCTTAAAACAATCCCATAATTCTAAGAGGAGTTGACTGAGGAGAAACTAAACTGTTTGAAAGGTGTCTATGGCGGTATGTTGTTTATTAGGGCCTTCTTGTAAATTGGGGAAACATAACACATCAAGATATTTCTTTCTTAGTGTAAGGGTAGGGTGTAGCCTTGCAGGATACAGGATTACAGTCTGTGGTGTGAGCAGGATGCACAGTTTTACTCTCTGGCATTAATGCCTTTCTTCGTAATCATTTGTGAGGTTAAACATCAGATTTCCATACAGTCAGAGGAAGTAAAAGTGTGTGCCCTGCCCATAAAGTTCAGTTATAAAATAATAATATATAACAATCAATAAATAAAATAAAATTGAACAAAGAGTGTTTATTGTGGTGCAAGTGAGATCTGATCACTAGAGTTTAAACTGATGTTCTTAAAGCTGTCCACTTTTGATCTGATCCCCCATGATGTTAATAGCAGCTGTAAACAGCCTAAAAGTCCAGACCAGAACAGTTCGGTGTAACAGCAGGGTGGTATGACCGTAATCTGATTATTGCCTGCATGAGAATGTTTTAAAATTTAACAATATTGCAACTGATTCAAAACTGCCAAAAGAAAATGTATTATGTCTGCATAAACCTTTCATAGATGGTTTAGGGTTAGTAAATTCCACCTGAATGCTAATGCTAGTCTGCAGTTTACAAGAAACTGTTGTCCTTGTGTCACATGAACTGTAAAAAACACTGTAATTGAGTCAATTATTGCTAATAGTAATGATGATAATGATAGCGCCCTCTAGAGGATTAACATTGCACTGTGAAGTAGAACGCTCTACCTGCTGGGACCCCTACCCACCACCAAACCCTTGACTGTTCAGGTCCACTTGGACTCTGGTGTACTTTCACCTTATGGATCCCTCCATATTGATGGTTTTTCATCCGTCATCATGTCAACACAAATATTTGTCAGTTTTTCAGAGTAAAGACTTTGAAATATACTTTATGAATATATAACTCCAATTGTACAAACAGATGTTGCAGTTTTTTAAATGTGAATTTGAGTGTGATTCCAACAACTAGTGTCGTGTGATTATTGAACAAGATGACATCATCAGCAGAAAACCAATCCGTCTTCAGTAAATCAGTTTCATCATCATGTCTTCATGTTGTTTTAATTGTTTCTATCCTGAATGAATGAAATGTAGTTTTATTATTTATGTTTATGTCTGCTGAGGGAACTGGAAACAAGATTGATGAATTATCTAATGCTACAAATAAAACATAAAGAGCTTGTAATGTCATCATTTATTTAAAAAATGTGTTTCCATTACTGTTACACATAAATTTCACCCCACAGCATTGCACTGTTAAGATGTCAATAAAGTTAATTGGATAATAACCAGGATGGCTGATTGGGCATCAATCTATAACTTCTTTATGGTAACAGAAAGAGCCATCAAATTAGGTGATGTGTGATGGCCTTAAGCATCAGGAATTCTGGCAGGATTGAAGATTTTGGATCTGCAGTGTCAGAATTATATGCACTGTCCACCACTGTTCCAAACAGCAAGGCAACTACCTTTCATGTTAAATCTGGCTCAAAGATGCACTAAACAACTTCTCTCGCTGCTCGGCCTCCTCAACTAACCCATCGACATCCTCCCTGACATTGGCACTGAAAAAAGAAACTAATTAAAATAATTGAAATCTTAAAATCTTATTATTTTATTTTATTGGGATTTTTTTGAATACAAAAAAAAAAACTGACAAAAAAAAAAATCTGTCACTGAAAAAAGAGTGAAAATAAAATCTGAAGATTGTCATTGAAAAACACAAAAGAATCCCAATAAAATAAAATAAGATTTTAATTGTTTTAATTTGTTTCTTTTTTCAGTGGCAATACTTGTTTCAATGCCAATACAAATGCTTCAATGCCAATGTTTCCTTTTTCAATTCAATTCAATTCAATTTTATTTGTATAGCGCCAATTCATAACAGAAGTTATCTCAGGACACTTTTCAAATAGAGCAGGTCTAGACCGAACTCTTTATAACATTATTTACAGAGACCCAACAGTACCACCATGAGCAAGCACTTGGCGACAAGGGCAAGGAAAAACTGCCTGTTAAAAGGCAGAAACCTAGGACAGATCCTCCGGCTCTAGGTGGGTGGTCGTCTGTCTCGACCAGTTGGGGTGAGAGAGAGAGAGAGAGAGAGAGAGAGAGAGAGAGAGAGCGACAGACAGACAGACAGACGCACAGCAACAACAGTATTGGCAATGGCAGTCAAGCAGGACCATGGCAGGAGGCTCCACCAGGATCCACGAGAACCTGCGAGACGAGAAAGCACAAGAACTCCGGGGAAGAAGTGGAGTTAGTAACATGCATTAAAGGGACATGAATGAGTGCAGAAAGAGAGAGAGAGAGTAGCTCAGTGCACCATGGAAATCCCCCGATAGTCTAGGCCTATAGCAGCATAACTAAGGGATGGTTCAGGACTCACCTGATCCAGCCCTAACTATAAGCTTTATCAAAGAGGAATGTCTTAAGCCTACTCTTGAATGTGGTGAGGGTGTCTGCCTCCCGAACCACAACTGGAAGCTGGTTCCACAGGAGAGGAGCTTGGTAACTGAAGGCTCTGGCTCCTGTTCTACTTTAGAGACTATAGGAACCACAAGTAGCCCAGCATTCAGAGAACGTAGTGTTCTAGTGGGGTAATAGGGTACTATGAGCTCTTTAAGATATGAAGGGGCCTGACCATGAAGAGCTTTATAGGTGAGGAGGAGTATTTTAAATTCAATTCTACATTTTATAGGGAGCCAATGCAGAGTAGCTAGTACAGGAGAGATGTGATCTCTTTTTCTAGTTCCTGTCAGTACTCGTGCTGCAGCGTTCTGAATTAATTGGAGCGTTTTAATGGACTTATTGGGGCAACCTGATAATAAAGAGTTGCAGTAATCCAGCCTTGAAGTAACAAATGCATGGATTAGTTTTCTGCATCTGTCTGTGATAGTATGTGTCTAATTTTCTAATATTACGTAAATGAAAGAAGGCAGTCCTAGAGGTCTGCTTTATGTGGGAGTTAAATGACAAATCCTGATCAAAGATAACTCCAAGATTCCTGACAGTGGTGCTAGAGGCCAAGTTAATGCCATCTAGAGTGACTATATCTTTAGACAATGAGTCTCTAAGGTTTTGGGGCCAAGAACAAGAATTTCGGTTTTTCTGAGTTTAACATCAGAAAATTGCAGCTCATCCAGGATTTTATGTCCTTAAGACATGTTTGTAATTTAGATAATTGATTAATTTCATTGGGTTTGATTGATAGATATAACTGCGTATCATCTGCATAACAGTGAAAGTTAATGGAGTGATTCCTAATAATGTTGCCTAAAGGGAGCATATATAAAGTAAATAGTATTGGTCCAAGTACAGAACCTTGTGGAACTCCATGACTAACTTTAGTATTTATGGAGGATTCATCGTTAACATGTACAAACTGAGAACGATCTGATAAGTATGACTTAAACCAGGTTAGGGCAGTTCCTTTAATGCCAATTTGATGCTCAAGTCTCTGTAAAAGAATATCATGGTCAATGGTGTCAAATGCAGCACTAAGATCTAATAATACAAGTACAGAGACAAGTCCATTGTCAGAAGCAATCAGAAGGTCATTATTAACTTTAACCAGAGCTGTCTCTGTGCTATGATGAACTCTAAATCCTGACTGAAAATCCTCAAATAAACTATTGTTATGTAGAAAGTCACACAACTCTTTGGCGACTACTTTCTCCAGAATCTTAGAGAGGAACGGGAGGTTAGAAATCGGTCTATAGTTGGCTAAAACCCCTGGGTCAAGAGTAGACTTTTAAGAAGGGGTTTAATTACAGCTACTTTAAAGGACTGTGGTACATATCCTGATAATAAAGAAAGATTAATCATATCCAGTAAAGAAGTGCCAATTAAGGGAACAACTTCTTTAAGCAGCCTAGTTGGGATCGGGTCTAACAGACAGGTTGATGGCTTCGATGAAGAAATGATTGAAGTTAACTGATGAAGATCGATAGCAGAAAAACAGTCTAAATATACATCTAAGTTTACATTGACAGAAGTCCCTGAACTTGGAGAGCCACTGATAACTGTTGATGGCAGTTGGTGATTAATTTTTCTCTAATAGTAATAATTTTATTATAGAAGAAGCTCATGAAGTCATTGCTACTTAAGTTTATGGGGATATGTGGCTCGATAGAGCTGTGACTCTCGTCAGCCTGGCTACAGTGCTGAAGAGGAACCTAGGGTTGTTCTTATTTTCTTCTATTAGTGCTGAGTAATAGGCTCCTCTGGCATTACGGAGGGCCTTTCTATAAATCTTAAGATCATCTTGCCAATTTGAGCGATATTCTGATAATTTGGAAGAGCGCCATTTCCTTTCAGATTTCCTAGCTATTTGCTTTAACTGGCGGGTTTGGTGGTTATACCAAGGTGCTAGTCTCCTATGTTTTAATAATTTCCTTTTATAGGAGCGATAGAGTCTAATGTTGATCGTAGTGAGCCTGTAGCACTATCGACAAGATTATCAATTTCAGAGGGACTAAAGTTGTTATAGGACTCTGTTAAATTCAGACATGGCATTGAATTAAACACTGAAGGAATCTCCTCCTTAAATTTAGCTACAGCACTGTCAGATAGACATCTGCTGTAGGAAGTTTTGCCTAATGGCTTATAATCTAATAGTATGAATTCAAAAGTTACTAAATAATGGTCAGATAGGAAAGGATTATGTGGGAAGACTATTAAATGTTCAATATCAATGCCATATGATAAAACAAGGTCAAGAGTGTGATTAAAACAATGAGTTGGTTTATTTACACTCTGACAGAAGCCAATTGAGTCTATTAATGATATAAATGCATTACTAAGGCTGTCATTGTCAACATCCACATGAATATTAAAATCACCTACAATAATTACTTTATCTGATTTAAGGACTAAGCTTGATAGAAACTCTGAAAATTCAGATATAAAATCAGAGTACGGTCCAGGAGCGCGGTACACTATAACAAATAGAACTGGCTGCAGTGTTTTCCAGTTTGGGTGAGAAAGACTAAGAACAAGGCTTTCAAATGAATTATAATTTAGTTTAGGTTTAGGGTCCATTAAAACGCTCGAATCATATATAGCTGCTACTCCACCTCCTCGGCCTGTGCCTCGAGGAATGTGAGTATTAATATGACTGGGGGGGGTGGATTCATTTAGGCTTTCAGTACTGGTTTTGTTTTTAATGCCAATTTTTTTTGGATGCCAAATTTTTAACCAACTATAGACCGATTTCTAACCTTTCCTTCCTCTCTAACATCCTGGAGAAAGTAGTTGCTAAGCAGTTGTGTGACTTTCTACATAGCAATAGCTTATTTGAGGATTTTCAGTTTCATTTAGAGTTCATCACAGCACAGTGACAGCACTGGTTAAAGTTAATAATGACCTTTTGATTGCTTCCGACAATGGACTTGTCTCTGTACTTGTATTATTAGATCTTAGTGCTGCATTTGACACCATTGACCATGATATTCTATTACAGAGACTTGAGCATCAAATTGGCATTAAAGGAATTGGGGTAAGTGCAACATTAGACATTGGTCTAATGAGCATGTTTCTCCTCACAGGAAGGTTGTAGAGAGTTCAAAGCAGGTTCAATCTGTTCATTTTTTCCTTCCGCTTCTTTGGGTGATAACCGGAAGTGGGCGTAATTCCGGAAATACACATGAAAATCCTTGTATCTCGGCAAGGATCGAGAAAGTGGATGAGTCTCGGCACCGTGCAGCGGTGTCGAGGCTCCATGCACGGGCCATCCTGCTCCAGATCAGGAAAGCTCTTATTTAAGGTTGAGGCCTTTGGGGTGTATTGTTTCTAATTTTCTTATCCATGTCCTTTCAGCTCGGGTTCTCTGTGTGGCGTTCCAGCTGGGGTCCATCTGGATGATCGTGGCCCGGACAGACGACCATCCATGGGCCAGAAAATGGCTGACCAGAGGCGTGTGGGTTACCCTCCGTCTCTGGATGTTGTAACGGTGTTGGGTGAACCGCTGTAAGAGCGTGTTTCTGGTCTCGCCCACATACTGTAGGCCGCACATGAGACATGAAATAAGAATCACGCAATTTTTGGAGTGCGGATTTCCACATGCCATAGTCCTATGGACTGTTTTATTAACATGGCTGCGGATCCAGGTGGCATGTTTGAAAAATTGGCCGTAGCCTCTGGGTTATGAGGTCGATAGGGGCTTAATTTTGGCTGC